CTTTGCAACTTGTGTGAAAATTCAATGTCTTTAAAAAAATTAATATTAACTAAAAAAAGTTAATATTTTTCTTTCTCATCAGAAACAAATGAAACACGGAGCGCGGTTAATTCCGAAATCGATTTGCCTTGGCAGATGTTTCGTGTGTGGCCCGAAATTTGCGCGGCCGAATTAAATATTTATCCCCGGCGGCAAAGGGCGGTGATGAGCGGCAGCCCAGGACGAGCTCCCCTGCCAACAGCTCCTCACAACTTGAACAAAACAACAACAAAGTCGGTTTCGTATCTGGCCCGCACAAGACAATATGTGTGCAGTGCTCGTCGAAATTGCTATCTCTGAGAGAGCAAAGTGCGGAGAGAACACGAGAAATTCCTGCTTCCTCTCTTTATGCAAAAGTTGTGATAAACACACACGCGCCGAGTCAACACGGCGTACGTGATGCAAATGGCAAGTGAGAGCGGAAAATATCATCTGGACCATCGCGGCGAAAACTTAATAAAGTGAGAGTTGCCTTGGGAGCGAGCGAACGAGCGAGGGTGGGTGGCAAACATCATCATCGACGCGAGGGTGTAAAACGCACTTGACGGCCTGTCGGTTCAACTTTCCAGTCTCACACCAGCTTGACGCGATCCTAATTCAATTTGTAGAAAATATAAGAAGAAAAAATTCTAAAAGACGACATGCATTTTTTTTTCAAGAAATATTTGTGATTAACCTAAAAACTCCAAAAATTTTGAGGTCAAAATTCAAATTCATTCATTTGAATTTTGTGTTTGAAAGTTTAATCTTTTTTACATAATAATAATTATATTTCGCTTCATTAAAAATGTTTAAAAAAAATCCTATATATTTTGGCTTATAAAAACTGAAAAATTTCAGAAAATTATTTACTTATTAATAAAAAATTTAACAATCAATGTAGTTTTCAAATAAATGTTACTTTCCTAATTGCTTAAAATATTAGGAAATATTATATAAATATTGCCTTTTTTTACCATATTTTAAAATAATTTAATTTTTAAATCTGCTTTTCTTTTCGCTCCAGACTCTATTTGCATGTTAATAAAATGGCCCCTTTTTCAGGTATGGTCCATAAAAATGGCAGAGTTCTTTAGAAATTGATAAAACCTTGTGCCAATTGCGGCGAGCCAAAATTCGATCAGCGAAAGGAACGGGAATTTTTATTTTCCTTCTCTAATCAGCAGACGAATTGATTTGTCGCCGGCGAATATAAAACGTGTCACTTTCACCCTCGGGGGTGAAAAATCTCGCCCGAATTTATCGCGGTAGACTGGATTTGAATGAAACGCTTTTGAAACGCGCGCGCGCCGATCCGATGACTTTTGGCCGGATTTTTATTCCTGGCAGCGCTCCACGTGCCTCTGAAATATGACACACGCTCGCGGTCTGCTCTTGGCAACAAAATGATTCCGATTAATCACCATTAAGCGTCTCGTCGTTTGGAAAAAATAATATAATTTGAAAAGAACGCCCTTTTTATTATTCGAAATGACGCCGCTTTTTGCTTCTGGCCCTTTTCCTTTCTCTCAATCGCGCGCGCAACACAATAATTAATGAAACACACCAGCCGCAAGACCCTCCCTTTTCTTTTTGCTCTCACTCTAGCTGGCAGCTCATCGCTCCTCGGGCAAAAAGTCGTCACAAACTTGACGCACCCCTAGGCTCGAGCACACCTTCTGAGCAAGGAAATGAGCCGATTCGTGCAGCCATCATCTCAAGTTGTAAATTGCAACATCTCCGCTTAAACGATGCTCGCAAATTGAAATTATTTTCATGAAATGTAATCAATCTAATGCAAATTAGTGATAAATTTTCTTAAACATTTGAAATTATTGCTCAAATTTTAGTTTATAAAGTTCCAGAGGGACAATTTTTGTCTACAAAATTTGAAACAATTAGTGGCTTCTGATGAAAAAAAAAAACGGCCAGAATTACTTTGATGATAAATTTGCTCTACATTTGCATCATTGTAAATATAAATTCCAAGGAGACACACAAGAATAATTTAAGTCATTGGTTGAACTGAATTTTTTAAATTTGACATTATGCAAGTTTTTACTACAATATTTTAGTGATTTAAATTGATTAAATCTTTCCCTAAATAACGGTCATATCACCCCAATTAAATGTCAGTTAACATTTTTAAATTTAAATTTATCTTAATTAATGCAAACGGTTCAGTATAAATTTCTTTATTTGCTAAATAAAGTAATAAAAGTATATTTTTTTTATCGTAAAAAATTAATTTTCTCTCAACAGTAGAATTAAAAAAATCAATATTAATATTGATAAATATTATTAAGAGAGTTCTGTCTTGTTTATAAATGAAATAATTAAAACAATAAAAATATACCGCTAGAAAATTATTTAATATCAATTTTATAAATTTATTACTTTCATTACTCTTACTCATAGTCAGCCACATATTCTGAATCTGCTATTGGTATTATTTATAAAGTGGTATTAATTAAGTGTAAAAGAGTGACGTCAATCGCAGGTGCAAATGATTCGCCAACTTCAACTTATGCTTTCTCTATTAATGGAAAATTGACAAGAAAATTACATTAAACACAATAGAATAGAATAGATTTCATAGATTTATTATATATCATTAAATTGTCAACGAAAGTTTTGAAATACATCATTTAATGTAAATCATAATTCTTATAGGACAATTTTTATTCAAAATTGTTGATAAAAAAAACTAATTCATAACATAGAACTGGTGTTTGTGTAAAATTTCTCTTATTTTATAAATAAATTCAGTTTTATCTTCAATCATTTTTGTACTCACTGGAAGTGAGTTCAATATTCTAGCTATGATTAATATATTGGGTTTTGATTGAGAATATCTACACGATCCTCAACCTAAACATAGACAATTATGAATTCATCTCAATTATGGGATTTTTTTTTATTTTTATGCGAAATGAAAATAATTCAATCTTGGCATTTTTTCAAGTAGATCAAAATTTTGCGGTTGTTTTCATTCCAAAAACATGAACCGAAATTTCTGGATGGAATACACAATAATTTCCCTGGAAAACATCTCATTTTTTAAATTGAAAATGGAGATAAAAATTGATGTAAAATAGTCCAACTGGATTAATAAACTCGGCAGGAATTTTTATAACTAAGAACACCAGAATACGGAAAGTTTGGCGAGCAAAAACGAACAGAACTTTTGCATCCGAGGACCGTTTTAAATTCCGACACACGCATACGCATTTGCATTAATGAATTAATTAATGGCAGCGCGCGACTAATTAAACGCGGAACAGACAGCAAGGAAGAAAGTGTCTCCGCGAGTTGCAAACTTTTGTTTAATTTCCACGACCCCGCGGTGAAATAATTCTGCAAAGTTTGCGCAAAATCCGACTGAATATTTTATGGAGCTTCGGATGAAGAAGAAGCAGAAGACGAGCCGCCCCACTTTGCGCGGCAAAATGTGTGATGCCCACTGATGGATGCGCACTTTGATGACGCCCTCACGCACCTATAGCGTGTCTATTCGCCCCGGACACGCGCGATTCTTTATTGAGTTGCCGCCGACACTGACCCGATTATCGATCCATTCCGTCGATTCCCTCCGAATATATAAAATAGACGCACTCGCTTGCATATCTAGTAAGATTCGTTTCGGACAAAAATTTTGCCTTTTCAAAGACTTTTTTTGTAGAAATATCGATTTTTTTATAAATTTTGAAAAAATGGAGATAAAATTTTCATTTCGAACAAGTTTTCAGTTCAATTCAATTGAGTTTTTCTGTTTAATTATAGAATTTTTTTTAATGAGAAATTTTTACTTTTTCTTCAAAGTTTAGTCTTAATGATTTTTGCCGTACCTTTAAAATGGGACTTTTGCTATAAACGACTGGAATAATTTTGAATTTTGACAGATAATTTTTATTTATATTTTTAAATGATATTTACAAAAGGAGACGTCATTAGAAAAATTGAATTAAATGCGAGAACCAAATTTTTGAAAATATTTTCTGAAATAATTTTATTATTTCAAATTGATCCAATTGAAATAGATGAAAATTTCACCTAACCGAGCCCAAGTTATTAAATTACCGAAAATGAAAATACAATTTTTTTATTTATTTGAAGGGTAAATATTTTTTAATCTAGAAAGATATTCCCTGTTGAAAAATTGCTTTTAATTCGTTTCTTATTCTTTTTACAATTAAATTTGTTAACAATTTAATGACATTTCCGTTTAAATAATTTTGTTTGAAATTACAGCCAGAAAGGATCTAAAAGAATTATACTTTGAAATTTTCAATAAGAAAAGGACCTTGAAGTTTTTATTTAACTACAAGGATATTTCTGAACGCTCTCAGCATGCGAACTTTTGTATTAGAAAGGCGCGTCTTTTTGATGTAAAATTAATTTGACGTTCTTTTCAAATCCTTCTTGGTAAATAAAACTTTTCGCCCCCGGGGTCGTTTGAAGAGCCCTCGCGCGAGCAGGTGAAAATTGAAATCGTCGCGCCACTTATCAAACGCCGGTTTGAGTGCTGCGAAAATATGGACTCGGTGACATATTATTACGTCTGTGTATCTTTCCTCCGGGAAGAAGGCTCCGGCGAAAGATATATCCACATACCATGTATTTTTTTTCACCCTCCAGCGCCCGGGAGAAAACTCTCTCACGGTCTCTCGCCAAGATAAATGTATTTTTTCACCGTCTCTAGACGATGCCAAAAAATTATTATTACTTTTTTCTTTATAGAAAATTTACGGAAATATTTTAAAATTACGTTTTGGGTGAAATTTTTTAACAGAATGTAGTGGAAAATATCAAATTTGTATTCATGAATCTGGTGAATGAATTTTTCAACCTCATTTTTCTACTTGAAACGACCTATTCGGGTTTGCTAGAATATTTCCCCGAAAAAAAATTACCTATTTATCCCATCCCTAAATATTCATTATACAATTAAGTAATATTATGAATTTGTGTCTTGTTTGCAGGCAATCCAAAGTCGGCGGTGGCCATCCTGAACTGCCTGCTGGCCCGCCAGCTGTGCTTCGAGGACGCGTCATGTTCAGCTATTTTAGAAATCATCCCCCGAGTGTGCGGCGCCGAACAAGGTATATCGATTTTCCTTTTATTTTACTGCCTAAGCAGGTGCATGAGAACTGTCTACACGCCGCGTGTGCCATGTTAAACTTGATATTCGCAGCGACATTTGCTCACGGCTGCAAACCTTAAGCCAGCGACAAGATTTAGAATATGAATTTGAATTTATTTTTTAAAACAGAGTTGCAATATTTGGATTATTTTTTATTTAAGCTATTTATGTTGTCTTTGTACTATATAATCCATCATAATTTAAATCTCCATACAAGCTACTTTTATAATTAATTTTTAAAAGCTCCTTAGCTTAGTTTACTACAAAATTACAAATATTTTGTTTTTCCATAATTCTAATACATTTTTAGATGATTACTAATAAATCCTTGATTAGAATCCTCCTTTTTGGAAAAAAAAAATTAATAACATGAGGATGGGTATAGTTTTTTTGGGTTGTGTCTAATTCTATCAGAAATTTCCATGATGTTATTTTTCTATAAATGAGTGTTTTCATTACCATGGGAGGTGAAAATGATATTATGTTATTATTTATTCTTCAAACTTCTAATGCTTCTAAGTTGAAGGCAACAATTATTTTGAAACTGAAAGAGAGAGGCACACTATTGGAAAACGATGCTGACTCAAAATTGCCGCGAGGAAATTGCTGCTGGTCAATCACTGTACCTGAGTTGCATTTCAAAGGAAATTATTCTCTGGTCATTTGCCGGTGGAAGATTTTATTTTGTGCTTATAAGTTTTTAACTTTTAATAGAAGTGTGCGATTGGCACGAAGAGAGCGTAAATCTTACAACACAACTGACATAAAATGAAACCATAAAGGATTGTATGTAATACACTGAAATGATAACTTATTATTTAATATCAGAACTTGCAGCTCATAAGATTGCGAAAGAATTCAATCAAATAATTGTTCGCGGTTTTTCTAGCTCCATTTTTCAACAAGAATTGACACATTTCTTCCCTTGAAAATTTATCTGCCAAAGTGAGAGGCGTCACATTGTTTTCATCTCGAGCGTTAATGTCTGCTCCTTGCGAAAGAAGAAATTCGGCCACTGCGATGTGACCTTTTTCAGCAGCATAATGTAAAGCTGTTCTTCCGTACTGGCCTTTCTTTTCCACATTGAAGCTGTTTAATCCCAACAAATACTTGGCATTTTCCAATTTGCCTCCAAAGCATGCCAAATGAAGAGAGTCGTTTTCGTATTTGTTAACCGCATTCAAATCAGCACCGCTTTCCACCAAGAATCTGCACATGTCTTCGCTCGAAAGTTGAGATGCTATAATTAGAGCCGTGCAATTGTCATCATCACGAGCATTGACGTTTGCTCCTTTTGAAAGTAATAATTCGGCCACTACAAAGTGACCATTTTGAGCAGCATGAAGAAGAGCCGTTCTTCCTAACTGGCCTTTCTTTTCTACGCTGAAGCCATTTAATTCCATAAAATACATGGCATTTTCCAATTTGCATGCAAAGCATGCCCCATGAAAAGCGTCATCTCCATATTTGTTCACCGCACTCAAATCAGCGCCGTTTTCCACTAAGAAACGACACATTTCTGTGCTTGAAAGAAAAGCTGCCAAAATCAGTGGCGTTTTACTTTCATCATCACAAGCGTTTACGTCTGCTCCTCTTGAAAGAAGAAATTCGGCCACTTTGACTTGTCCCTTTACAGCAGCAAAATGTAAAGCCGATCTTCCGTGCTGGCCTTTCTTTTCCACGCTGAAGCCATTTAATCCCAACAAATACTTCACATTATCCAAGTTGCCTCTAAAGCATGCCATATGTAGAGCGTCGTCTCCATATTTGGTCACTGCACTCAAATCAGCGCCTTTATCCACCAAGAAACGACACATTTCTGTGCTTGAAACAATAGCAGCGAAAATTAGGGGTGTGCAATTATCATTGTCACGAGCGTTGATGTCTGCTCCATTTGAAAGAAGAAATTCGGCCACGGCGACGTGAGCATGTTGAACAGCATGATGAAGAGCCGTTCTTCCTAATTCACCTTTCTTTTCTGTTCCAAAACAATTTAATTCCAACAACAAATACTTGGCAATTTCCAATTTCCCTTGAAGGCAAGCCCAATGCAACGCATCGTTTCCCTTATTGTCCTCCGCACTCAAATCAGCGCCGTTGTCCACCAAGAATCTACACATTTCTCTGCTTGAAAAACGAACTGCAATAATGAGAGGCGTGATATTATCATTGTCACAAATGTTCACGTCTGCTCCTCTTGAAAGAAGAATTTCAGAAACTGCGACGTGACCATTTTGAGCTGCATGATGAAGGGCTGTTCTTCCTGATTGGCCCTTCTTGTCAACGCTGAAGACATTTAATCCCAAGAAATATATGGCATTGTCTATTTTCCCTTCGAGGCAGGCCACATGCAAAGCGTCATCTCCATATTTGTTCACCGCACTCAAATCAGCGCCGTTGTCCACCAATAAACGACACATTTCTGTGCTTGAAAGAAAAGCTGCCAAAATCAGAGGCGTTTTACATTCATCGTCACGAGCATTTACGTCTGCTCCTTTGGAAAGGAGAAATTCGGCCAATGTGACGTGTCCTTTTCCAGCAGCAAAATGAAGAGCAGTTCTTCCGTCCTGGCCTTTCTTTTCCACGCTGAAGCCATTTAACCCCAACAAATACTTTACATCGTCCAATTGGCCTTCAAAGCATGCGAAATGCAAAGCGTCGTTTCCATATTCGTTCTCAGCTCCTAATCTTGAATAGTCAACAAGACTTGCGACAAAATGTAGGACCTCTTGAATCGCTTCCATGTTGATTGTTTTTTTCCCTCTTGGTTTCCAATCAATTTTGGTTCTCCAAAACAATTTTGCATAAATTTGAGGTCAGTATGAATGAATCCGTGTGCGATCAAATAAAGAGCATCAACATCGTCGATGCATCTGTAAAATTAATTAGCATAATAAATCATAAATTAAAAAAATATTTTAATACAAACAAGCCTGCAATGTCAAAAAGTTAAAAAAAAATATCCTATGCACACGGCTTAATTTAAATTTTAATTTGATCAGCAAGTTTTATAATTTCTTTACAATACCATTCAAACTAAAAAAAGTTATAACTTCTTTTAATCCTCTTATCTGTATTATGGCAACTGCCTGCGTGACAATTTGAAAGAGCTCTTTTATCTCAATCGTGCTTGAAAACTTTGATAAAACATTTTCATCAAAATCGTTGCAGCCTATAATGACGTTTGCGCAATGAAAAATTCAAAAGATTGACTTTTTAGTTTTTATGAGATATTTTTACTTCGAACGGCTAATCTAATTTATTTTTTTTAGCTAATTAGCAAGTGTGCAAATCATAGTAATAATAAAGTCTTACCACACGTTTATAATGATGAAGATTAATGCGGCCCAACCAACGAAGGTTTTCTTTATTGAGTCGCGCTCTTATCTCACCATTGCCAAAGTCACTCTACACAATCTTTGTGGTATTGAAAAATCACTTCGATTTTTTACCTTTAAGTAGGCCTTTTATCTAATCTTTTTGTTCAACGACAATCGAGAATATCGAGATTCTTCTAAATTTATTAAAAAGATAAGAAACATCACAATTTTATCTTTTCAATGTCCCAGCATGGTTAAATTAATTCACAAATTCGATGATATACAGAGCTTATGTAACCATGTTATTGTTCCAAAAAATACTTTTTGCTGATATTCCTCGTTTTAATTTTTTTTAATTTTGGTGCGACATGTACTTTATCGTGAGAAAACGGCCAAGAAATTGTGGTTATTTAAAAAAAAAATAGAACATTTGATTCAGAATAAGCTTCTAAGTAATAGGATTTCAAAAATAATTGTATTTTCTAATTAAACCATTTTTTACGCACATTTATAAATCTCTTTTAGTTTTAGTAATTTACGTTTATAAGCAATTTACAAAAACGTCATGTAAATTATATTGAAACCAGTAAATATGAAAAATTTAATCGAAAATTACCTTCTTGAAATGAAAAATCTGCAATATTTTTGGATATTTATTTGCCTGCTGAACAATACTGCTTGTACCTATTCTTATGATTTTGCCGCCGAAGGCCTAATTGAAAATGCATTTAATAGTTTTCTGTAACGACTTTTTCGTGAAAAATGTGCGCCGATAAAAATGCAAAACAGGTCATAAAAAGTACATGAGAAGATTGTACAAGAAAAACGGTCATGTTCTGGTATGCAAAATAGACTGTGGAACGACGGCGCTTGCATAAATATGGCCGATGGAAAAGTAACTCGATATGCCAGTGTGTATTTTTACTCTTTGCGCTCACTGACGACGACGTGCAACCTCGTTCGCGAGATGTTTAGCGAACATTTAAATAACTGCAGCGTGCAAGAAAAGTTTCCCTAACCAAGAGCGCAACGAGTCAATTATCGTAGAAAATTGCTTGCAAGAATTTCGTTACATGAAAGAGTAATATTTCTTGGTAATTTCCAAGTAATTTATGTTGCATTCAGATTAAAAATAAATTTTAGAATCTCATTTTTATAAGAAATTTGATGAGAACATTGGGAGAAATTTGATGTTTAGAAAAATTTAATTCAAATTAAGTTTTGAAAATGATCGATAATTCTGGAAATGAATTCTTAATTTTATTTTTGAACGCCTCATCTGTTAACAAAGTCTACTTAAATGTTAAATATTTCTAAATAATTATTTAAATAGCGAAATCAATCATATAAAATTAATAACAAAATGTAAAAGAAAACATTTGTTGACATTTAAATTATATTTTGAAATTTGTAAAGCTCTAAAAAAAAGTTAACTGACGTTAATTTTCCAGATTTCTATTCGAAGTAAGAACGGTTTTCAAAGGTTGGTGCGTCAAAGAGCAAAAAGTGAGACGCGCCACAAGTAAATTTCTCAATTTCTCATTGGAATTCAGCAGCGAGGGGAGGCTTAAAACACAGCGCCCGTCCTCTCGGCAGAGAAAAAGTATCTTTCTCACTTCAAGTGTATGCCCTTTTTTCCGGCGCTAAGCAAAGAAAGCCTGGCTTTTCTCCTGAGAAATGGTCGCAATCTATAAAATTTGGCTTAATATTCCTTCGCTGGAACATATTTATCACCCGCAGCTAGAATAAAAAGAAGAGAGAGAGAGACCCTTTCTTTGCTGGCGCGGAATTTATGAATGCGTAATTCAAGCGAATGGGACACTTTGCGGCGTTTTTGGTTTGCAAACGAGACGAACACGAACCGGTCTCTGCTTTCCGAAGAACATTTTTATGCGGTCAAAAACAACACCTTTCGTCAAAGTGATATATATTTCCACAGATGCTGAAATTGTGGTGTTTTATGCAACCCGCATAACCAGAATGCTGCTCTGGTTGCATAAATGTTTGCTAGAAAATTAAAATTCATTAATAATAGTTTAAACAATTCCTAGAAGAATTAAATATTTTCAAAATAATAATTTTAATTATTTCATGCATCAGCTATGAATAATTTAAACCACTTTTCTGAAAATATCATAAAATAATCGAATTTTAAATTCAATATCAGCAGTAGTTTTGAAAAAGTTTACTTTAATTTTTTTCAGTTAATTAATCTATTATTTATTTTTTTCCGACGTTTTTGAATCAAAATAAGAAAAGATCGTCTTCCAAGTACGCTCAATATCTTCGTCTCCATTGTTGATCGCTTCATTGAGGAACGGAATTAGCTCGCCGGCGAAATGGAATTTCGGTGCCAAGATGGCAAAAATGGGCGCATAAAAAGCAGAGGCGGTTTGCGAGCGCCAAGCGTCTATTGGCAGGCTTTGAATAGAAACAGAGGCTGACAAATCGCCAAGCAGATTGTCTTTGCTTTCACCTCAGCCAGCACCCTTGCCTGCTTCCGTCCGGTTTCGTCCAACTCGTTTCACACCTCCGCTGATTGGGGCTGCGACACTTGCAGACGAGTGTTCCCAAACGGAACAATCAAGTTATAAAAGGGAAAATCAGGAGGAGATAGAAAAAAAATACCGTTTCTTGCAATAAAAATGAAAAAAAGTGGTGTGAACATTAGATAAATTTAAAAAAAAAAGATAAAAATAGACAAGAAATTTGGCATTTTTTAATTTGAAATTGAAATAATTTTGTATAAATTGATATTTCTTGTCCAATTTAAACGTTTGAGAATATCTGTGGAATTTAAAAATGTGTCGACTTCAGCCCAAGTATGGAACTTATTATATGTTCGGGATAAAAAATTGCGAACAACAAATCCTCAAAAAAGTTCTGAGAGTTGCAAACTTTTAAGCTGGAAAACTTTTATAAAGATGAGAACAAGAGAGCAGTCAGAAAGTTGAGACATATGTTATTATTATTTGTGTGAAGAAATGAATCCTCCCTGTTGTGTGAAACTTTCAAGTAGTTTAAATTCAGTTTAATTTAAAGGTGGGATAAACAACCTCTATTGAATTAGTTTGATTGAAAAATTTGTAAAAATATTATTCTTGCCTAAAACTTATATTAAAGAAGCATTAAAAAAATTAATATAATTTATATCCTGATAATGACTAAACTAAACAAGTTAACAGTTTTTATAACATTATTTTGGGCAAAAATTGATAGACTTATTTGAAATCTTTTTCTTTTTTTCTTCATTTAGAAGTTTTATTTTTATATTGCTTTCAATTCTTTCAAATAAATTAAATTTTTGAGCACGCAGTATCCAAAATTGTACTGCGCACAAAAGTCAACTTTGCTCTCTGAACTTTCACAGAGAGACAAGAAGTTTTTCTTGACTTTGCCACCGTCCACCGTGGAGTTCCAAAGAAAAAGTTAAATGGAAAAATTGTGTACAGATTTAATGGAATAATAATTCTCGCCCCTGCCACCAAATTTATGCATTTTGCCTCTCCGCACGATTTCTTATATTTTCCTTGGCGTTTCGCTGCTGCTGATTAAAAAATATAATATAGCGTGCAAGAAAGAAAGTTGTGCCTGCCAGACTTTTAATTTAACTTGGCTCCCTGGGTGCGCGCACAAGGGAGGAAAAAGGACAAAAACGGGCAAAAATTATAATTTCCATCCGGCCTCATCTCGTCATTATTATCATCACAATCCTCTCCCGGAGAACTCATTTTCCCGCTAAATTTCGCCATCGGCGCAAAGGCAGGGCTCTTCAATTCTCCATTTGACCCAATTAACAGCGGAATTTCTCTCAGATGGCTCGAAATTTTGCTACAAAAACAGATTGGATTTTCGGCTCCTTCCAAAAGTTGATGGTTCACAAGTTTGAATTACTTGTCATTGAGGAGAAAAAACTAATTAAACTATTACTTGTGTATTTTTTTTCAAACGTTTGTTTTGAATGCTTTGTTGGAGAAGAAAAATAGTAAAAAAGTTAATTATTATGCAGATCAATTAAGAAGTTTTTTCAGCCAAAACTCAAGTTTTCAGTAATACAAATTTATCATTTTTCTTTTAATCTATGACAGAACTAATTTTCAAACTAGATTTAATTCAATTCAACAGTTAATATTGTAAAAAAATCCTTTGCTTTGATTTTCTAATGAAAGTGTACTAACTTTTGACAACCATTGAAATTCATTCAAAAAAAATTCTTTAATATATGAGTACTTAAATTAGACTCTGTTCTTTTTTTTATAAATTCACTGGAAATAATTCAAAATTTGTTTGAATTTCTAAAAACCATAGAATTTCTATTGGGTGTGGTCTGAGAAGCTAAAAAATAATCATATATTTTTCTTTGTTTCCAATATATAATAAAAAAAGTAATTATTTAAAATTGCAATTTAAATGAAAAACGTGATAAATTAGATAATTTATTTCGAGCGTGTAATTCTGGTTTTCAACAAATTGTAATGATGGGGAGATGCGATGAACCGCGATTTTGACGAGTCCCCGCAGACCGCAGGGTTGATTTGATATCGGGCGCTGAGAGCCTCGGGGGCAGAAAGCGCGCCGTTTTTATGATTATTAGTATTCCATTCATGGCCGACGTGGCAATCTCGTTCCCGCCCGCCAAGTTCATTAAGGCGCGGCCCCATAAAAAGATTAATCAGCGGCGCAAACTCAAGATTACGGCCGAACGGTCATAAATAAAAATACCTTTCGACTGATTTCCCGTTTAATTGCCGCTCAAAACACACAAGCCAGAGGGAATTTCATCCCCTCGGATTGATGGTTGTTTTCGTTTCCGGCCTGCAGAAAAACAAACTTGGGAAAGGGGAGTTCTTATCTGCTCGAATTTCTTCGCACAAATTGCAAAGTGGAAGGCGGGCGAGTTTTCCAGCACGGGTGCCGTAATCTGCATGTTTGCAGGCTCGAGGGCAGAGTTTATCCTCAAGTTGTGTCACCAGGGTACACGCATTCATCTCGCATGACCGTTCAAAAGATTTTGGAAAGGTATTTTTTGGAGAAAATGTAATTTTCAGTTAGGGAAAGTTGGAAAAGATTTAGTCGAATGAATTTAATATTTCATGTATTAAAAATGAAGCCGAAACATGAAGAGCGGGATATTGTTTTTTCTTAAACAGTAAAAGACTCACGAAAACCCATCGAGGAAAAGCCAAATTTTAAATTCAAATCACCATGAATTGACCCCTTGATCGCGAACTTCTACTACAAAATGAAAAAACGTTTTAATTGATTTAACGAATTTTTAAAAATTAATTTCTATAGAAATCTTGATGCATATCTAGTATAATTCCAGTTTATGCTTTTTGGGTTGGCACTACTGCAGATACTGGTTTATTTAGGCGGTTTTTGCTGTTAGTGGGCGTTTTTCCTACAGCTGATTCTCTGCTTCTTTGCAGTTTTACTGTCAAGTGTTTTTTGTGTTTAGTGCTCCTTCGAAATGAGTTTCAATTGTGAATCGGTGAGTTTTTATGTTTTAAACGTTTCCTTCCTGATCTTCAACCATTTAAAACGTTTGTAAAAAATTGAATATTTATGGAAAGCAAAATTTCGACTACGAATCAAGAAATAAATGGTTCAAGTAAATTGCATTGCATGACTGAAAATCAGCGAAATGAAGAGACGTCTTGGAGCTTAATTTTTGCAGCTCTCAAAGTTTCGTTCTGTGAATATTCAGCACGGGGGCTAATGGTGCCTTGGCAAGCAAAAAGCGGGCTCAGCGTCTTGGACACACTTTCGTATAATAAACGTTGGGCCAGTGTTAATTTTCAAGAGCAGACAAATTGCAAAAGCCGGGCCGGCCGGCGCTGCAGAGAGAGAGATTCGGGCAGCAGATATTAAAGCAAAAGGCATAAAGGGTAAAAAAAAAATTTTAATAACTTGATGCCGGAGCCGCTTTTGCAGCTTGTGTAATTGGAGCTCGCATGTATATGTAAACGGGATGGATATATAGTAACTGGCCCGGCCGCCACTTACATAAAAGGAAACGGCTTGCGTTGGGGGCGGAGGGGGGCGCGGGGGTCGGTCGGCGGCGGCGAAATGTTTCTCTCTGTGCGTGCGTGCTCGCGTCAAAGCGGCAGTCAAAAGCCAAGATGAAAGAGCAATGGAATAATAACACGCCCCCAGCCACCCCCGGACCGGCCCGCCTCCGTTTGGCGGCCTCTCTGCGTTTTGTTTTGATGTTCTGCGAAAACTCTGCATTTTTAATTCCACCTCAAAAATGAGCGCTTTTCACAAAAATCCGTTAAAATTTTAGGCGCAAATTATATTCCTTTTGCAAGAATTTAAACTTTAAAGTTAATTAAAAAAAGAGGAAACATTAATTAACATAAGTCTTACCTATATTTTTCTTCTTTTTTATGTTTATTTATTTGTATCTTGTTTTTATTTAAAACAGATAAAATTAAATTATTTAGGTATACAGATTTTTTTATGAATTGTAAATAAAAATCATGCTAATTTAATATTTGTGGTTTAATTTGAAAAATTGTTTGAATAACTCTTTGTTCAGAGAAAAAGAAAAATAATTGGTGGTAGAGAAATGTTGAATGTTTGTAAAAATGGCGATTTTGCGTTAAAAACGTATTTCAGGTTTTATTGAACTTTTAGTTAGCTTCAGTGCATTTCTGAGAATTGTCTCTAACAAGATTTTGTGTCGTTTGTTTTGCAGTGGCGTGTTCGACGGTGACTGTGACAAAGTGTCAGGCGGCGCTGAGGACACTTCAAGCCTTTCCGTTCTTCCGGCCGACGTGCCTGTGCAGGGAGCCGCACGTCGATCCCGAATGCAGCTCGTTCCGAGATTTCCTCTTCGACCACCCCTGCATATACGTCAACAAGAAAGGTATGCAAAACGAAGAGCTGCGTGTACACTTTAATTGCAAAGTGCGCTGCAGCATTTCTTCCTCTTTTTAAGATAATAAAAAATCGCATGGTTATAACGAGATGCATTTTGCGTTTCTTGGGAATTTTAAAGTCAAAGTTTATTTTCTTTTTCTTAGAAAGTATAAAATATGGAATTGCAGATAACATTTTAATTAATGAGATGTTTTTGCCGGTAAGGAAAGGTTTAAATTTAATATTTATTTAAGTAAAATATTAAAAAAAATCATACAATTTTCCAGTGTTCTCTTTCTAGATATTTTTTATTTTTGTAAATATTAAAAAATCAACAAATTTTTTTACACAACTTTTTAAACATTTTCTTGTAATGATAATTTATGGCACCTTTGTGGAAATTAAAATCTGCCTGCACCAGTGCTCAGTTATTAAAATATCATCAAATGCTGCTAAATTGTACCTTCGCTGCTTCTGGAGCGTGGAATGTTTTATGTTTGCTTGAGTTATATGCAATTATGAAAGCCTCCACAATTTGCAGAATTTTCTGCGTAAGAAATGAACAAATTAATTTCTAAAATCAACGAAACGTGAATTCGTGGTGGAGTAAACAAAATAGAGAGTGTGTTATAAAAAATTTCCTCGCCGCTTTTCAGGATTCAGTGAAGTGTTTCATTGTGGATTTTCTGTGCAGGCTGCAAAAATATTGTGCAATTCCATACTTAAAAAAGTCATAAAGGAGAGAACTGTACTTTTGCATATTCATATGTGTTTCTGAATGCTGTTGACTTATTTCTAAAACTCATGAACCGAAAAAGCGCAAAACGCAGAGGCAAATTGTAGTAGGATAAGAGGGGTAAAAAGCTTTATAAAAGTTTGAAAACTACTTTTTCAATATAAAAATAAAAATTAGCATCAGCAATTTCGCTGCCTCCGAACGCCAAGCACAGCCTCCGTTAAATTAAATCCAAATAACAGCATTAAAAGGAAAAAAAGATAATCAAAATGTCAAATTGAAATTGAGCCGTATTCTTCTGATGGAGGAATTTTCAAAATGCATTACGTTCCAACTTACTAATTAACTCGTGAGTGCTGCAAAGTAGCTCACCTGTAATTTAAAACGGTTGCACTTGAGAGATGCATGAGTTGTAAAGAAAAATGTATTTATATGGCCTGCTTTAATGTTAACCGAGACGTGTGCAATGCATGTGTTTGCTCAGTCATGCGATGTATGCGTGGTTTTTCACAAAGTTTTGCTTGTGCCACTTTTTGCAGAGAAAGACCCATATCCGGTGGACGCACTGCCCACGTGCAATCACGCCCTCTCCGTCTGCCAGTTGGAGAGAAAATGCATCAAACTGTTCGAAGACTTCAAGACTAACTGCAAGGTGCGCGACGGACAATGCAAAATGGAAGAAAGGTGAGAACAAATTTTCAAATTTTATGTAAAAAGAAATTATTTGGGGGGCTTAAGAAGAGCAAAAAGAAATGGACAAAATGTTGATCAAAGGTCTAAAAACAATCCAGAAATTTTAATAAAAGGCTTAAAATAGTAAAATATTTCACATTTTTCTAAGTTATATCATTTTGAAACAGAGTCCATAGTTAGAATTCAGGAAGGATTGCATAAAAAAAACTGAATTTTTTTCTTTTTCAGACTTCATAAAATTAATGAATTAAAATAATATGAAAAGGGAGCGTAATTTAATTCCCTTCCAAATAAATATTTAATTTTTAAAATTTCATAGAAATGTTCTTTATTATCGTTGCAGAAGATTTGTTTATTAATGAGCTTTGAACTCAATTGGTTCTTGCAATTATTTTATAAAATATTTGCAGAGCCAAAACTGATTCTAATAAGATCTTCTTCCTTTTTGTAACATTTCTGGCAAAGGCGGCTCTTTATACTTTATACCTGCAAAAAGTTTTCTACCTGCCGGCTTGATTCGATCGGGTGCGTCTCTCGTATTTAAGCGGCGGCCGGAATGACAAGCCAATTTTGCAGTTGGGCGACGTGCCGGCCCCAATTGGACGCCATAAATCCGACCCGAGAGCCCGGCCTGCTCATCAATTAGCGCTCCCCTTTAAAAATTAAGCCTCTCCAAACGGCCGGAAGGACAAACCACCCCGCCAAAAGCCGCCCCCTCCCCACCCCCCGCCGAACGGATGGTCCCGAAGGCGCGTTTTTTTCGTCCGACTTTATGTCGCTGACGCCGCAGAGAGGCAATAAAATATTAACTGTAAAAAACGACGACGTTGTCGATTTTACCATCGAACGATCACGTTTTCCTTGTTGAGGATCGAACAGGGCAGGATGACGATCTCCCACTAGGCCGCGCAGATCATTTTGGTGACCGGAACTTTATAATTCCAAGAGTGGCAAATTCTTGGTATTTTAATTTATCTGAAATTCTCACCAAAAGATTTTATAATAGTGCAATTTTTTTCAAATGATTTTTTATTTTCATGCGGATTTTTGTAAAAACCAGTAAAAACTATAGCAGAAGCTTTTAAAATGTCTTTTCCAAATAGTTAAAATTGATAGAAATGATGCAAGAAAATGCCTGAATAGTTTGAAATTTGATTTAAATTGTTTCAGAATGTAAATTTCTTTCTTTACAAAATAAATTAATATAAAAATAGAAAGGTTATGAAATTCGTAAGCAAAAAAGAAGTTTTAAAATTCATAAAAATTCAAATCATTTAACTTTTAAGTACTCTGACTTGTAATCTGAATGAAAATACTTCAGGAAGTAATTTTTTAAAAATTAATTTCACCGCAATCAATTGTGAAATGTTTAATCACTGTAAATATCAAAATCTAATTTGAAGACTTTAATTAACTATTAAAAAATTGAATAGTTTTAATATTTTGCAGAAAAAATCAAGTGATTTTTTTTTAAATTATTTATTGATAGAAATTTGTAAATACATAGACAATTTTCGTTTTTCTTAAAAAGAAAAAAAAATAATGCATCTGCTGGTGATTTGCGTTTAAATCGAATTGAGATCAGCCGGAAGCTAACCGGCCATGTAATGTGTTTGTGTGTCTGTGAGTGACGAGTAAATTTGCATTTGCAGGGACGCGTGTCACAGTGCGTGGACCAAGCTGCGGCTGTCGCCCATCTTCGGCTGCATCTGTCCGAACAACCACATGAAGCGGCGGTGCGACCGCATCTTCAGCCTCGTCAATCACAATCCGTGCGTCGGTAAGTTGGTCCCACCCTGAACGCACTTCGCTGCCCTCTTTTCTCTCTGGATTTGCAGCCTCTCTTGGACCGAGTTTGGAGAATGATTGGCCTCAATCTCAGTGTTTGTCTCTGTGAGCTGCTGTTGTAGACAAATAAACATGTGTGGTGCCGCAGGATAGGATAGGGGACTCAAGTCGCTCCATTTACCCCCCGGCTAATTGTGTTCGGCAGATATATCGGTCAGCCTTGTTTGCCTCTCTCTTCGATAATGCAAAAGCTGCAGCTGAATTCTGTTTTGATTTGCAACAGTTCTTGTCCACGAGGAATTTAAGAATAAAAAATTTATGGAATTTTCAAAATTATCAAACTTGATATTGCAATAAAAATTTCCAAATTCATTCATATCTTAAAATTTGTTAATCGAGTTGGCCAAATTTGCATTTAAAGTTGTGCAAATGTAATATTATTTTATTCCAGAATGTTAAATAAGACCAATTGCCAATTTTCATGACCAATATTTAAATTGTGTTGGAAAATTATCAACCATGAGTTGCAAATCAGGGATTTTTTTAGACTCACTTTTTCCCGCCAAACGAATTTGAGCCTCAGTGAAGTTAATCCTGATTGCATAATCACCATATCAGGTTAAAAGAGCCAATATTCTACTCAAATTCTACTTCTGAACAGTAAAATCTCAGTCAAGGTTCAAATTATTTTGGCGCAAAATCTTAAAACCTGGTTAACATGCTTAAGGTTGCAAAGTTTTTTTATTAGCGATTTAATGCTGGTCATGGAATTTTTCCTTCTTTTACGTTCAGGAATAAAAATAATTACCAGTTTCCGTCTTTAAGTTGTAGTAAAAACTGAATGACATTGGTATTGTCCTTTTTAATTGAATTTTTAGGCTACTTTTACGCAATGAAATAATTTCAAAGCAATTTCTCCTTTTCCTTTCTGCAGTAAATTAAAATCATTACTTGCACTTTTATTCACTTCAGAAAGTAATTCCCAATTGTAAATTGTTGTTTACCACTTTCCCCTTTTTTGAACAGAATTACCGCTGGAAGCAAAGTGACCTACATACGAACGCAATCAAAGAGACAATCAGAAATCTGAGGAAGGCATGTCTCCCTCCCTTTCACTGATAAAAGCGCCATCGAAACCCGGTCCGTCATTACGAAGCCCATAATTGAAATCGAATGTGGCTCCTATACTTTTTCCTCCTTGCCGTGTTTTTATTTATAGCCCCGAAATTTCCCTGGTCGTAAAAGAGAGAGAGAGAGAGAGAGAGAGAGAGGCAAACAGAGAAAGATGATGACTTCCCATCGATTGCCTTCATTTGGCGGGCTCTTCTTTTCCGTCAAAATCTGCCACCGCGCAAAAGACCGACTAATGATCGATATTAGATACCCCACCATGTTCTGCCTTTATATACACATTTCTTTCTTTTTCCAAAGAATGGAGCGGCGGAGAAGAAGATACTACTTTATATTCTAGCAAATCCACTCTCTCTTGTGCATTTAACTTTTAAGGAGGAAAAATCCGTCGGAGCGAGTCAAACGTGAGCGCGCCTTTATTTATTATATATTTTTACTTGGCCGAGCAGACTTTGTGCATATTAAGCGTTTGCCTCTCCGCATGCACGCCAACTAAGTCGAAATTTATTGCCGGGATTTGGCGGTTTCCGATGATTTTTGCCCGCGTACAAGAGCGGAAACTGAATTTCAAACAGTTCGCTTATGAGATTTGCGCGCAGGCTGGCTTTATTTGGGAAACTCGCCGCAAAACTTCCGACTTGTGTTCAACAACCGAAATCCACCAATTCATCTTTGTTTATTTATACAATTTTTATTATTCTTTCTTATGATGTCATAATCTTTTTTTTTTTTTTTTTTTTTTCAAAAAAGTGATAATAATTATTATTAAAATGTTTTATTGGTTTCCAAAAATGTTTAATTTTTAATAAAAAAAAAATCAACAATTTTTTTATTAAAACAAAAATGCCAAATATATTCATAATAGAATTTTTTTACTTTGAATAATGTTATCTTTTTTCAGCTTCAAATGACCGGTTAATATTTTTTTATTATTATTAAGCTTTTAACTTTTTAGTGTTTGGGTTAACCCATTTATGTGGGTCGCTTTTGCAGACCGAATTTCGTCCCTTGCATTAATTTTCCTCTGGCAAAAGACACTGGCGACACTTTGGAAACTGAGGGACCGCGAGGGCGCGAGAAAAATTTTCGGAGGCGCGCGTGCTTTAGATGCCCATCGGGGACCATAACCGTAAAAATCCAACAAAAAGTTGTTGCTCCGCCGCGCGCCACATTTCGCTGGATATTTACATGCTAAAGTTTTGTTTCGCCCCTGGGGAAGTCTGCGAAAAATGCACTGCCCGACTCGGAAGCATATTTTCAAATCTAGAAGGTTAACTTTCTAGCCGAAATTTTATTTCACAAAAAATGAAAAGTAAGCAATTGTTGGATGATTTTTTTCTTTCTTAAATCCACATGTCAATTTTTCCAATTTCAGGGGGTGGATTTTAGCAAATAAAAAAGTGACCACTGTTCTTTAGATATGAATCAATTTATTCATAGTGATAAAAAAAATTAATTGTATACGTTTCCTTGTTTGGTAGGAGCAAAGAACACTTTCTCCCGTGCTGACGTAAGTAAGTGTTGTTTTTGACAAGTCGGCGGTGTCTTCAAAAAGAGGGTTGAATTAATCATGGGGTGTTTTCCGTGTGTTCAGGAGGCAAAAGTGGTCTCGAGAATCGCGAGCGAGCGGAAAGTCGCTCTTCTCTAGAATTCATTAATTAGAAAACGCGATTAACGCGGCGTGAACGCAAAGCACAAAGGCAGACAAAGAGAGACTCACTTTGCCGCGTTTAAGTCGCTCCGACGGATCTCGCACACGACCAGCTCACCTGCTCTCTATTTTCGGAAATATGGAAAGCTGCTTTTCCGCTCGTCCGAGTGTGGCCACGGGGATGACGCCCCCGCCCCCACCCCCTCCTCCCGCCAGCCTGTCTGTCCACAAATATAACAGAGACTGCCCTCACCAAAACTCCGTCCGCTCTGTGATGCATTCCTAATTTGGATTATTAATTACACGACGCATCCATCCAACCGACCGACCACAATATCGAGATCAATACTCACCGCACAGCACACACACACTCGACCCCCCCCCCCCCCACCAATATATAGAGATGATATTACACACAGAGTAGAGCACAAGATTATACTGTTTAATATAGAAACGCACCAGCAGGCCGATCTGCTCTCCAGGGGCACAACTCTCCAAATTTAATTTTTTTACCCAAGTGTATTTTTTTTTACTATTTATTTAGACGGTCAATTTCCTTGGTAATTGTTTGCATATAAAAAAATTTCATTTTATTGATAAAAATTATTTAAAATTTCTTAATATATGAGTACTTTTCATTGAAATTTTCAACCCTTATTTTAAATTTTATTTTTGAATTATTTGAATTTAGTAAAAAGCACACCAGGTTGAAGGATTATTTTACAAAAGACGATTTTAAATTGAAAAGGGGAATTTGTATCATGCAACTTGCACTACCCTTTGGGACCTTTGGTGTTCTGGAATAGCAATAAAAGTTTCACAAATTCGCAAGGGACGGTAGTTTGCATTTAGACGACAGAAAGTCTTGCCTATTCAAATTTACAAATTGAGGACAATTTGAGCAATTTCTTGCTTTTCTCAATAGTTTTATCTTTACAGATTCCCATTATGAAAGTGTGCTTTTCATCCAGTTAATTTTATTTGGATAATTTTATAATTTTTGAAAAATTTACTGAAATTTCAACTCCCGTGATTTTTATTGATCTTTATTTAGAAACATCGCTTGATTTTGATTATATCTAGTGATAATTCTCCAAACCTTTACGTCGCTATCACGTGGCAATTCTCACATAAAAATTTGAACATTGAGTTGCAGTGATATTTTTCCGTCAGTTTGGTCACAAAACTTAAGCTTTTGGCATTGGTGACGCTGCGATCGTTAATTTTGCAAAATCGGCGATCGCAGCGCTAACATTGACCAGAAATTCAAGTTTTTTAACCGAAAAATATCCCTGCAACTCAATTTTCATATTTATTTTGTTTGCGCGAATTAGGTTTTCTTGTGATTGAGACGGTTTCAAATTTTCACATCACGTTATCACAAGAAATATTTGTAGCGATATTTTTTAAATAAAGAGCAAATAAAAAACGCTGGAGTGGTTATTTAAAATTCTTTTTTTTTTTCATTTTTCAAATTAGAATTTATAAAAAATTTCTTTATTCTGATTTCTAAAATTTTTAATATTGATGAAAGCCATTACAATCAAGCTTCCATAACAATCTCTTCCGCATAGAATGCGTCCGGTAAATTAATCGGGTCGAGTGTCGCCCCTGGAGAACTCGTTTGGACGTGTATATCATAACAGTGCATGGAACTCACCCCCTGCATACGGTATTATTTGAAATTCACACCACCAGCAGATTGGCGACAATGTTGCGAACACGCACCACTATTATGTATCAAGCCGCCGGCTCAATAATATCACAAAATCCGTCCGTCCAGCAGCAGCACAAACTCGCCGCCCAATTTCCGTGCACGCACGCACGGTTTCCAGAAATATTCTCTATATATGTTTCGACATGTGTGTGTGTGCAACACAGGCAGTAAAATTTAAAAATGGCCACCTGCTTATCGCGTCGATCGCCTAGCTCTGTCGAATCCACTCCACGCAGTCATGCAGTATGCTAATTTTGGCGCATAACCTGTTTCAGACCATAAATCGAGCTCGTTGAAAAAATAGAAAAAAGAACAACGTAAGAATTATTTAATTCATTCACATTTATGACTTAATTATATAAAAAAAAATATGTGCCAAATAAGAAAACAAAGTTTCTGAAAATATTAAAAACTAATTAAAAGTAAGATAAAATTTGTTTCTGTTTTCAAATATGTATAAATTTTTTCTTAAAACCTATTAAGAAATTAAAAAACTTTTACAAAATACAATCCGATACAATCAATCTTTAAATTTGTTATTATATTGGATTTGCTTTTTCTTATTTTATTTCAAGGTATTTAAATTTCATGAGATCAAACCATGCTATTTTTTTTTAATCTTTTAGAATTTTGCAAAATCTTTCCACATTTTTGGGTATTTCCAAATCATTCAGAGCTCGTTCTTCATCCCCTACAGTTCCGAAATCCAAAACAATTATTCTTGATACAAAGTTTCAGATAAAAGTTGTGTGGAAACAAACGCGATCGGGTCCCAGGTGGCTTTGGCTAAAAAGAAAGCGATGTAATTTCGGCAACTCCCCAGTGGCAGTGCAGCTGAAATCGGCTTGCGAGTGCTCCAGCCAGGCCAGATTGACTGGTAAATGATTCCCAATAAAAAGCGTTTGACTGTTGAGAGCAGTGTCTGTCTCTTTCCAACGGCCCGCTTTACGGCTCCGATGCAAACAAACAGCCAGAGAAAGAACGAAAGAGCAATTCGGCCAAGATTCCGTCGTTCCGGCCGCCTGACGCACACATAAAAAAGAATACGAAAGGAAAAAAACTCTAAAAAAATCTCCTTTTTTTATTTAAATAATGAAAAACGCACTTCTGCTGCTGGACGGATTGACGTGATTAAAATTCACTCACCCCCTTGTTTCCTTCACACTCACACCAACACTCACTCTAGGAGATAAAGAAACTGCATGACTATTTATAAAAGCACAACTTTCGCAGGTCGTCCCAGCACAAACTCACTCTTGTTGGATACTCAAGTGATTGTTAGCGCATAAGTTGTCACATCTTAACCGAGGCTGATTCAAAATCATGTTCAAATTGAGAAAATCTTACCAAATATTCTGATAGTTCTGGCCAGAACGATTCCAAAAAATAAAAAAATAAAAGGATTTAAGATTAAAAAATATCATTATCCATTCATGAAAGTAAAAGATATTATTATCAAAAACAGGAATCGTCTAGTAAATTACTAATTTTGGGTTTTCTTTTTGAGAGAATTTGAATCAACCTCAAAATATGACGGTGCAGTTTAGAAACGGCACTACTTGTCTGCGTATATATTTGTTCTTCACACGTTTTGCGCGAATTTCTATAGTGGTATCTTGATACAAAAATTATATATTGATATATATTATTATAAAAATTTGCATTCTCAAAATTGGTGAATTCGTTCTGCACCGCATGACTTTAGAATTTCCAACCCGAACGAGCAGAGTCAATTTGGAGACGCTGTATTTTTTTATTCAATGTGCAGCAAAAATGAGTTTTGAAATGAGATCAAATCCGGGCTGAAGCCGCCGGGAAATTCGCGTTGATCCCTGGCGCTGCTGCGCGTTTATTTAGCCGGGATCAAACGTAGCAACAAAACGCACTCACGTATCTCCAAATTGACGCTCGCCCCGGGCTGCGTTTTGATACTCTCACGTTTCCAACTACAACAACAACTGGCTGAATTTCGACACGCGCTGTTTGCGCATGAAACCATTTATGTGCCTGTTTATATTTGCAAATTCGATATAATCTCGCCAATTGTTCGTTTTAAATTGGCGGTGACATAAATATTTAATTGAATTAAATTTTAATTGGTACACTAAAATAATGCTTCAATTTAGATATTTTGATGAATTTTTATTAAAGGAGATGGAACCACCTCAGGGCAGCAAAGACCTCTACAAAAACTGATAGGTCATGACATATGGATCATTTTGAAAAAAGGGGTTAAGAAAAGTTAAATTAAAAGTTGAAAAAAAAAATGGTTTTTAGCATTTATCTTGTTTCTGAGAAAATCATGCTGATTTTGTTAGCACTTTAATTAACGGATCTGCAAATAACTATCTTGATATTTTGTTTTTTGATTCTCAATTACCCAAGTAATGAAAATTCTTCATTTGTCGAATTCCAATATGGCCGCCGGTGTTACTGAAGGGTTTACTAAAACTGCTCCCAAGTTAATCTGGTTAAAGATAAAAAAAAAAATTTTCGTGGAGCGAATGGACCAGGATATCTTTTCTTAATAGTTTTCAAGTTTCTAGGTCGAAGGGAAAAGGTTAAAATATAACGTTTTGTGCCCCTTGAAAATTGGCAAGTATACAAAAATACAAAAATGCGAAATTTCAAAAAGATTCCTTATGTATTTTTTTTTTATATCAGAGTTCAAGGTTTCATAAATTTTAAGCAACCTATTTTTAGAGAAATAATGGTTTCAAAATGGTCTGTTCAGATGCGTTAATAATTGAAAATGACGAGGATTTTTCACCGTTCATATTTTAATCAAATTGAGCAAGATTTCCTGAAACCCATTTGAAATTGGAAAACATTTGGTATAGAAGGTTCCATGTACTTTAAAGAAGTTTGTATCTTTAAGTGAGAAAGTTTAGTCTCATCTGCTAAACCTTTCTTTCAAATTAAAAATCAGTAAAATCACAAACACTTCAGCCAGTTGTGTGTTCTGAGAGTAGAAAATGAATATATATTATTGTCTTGAGTTATTTCTTGGTTATGTCTTGAATTTTTTTGATTTTCTCACTTGATCGTACGGCACTTTCTTGTTCGGTTTGTGAATTGCGAGCGCACTTTGACTGCACTGACCAGACTTCCTTGGTGTTTTGTTGCAGACGTCCTGCCAGCCTCTCTTGATTTATCAGGCACTGATTCCGCACTTTACCCGTATGAACAGGATAACAAATTCCGCGAGTTTTGGTTTCCCCCGACCAGCCTGTACCCCTACTTTCTGCTGCCCCCCACCTACCGACCCTGGCCGTCCAAGCATCCCCCTCCACCTCCGCACTACTATCACGGCACACACGAACACCACCACTTTTCGGTCGTGGACGAGCCCCATGTTGTCAAGGCAGGCCCTCATGTCCCCGTTTCAGTAAACGTGATTCCAGCAGCCGAGAACGACTCGATCGACGCCATCGACACGCAGCTCGAGAACCCGCTGTTCGGCGTCCGCGGCGGCGCCTCCCACGCCGACGTCTACCGCCTGCTCCACTTCAACACCTCCGTCGACGACCACCACCGGCCCACCCACAAAAGTACGTCCGCACCCCCAACTATCATAATATGTGTCGCATTTGCTCAAAGGGTCGCCGAGAGTTACGATTCCCAGGAGAAAGATAATTAACCAAGTTCCGAGCTTCACATAATTTCAAGTTTCTGCTTTTGGCCGCATTTCCCAAGGCGCACTTAAGTTATTTTGATGGTTCGGAAGTTTCGAATGCAATAAAACTGGCAACGAATAGAAATTTTAAAAAGGAGCACCGGTAATTTATTTTATTCCTGAATTATGAAATAAAACCAACATTAAAATCACAATCAGAAAAGTCGCACCCTAAAACTTCAAATCAGAGGTTTTCCTGCCAAATAAATTTCAACCTCTGGTTGAAACAGCTAGAATTTTTTACCCCGATTTTGACGTTGGTCATGATTTGCCCGTTGCCCTTCTTCAATTTAAAAAGAAATCAAATTTGAAGAGAATAGCATATTTAAAAATTCAATCTTTAATCTAACGAAAGCCATTTAAAAACCTGCTTCCTCATATATTAAATAATTAAATTAATAATTATAAAAAATTCAACACTTTCCCTTTTGATTTAAAAAGTTATGGTGGTGAAAAAGTCACCTGAAGTCACAAAACAAAATATTTTTTTCTTGGCAATACGGATTTTTAAAGAAAATTAAAAAGTAATCATAAAAAAATACAATATAACAATAATTTGCTTCAAGTTTTAATTACATTAATTAATTGCACTAAATCTCAAGCTCAATGAAATTATAATCATTAATTAGGTACAAAAATTGTTTTCGTTCATTTTGAATCAGTTTTCTATTTTCAACAGTCATATGGAATTGTCCAATTTTTTCTCTGCTATTATTACAAGAAATTTTCATTTCAAACAATAATCAATGGCGGTCCTTTATGAAAGCTATAAATGTGCATCCATGCTGTTCTCGTTTTTCATACAAATATGTAAATGGAACGGCCGTCGTCACCAGTCGGCACATTTTCACGTCGCCGATAAATTATTCGAAATGTACGAGCAAACAAACGGACACTAATTCCGCAAATTGCCAAATGATATACTCTCCGCGAGCCGTTTCACTTTGAGCGCAATTCGCTCTGGTAATAACGAGGCAATTTGCCGGTAATTGCGAGCAATTATCTCAATTGTAATAAACAAAACAGTCAAATCGATATGAAACTCCTGCGAATCTCTCGTCGACCCTTTCAGCTTCTAATAATTTTAGTATTTTTTCTTTCGTACAGTAGTGCATCGTGTTTGATGGTCTTATTTGTTGTCTGCTTTTCCTCAAATTTGCAGCGCCACATCATTTCTTCCATTTTCTGTCCCATGTGTAAAAATAAATGTGCCACACTAACGTATATAAAAAAACGCTTTTAGCACACCCAAGGTAGGTCAAAGTTTGAATCGAGTGTATTTTTAGCACAATTTTTCGGATGCAGCGCGTTCCGCAGTGTGCAACACAAAAAGCTGATAATCAGCCCATATAATCCTTTCTCGCGCGGGACGCAGTGAACTAAATATTGCCTGCCGCTCCGAGCGCTTTTCAATTTTAATTCTATTCCGCAACTCAAACAGCTTTTGGGGAAGTGTTAAACAGTAAAAGTTAATATTCAAAAAAGAAAATAAGCGAGCAAAAACTATATTCAAATAAAAATCCGGTTTTATTGGAAAATATCAGCCAATTAAATTGTTTAAAACTGGATTAAAGTGAATTGATTCAGTTTAGCCTGACTTTTCTAATTTTTATTTTGACATTATAAAATATCTTAATTTATGGCATATTTTCATGTTGATTTAAAATATTTAGTATTAAAACCGTTTTTTTTTCATTATTCTGTGACTTACTTCAATTTTTAGACTAAACTGAACAAAAAATCTTAATTTTATTAAACTTTTTAGCCTTTTTAACTAAAACTACTTTCATTTTAAAAAGGACTTTTTCACCGCCAAAATTTTCATTTTATTTGAATTAATTTTCAATGCAACACTGCCCCCGGTCTTTGTTTCTTCTCGCGAGTTTGAGCATCTGCTCTGGCGCGGATTATTGCTTCCTGACTTGGCTCTTCCTCTTTTCGCCCTCGATGCTGCTTTTTAATAAATTCGGCCGAGTGTCCCGCATTTTCATGTGTCGTTAAACGCGAGATTCGAAATTTAATTTCAACACACACACACCCTCCACTGCTCGAACGTACTCGCGAAAAGCTGTTATGTGAAGCTTTGCGGAACCGATCGCGTTCTTATTTTTATTTTTCTTCGGCTTTTGTCTCTCGTTTTTTTCGTCCTATCACTCGAGCGCGCATTCAATAAGCAAGAAAATCCGTCATCGCCAGCAAACACCCCTTTTTTGTGCAAATGCTGGCGTTAAATTTGATTTCAAGCCGACTATTGCATTTTTATAGTTTCCCTTCTGACAATAACCTCCAGCCATAAATCTGTTCCAATCTAGTTGTACACAAGAAAATTCCTTATAAAAATGTTTATCCGTTTTTATTCCAATATAAGTTTGGAAAAAATTGACAGAATCTTGCAATGGATGAAGACAAATAGTCAAAATTTACTTTTAAAATAATTTAAGGACTCCTTAATAATAAATAACAAATAAATTCTTGGAAATTACTGGAATAATTGGAAAATTTAACCACACAATTTTGTACAGACTAGATTTTTCCATCCGAATAGGAGTTAATTAATGTGTAAAAAAAATATACAGTAAATTGAACAAATTTTCAATCCATGAATGTAATAATTAAAGTCCAATTCTGAAAACGTTTGGGTTATTTTGATTAATCTCCATCTCAAATTTGTTTGCTAATTTTAGACTGGGCGCGTTTGTTTTTTTAAGGATTCGACGAACTGAAGCCTCTGATCCGGCCACGGAAATCGCGCGGCTCAGTCTGAATAAATGATGCTCTAATTAATTAACACGCGCGGCTTATTTATAATTCATTGCGATATTGACGCTGCAGGGTCGGGGAGGGTGGGGGGAGGGGGCGTTCAATAAATTCATGCCGACACTTGCATTATTAAATTTAACGAGTCTCTGTGTGCGTTTTGTGCTGCGTCACCTTTTCGGCTGAAAAATTAATAAGTCCGGCCGGCATCGTCGAAAAATGAACCAATGGGGTGGCGAATTTTGATGGGCTTAATCATAGAATCACATCCTTTGAATTCCAGCACAAAATAGGAACCAAATTTCTGAAAAAGTCTTTTTTTTATTCTTATACTTAAAAATGATTTTATCTGCGGAGTTCCTCAACTAAAATTAAATAGTATTTTTCATATTAATCAAAATCTTAGCCAACAGTTGCAATTTTAAATTTAATTTCTCACTTTGAACCTTTAAAAAGAAACAATTTTGAAAGTAAACTTGAGCATATAATTATGAACCACCCTTGAATTTTAGCTGACTGTGTGAAGTCGTCGGTTGTTTGCCTAGTTATGAAAACATTCCTCCACTAGAACAATGTAGCGCAGCGAGCAAATTAGCTTGCCTTCGACTCACTCTCGGCTGTAATTTGTCTTGGAACGACGGCGAAACACGACCGCAATTTCCCTCTCTTTTCTCGAGAGAGCGAGCGAGCGAGCCGAGTCAAATGTATGCAAGCCCGCTCGTCGTTAGCATCACGCGGGTTGCATAGCGTCGCTCGCTGCAGGCGTTCCGCTGCAGCAACTGGCCGGGGCTATTCAATTACGCGCAACAACTCTCGGGCGACGAATTAATTTTAAATAATTGTTCGAAAGTTGAAAAAGGCAATTTTGTCTGCATGAGAATAGTTTCAAAATTTAATTATCAAGGAAAGCTAAATTCAGTTGAGATTTTTACCTGCCAAAATTGCATTTTTGTGTCAATTTCATTTTAATTAAATTTGTTAATTATCTTCTTTTTAATGCGGCGATTTTTTGATCTCAGATTTTAATTGAAACCTCCCCGGTTAAGTTGTTTAAGGGCAAAACGTATGGGTAAATTTTTGAAGATGAAAAAGTAAATTAAATATGATATCTTTATTTAGTCCTTAAATAATTTTTCCTAAAAACATTTTGTGCTCAGAAATTTCAGTGAAATTTGCAAAAAAATTTATGATATCATTTTTTTTTTGTATGAAACTAGGCCAGAGAGTCGTTTTTAGTCGCGTTAAAATGAGTTTAATTTGCAATGTCGGATTCATTGTTGAGTGAATTCTCAATTAAAATTACTATTCACTATTGTGATCAAACCTTCTTCGTCCTAAAATGCAGCATTAGGAATTTCAGATCAAAGAAATCAATTTGTTTTAATGTAAAAGTTGATTACGGATTGATTGACACAAGCAAATTTGTGAATTGCTGTTTGAAGTCGTTCCTAAATAGGATGATTAAGAAATAACCCGTATTTTAATTAAAATATTTCTTATTTGAACAATAATTTAGTTTATTTTTGAAAAAGTCTGGTCAGAAAATTGGAATAAAAGATTGGCAATAAATATTTTGATCGGATTCTTACAACTTTGCACATGGTTTAATTTTTCAGAGATTTAAAATGTTGAAAAATTTTCTAAATCTTTTTACTGAAATAAAATATTTGCTTTCATTTCAAAAACGAATTTTTTAAGCTGTGTCTAATCGAAATCAGAAAAAATTCCGTTTTTTTTTTTAAATAAAAATCTTTGCAAACATTTATGAATGATCTAAAAGTTTCACAATAATTAAAATAAAAAATACACGGGTCAATTCTTTGCAATATTAAAATAAGAAGACAATTTTCTTTAATTTTATTACTAAATAAAATATTGTAATTTTATGTCAATAATAAGAAATTAGGTATCCAAATAGTAACTTCAGACACTTTAAACTGGGCTTTACAAATTGGAGTTGCGGACTCGAGCCATTCATTAGCAGTTTTTAGTTGGCTGCAGATGGAAATCTATCGTAGAGTGGCGGCGGCAGTGATTTTATTTCCATGTTCGGGTGGGGAAATCGGAAAGCGGCACGTGTTATTAATGTTGGTCGCATGCATGTTGGCCCAATTTGCGCCGCGCCAGTCTCGTGTTTCAATTTGTTTAGCCGCGTATTTATTTATGCCGCCGGCTGGGAAATTAGTGAGGCAAATATAATGCACGGCGGGGCCTCTTCGCAAACGTCGAAATAAAAGTATCGGTTGTTTGTAATCGAAACGCGAGAAAATCGGGGCGTGTAATTAATTAAGTGGACAAATATTTGCGAGTGAATAGCCCCGGCGTATTTATTTATGACTGGTGCTGTGGAATGCATGAGCAAACTAAAACACGGGGGATGCATAATTCATCCGTCACCCTCTCCGCCCGTTTATTTGCCTATTACGGCGCTTTAATTTGCCTGCTAATTATTAATGCATCGCTTCATTTGCCTGCCTGTGTGCCCAGCGATTTTTGCTGCAATCTCGTTTTCAAAAAAAATTCGCATGCATTTCTGTGTGACTTTGTGGGTTTGTGCACTCTCAGAGGTTGAAAATTTGGTCCTGCCGGAATTAAAATATTGTATTATTTTTAAGCCAAAATTTTTAATTCATAAAAAGAATTTGTGGATTCTGCATAAATAATGCAAACAAATTTTTTTAACGAAAAGAAAAATTTTTTTAAAACATTTCTATTTACAATTTTAATCAAATTAAAATAAAATTTTGTTTTGAGGACCATGGGAATGTTTGACACTTCTTTTGAGGGTGCATTTCGAGGGACGTGTTTGTTTCTAGTTGTTAATCTTGATGATGTGCTGCACACAAAAAGTTGCGTGTCTAATCCCCAAGTCCCTGTCGTCCGACCCGTTTTTGTTCCTCTCGCTCTCACGCGGCGAGCGATAATGCAGTGTATCACAAGCCGCAGCAGCATTTTGTGTGTTTGTGTCGTAATCTAGGTCCTGTGTGTGCGCATAAATATAGTTTAGAGCCGCCGAGATGTTATTAGCCGGCCTGTGGCCAATACACTGTACCTGCGCTCGCTTACAACATCCCTAACGTAGCCAAAATTCTAACGTAGCCAAAAACCGCGGAAACGCACGGCTGGTGGATTTTAGCCAAGAGGTCGTTATGATAATTTCTAGAGTCGAGAAAATATTGCATTAATTTTAATTTCAGTTTATCAAAGAAGAAAATCTTGTTCTTGAATATGAAAAAAAGACCAAATTTCACCACCAAAGTCCAAATAAAAAATTCCAATCGAAACTTTTTACTCAAAATTTGCATCCCTCTTGATTCAATGATACTAAAATTAAAATCAATATTTTCCATTAAATTTGGCTTAAATATTTTTAAATCCTCTGTAAAAAGCTCCAAAATTTTCAATCATATTTAAATTAATTAATCCTACCCCGCTTTATAATTTTTCTCCAAAGAAATAATTAATTTTGTGTGCGAATTTGCCTGTTTGCAGGCGCGACGGACAATGAAGTGTCCCGCACGTTCAGCTTCCAGAGCACGTGTCACCTGGCGCTGGACATGTGCAACAACAATTACAACTGCCGCTCGGCTTTACTGCCCGTCCTGCAGTATTGCGACGCGAGCCGCTGCGCCAGGGACGCGTGCATGGCCGCCCTGCAGACCTTTTACCGCGCCGTCGACCTCAAGTGGAGCCTCGAGGTCGCCTTCTGCCTCTGCAAGTCAGTGTTCAATCAAGTCAATTACGCTCCCCATTGCCAAAGAATAATTAAAATTTTGCCAAAAACAATGTGGATGAAAAATTTTAAATCAAGATTGAGGAATTAGATCAAAAATTTGTTCAATGAAATAATTGTGAAAAAAATTAGCAAAGTTTTTAAATCAATGGATTTTTTTTCTAATATTAATATTAATAATAATGCTCAAAATTATTATTAAATTTTCAAATAATTTAAAAAAAAAATGGGATTCGCTTCTAATGCTTGTGTGCTTTTGTGTGCATTTCAGGAAAACGGACAATAAACACGACGAGTGTCTAGTTGCTCAAGAGCAGTTGCACCCCCTGTGCGCGCAGAGGGTGGACGGCGCCGCCATGCCCACCTGTCACTCGCTGGCCGAGGTGTGCCGCGAGGAGGTCGGCTGCAGGTATAATTATCTGTCCCTCTCTTTTTCCTCTTTTCCGCCCGGGCACGCACAATAACAAGCGGCTCCATTTGAATTACAAAACACGTCGCACGCGTGCCCGGTTTTATACCGCTTGGTGGAGCAAAAAAATGTTTAAAAAAAGCAGACACTTACATTGCGAGCTGTCACAGATCGACTAGTGCCTGTGTTTTGCAGTTTTTTACCGAAATTTTTTTACATTGCAAAAATCTGCGTTATTTTGTAGATATTTTTGATTCGGAAACCTTTCTCTTTTAATATTCATTTAAAACAATCGGATTATTTTATTTTTAATGTTAAGATATTAAAAAAAATCATCTTTAATAAAAAAAAAAAAAATGTAAGCAAAATTTAGAGTAGCGTTAAAATAATTACTAAAATAGTTTTCTTCATCCTTCTTTATATTTATTTAATCCAAATTTTCCACTTTTCTCAGCTTTTGCAGCTTCATCTTTCATTTTAAATATGTAATTTTTACCCAAAATTCATTGAAATTTATTTTTTATCACATTCATTAGTTTTAATTTGAAATTCTGCCTCTCAGGGTGAAATTGGAGTTGTACGAACAGTCCTGTGCCGTGGACAGCGTGACGAAAAAGTGCGCCGGGTCGCCGGTCGAATGTCGAAAGGCGATGCTCGGCATTTTGGGCACAAACCTGAGGTCCAACTGCGGCTGCAAAAACATGGACTTCTCGCAGCTTTACGACTGCCTCGGCTGGCAAAGACTTCTCTGGGTCAATCCCTGCGTAGGTCAGTAAAAGGAAATATTAATTCTTGTAAAAGTTGAGCGATAAAAGCGGCACTTGTTCTGCTGAGAGCTATTAAAAGTTTGAACAAGTCTTTCTTAGCCGCGGGGCGATTCCTCCGTGCTAGACAAAGCCAGTTCAGCGCGTCTGTTTAATTGGAAAAGCGATTGTTTCAATTGGCGTGGTAATAACTTTTAAACGCTGAGAAATCAATTTCAAGTGGAAAAGCTATTCATGCCAGTTTCATCAAGATGAAAGTGGATGAAATTTTAATAAATTTATTACAAAATTAGAACTTCAATGTATTTTCCTAAGCAATGGAACTATTTTTACTTTAAAATTAACAGAAAAATGTATATTTCTAATCTACAAAAAAAATATTAAAAATATGATTTAAAAAAGAATACGAGTTATATGACTTAGGATTGTGCTGATAAACACAAACAGCCTTAATAAATTTTTTACAGCAACAACTAATATTTTTTTGTACATTTTATAATCATTATTATTTTTTATGGAATTTTCTAATGCTTAATTTTTTTCAAAATCCTTAAAACTGAAAAAAATCAAGTGAATTTGTCCACAATGAAGCTGGATAATAAAATAATGATAAACACTGTGAAAAAATTGTATGCTTTCCATTTTGAGTTACAATTAAATTTCAATTAAAACAGGAAATTAATACAAATTTTCATTCAAGTTTCATTAAAAAATTAAATAAATTTGTCTTTGAATCAATTAATCAAAATTAAATCTGGAATTAACATTATTTTTCAAATTTAGTTGAATCCCAGAAAGATTTCCACGCCAGCAAACTGCCGCCCCCGACGACGGCGCCCCCGGCGCCGCCTCCACCCCCAGTGTACATCACACCTGCGTGGACGTTGCCGCCGCCGCCTCCGACGCCGCCCACGGCCACTGTCTCTCGGACGACGTCCACCCCTCAGACGGCCGCCCCCACAACGCCACCCCCGACCCGCCCCACAACCCTTACGAATCCGCCGGCGCCGCTTCCGGCGGCGCCAACCACAACCACCTCAACGACGACGACAACAACGACCACCACGCAGGCCGCGGTGGTCACGACGGAGGCCACCGAGCCTCCCACTACTACCCCCACCACCACCACGACCACCCTGCCCACCACAACAACAGAACCGCCAAGTGAGTAAAACAACAAGACCGAATTGATTTCAATTAAATAAAATAGAAAGTAAATTGAAAAAAATTACTTTATAGCATCTATTGTTTGTTAATACAAATAATATGGAAATCAAATAATGAAAGAAAGGTTTGATGAATAATTTTGCGGATAATTATTTGCTTGTAGAAAGGTGATTTTTACGAATGTGCTCAAAAATTAAAAAGAAATCTTATAATTTAATAAATTTTTTATTGTTATTTTATTTAATTTTTGGCAGAATATTTTTTTTATCTTTAATGTTCTGCTTTTTTACTCTAGTTCTAAGTTCAAATTTCAGCAATTAGTGCTTCATTAGATAAAAAAGTAGTAACAATATTTTATTTTTATGCTTCATGTTAATAGAATTTGACTACTGAAGAGTCGTCAAAGACTCTTTTAGAATTCGTTTTGCATAAAACCTTAACTTTCTCAAATCAAAAGCTACTTAACATTCTACTAATTGCTATTGTATGTAGTTCCAAAATCTGGTTTCAATTATGAAAAATGAAAAATTGTAATACTTTCATAATTTAAATATTTCAGAACGAATCATAAATTTGTCCTTAAATTCGTTTATTTTCGGTTTATTATTCAAAAATTCTCATCAGCAAAAATTATTCCAGCTTTTTTTTTAAATATTTTTTAATTCATATTACCAAACAAAGGAGTCTGGTTATATTTTTGTTTCAAACAATGCAATAAACCAACAAAAAATTAGTGTAATTTGTAATTCATTAATTTTTCTGATTAAACTCTCATTTTCACATTATTTTTCTTGTGAGCATAGGTTGAAAAACTTGCAGTCGCTTCACGTTTGTTTTGCGACAGTTTATTTGAAACTGTCCCATTACATTATTCTGTCTCTCATTAAAGTCTGTACCGTGAACGACGAAAATATGAGTGGCCTTTCCTCCTCTCACAGTCGGCGTTTCCTTCCTCCTTCCTGCACGTCTTCATTAAAAAGCTCTTTTGTGTTTTTCTACATTTTTTAGCACAAAAGGGGCGTTCTGTTATTACAAGGCAAGAATAACAGCTTAATTACACCGAAAATTACTGTCTTTTCTGCGTCGACCGCAATTCCTGAAAGTAATTAATACATTTAAAAGGGGAGAGAAATTTTCTTTTTACAATATTTACCAAAAATGCAACTGTTACGCTCAAGTTGTAGCTGCAAAAGCCTCAAATGTTTAACAAAAAGTATTAAATGGTAAATTTTTCAAATGCTTTTTGATGAAAATGTTTTCTTTTTAATTATAATGTGTGTGTCGTAAATAAATATTAAAAGATAGCAATAAATTCTGAAATAAAGCCTCAAAATTGTCTAGAAAAACATGATTCCTAATTCTAAAAAAAATTCAGTTTTGCAAATTAGAAATTTGTCAGAACTCATTACGGAAGTTAAATAAAAATGCCAATTTTTCTCTGTTCTTCTTTCAATTTTTTTAAATTTTCCTTGCAGAATTCTGCGTGGTGCAGCGGCCGCAACAGAAGGACCAGCACATCCTCGAGGGTTCCGGCAAAAGGGTAAGCGGCTTATTTACTATTTTGGCAAAAAGGGCGCGGTTCTAATTAGCGGCTGCTTTTCCAGCTGTACCGCGAAAACGAGCAGGAGTGCTCGGAGCTGTGTCAGTGCAACGAGGGTGAGCAGCTGGTGTGCAACACCCTGTGCGTCCAGCGGGCGCCGTGCAAGACTGATTTCGCATTTTATAACCACGCGGCGCCGGCCTACCAGGCGTACAGGGGCCGCTGCATGTGTTACTCAGGAAAATTCATCTGCATGCGGCCAGCCCCAGGTGAGCGAAATATTTCATTCTCAAATTAAGATTTAGTTCTCATGGAGACCTGGCATGCGCTGGCGAGCGCGGACTGTGTTTTTCATCAAATAAAATTTGCTGGGGTATTTGGTATTTATCTCCCTTTTTTATTATGATTCGTGGCAGCTCTTGTCTCTCTAATGAGCTAAAAATGGCGCTTTTCCAATCATCATTCCACTTCATCAGTTGTATATAATTAATCCCATATCTTCCACCGCGCCACCTCCATTTAGCAAGGATTAGACTCTCAAGGGGCATTAATTTTCCTCCTTCTGCTGCATCAAGCTGATTTTGATCGAATCTGATTTTTTTTAGATACATACAGCCTGCCGCATGGCGTCTTTTTGTTCCTCGGCTACAGCGAGACAGATGAGAATTTGCTGCGGCCGCACATCAACCTCACCATCCACGACACAGTCGACGCGCTTCAGCACGTCATTCGCTTTCAGCCCTCGCCAAAGGTAAATATTCAAATTCATACGATCTTTTAGAAGTGAAACATTTTTAATTTAAATAATTAATATAAAAAAATTAATTATATAAAGATTTGTGGAAAAAAGGAAAATTTCCTATTGGGCAACATTTTCAAATGTATATTCGGGTTCAAAATTATTTTGTACAATATAATGATTTTCCTCAACCTCATATTTTTAAAAGGTTTTTTATATCTTCTCCAGGTAGTGTAAGGGGAAAATAAAAATAAGTCTTTCTGCAATCCACAATTCATATCTCCCAGGAATGAAAAGTGGTGCATTTTTTCCTTTTTTTACTTGAAGGAGTGCGTCGGGTTTTGCATTGCAAATGGAAAGAAAGGCGTGTAAAAAAGGCACAAGCATACAATTCTGAAGAGCAACCGTAATGTTAGTGAAAAATAAAATTCCACAGTAACAATGGGAATGGAAGTTCTATTGTTAATGTTTCTTTTATTTTCCTCGAGATGCTAAATTAATTTATATATTCAAAACAATTAATTGCAAGGAGAGGCTTGACCTAAAAAAAACTGGTGAAGTAATAAATAGATTTGATTATGATTTTATTAATCAGCAAAAATTTGCTTTAAAATTTTGATTCTGCAACAGAAATTTTTTTATATATTTTGGAGTTTAATAAGTTATTTATAAGAGAATCAAGCAAATGCATAAATCAGAATTTGAGGATCCATCAAATTTAAGCTGAAAATCAATTCATGTCAATCAAGTTAGCAATTTAAAATGAAAGTTTCAATCAATTTTTTTTTTATAAATTGAGCTACAACAAAAATTGAAGAGTTCCTCCAGTGCAAATGTGTACCAAAAAAGCCATTTACGCATATAAATCGATTGATTTTTTATTTCATCGGGCTTAAAACTTTCATCAGGCTGAAAAGCCGGGCCGCAATTATTCATTGTCAAAATACTGCAATATAAATTACGCGCTGAATTTAGCCGGCTCGCTTGTGCCGTCGAGCGCCTAATGGGGCCGGCGAGCGCGCGCGAGCCAAAAAATCGCTTTGTGATTTTTAATCCGACACGGCGAAAATGCAAATTAATCCGGTCGACGAGGGGAGGATTTTGTGTACGTACCTGCAGCGTGTCGATTAATTTGTCATTTGCAGGGCGAGTGCGCGCTCTTTTTGTACAACATGTCCAAGGAGAACGTGATCCTCGTGGCCAAACTGGTGAACGAGAACTTCACCTACACCAAGGAGGGAGTCTCCAAAGCAACCTTGCACCAGCTCCAGCAAGAGAAGGTATCAAATTTTACTTCAAATTAAAAATTTCCAAGATATTTCAAACTCTAAGCTTGAAAGAGAGAAATTTAGGCCTTGTTTTTCACGTTTTTTCATTTTAAAAACATCTATTTTTAAATAGAAAAATCTCCAAAATATTTGTTTCACGTTTAAGATTCTTTCAGATAAATACTTTTCCTGGAGTTTTTTTCGAACAAAAATTTTTACAAAAACGGCGCCTTTTTTTGTAAAACAGTCTTTTTCACTATGATGTCCACAATTATTACTACATTTAAAAAAATTTATATTATTATAAATGTGAAATATTATTTCATTTTTAAGCTTTAAAATTAAATGATTATTAAAAAAGTAATTTTATTGTATTTTTTTTCATTTCCTATTTAATTTATGTTACTTCAAAACAGAAAATAATATTAAAGTTTTGACTCGAGTTGAAAAGAACTGTCGGGCATGCCTATAATTGGGCTTCGGAGAGTTGATTAATCAATTTCGAATGCAGAGTGCGTGTGTAGCTGTTTTTGCTCCACTCGCGAGCTCTGTGTAGGTGAAAAACCGCAGAGAGAGATGAGAATTTACAGCGGTTAATTGAATTAGCAGCGAGCGCGCCTGCAAATTTTGATTTATGGCCTCTCATATTCTCTCTCTCAACCCCCCTCCGAGTGAGTTATATCAATTGGACGCATTTTGCTATGCGCATTCCATAATTCATACCTGAATTACCTGATGCATTCCAGTCATTTTTTGATAGATCAATTATCTAATTAAACCACTTACAACACTTTTATGCTCAAGTAAAAATAATTAAATAAAACTTTTGCAATTTCTTTTTTAATTCAGCAAACATTTTAATTTTTGTTGTAATAATTTGAAAAAAATTGATAAAATTCGCTCCAAAATTAGTTCTGAAAATGAATATTTTTGTCTCTTGTCTCAATTTCATCATTTCATCAACAATGTTTGGAAAAAACATACTTTCTTACTTTTATTGACAATTCTGAACTTTTTTTTTAATTTTTCAGGTTGTACATATCAGCGAATTTAAATATAGGCACTTTAAATAGCCATATTTTTTCTAGACTACTCTGAAAATCAGTGCCGTCTTCAATTTTATCCTTCTCATTCCTTTTTTTTATATAAAAAAGATCCATTTAAAAAGGTATTATGCTCAAAAACCACTTGTTCCATTTAAGTTTGAGAATCAGTGAACGCAACAAAGAACAATCTTTCTTTCACTGAAGAGTGAGAAGCCGATCCGCATTATTTATTATGCTTTGAGTGGCGGTTTTTCCTCCCGTCGGAAATTCCATTTGCTATTCTTCGCGGCGGAACTTCTTGTTCTTTTTGGCGAAAAAAAAGGAACTCGAAGTGAACAACTTTTCCATTAAACATCTCGCACCTGCCTTGCGAAATGGCGGTTGCATGAATCTTTAATTTCCCACCCTCGTTGTGGCCAAAAAATCAGAGAGAGGAGAAAATTTTTGCACCTGCACACAATGTTTCCCCCGTCGGGGGACGAGAAAAAAAGAGTGGATCATTTTTCTCGAGAGTGGTGCAGCCTTGCTTGCTCTCTGCCTAATGACAAAATCAATTTGCAAGTGCCAGGAGAAAGCCACAGAGAGGCAGCAAAAAATATTTAAAATAAACATTAATTATAATTACAACATATTACAATTTTGAAAGGAAAAAAATACAAAATCAATTATAAACTTTAAAGTATCAAATAGTTGTTTTTCATTTACGTTGATTTATTTTCTCAGGAAACCACAGAGACACCAAAAAAGTTTAAATATTTAGGAGAAAATAAGTGGAATCTTTGCAGAAATAATTTCTAGTAAAAAATATAAAAAATCAGCCAAATTAAAAAATTTTTATGTTTCAGGTTTTTTTATTTTCGCAGCTTAATTAATTTATCTTGCTTATTAATTAGGAACAAATGAAACTGGAACTATTTTTTTTTCTAGGGAGGAACATTTTCAAAAATAAATTTTTTCCCCATAGTAATTACGATTTTTTTTTTAATTTCGCAGGAGGAGTGTTCGGCGCCGCTGCAGGAGCTGAGCAACAAGATCAACAACCAGAACGCCGACGTCCACTCGCACCAACTGCTCTCCATCATCAAAATGGCCGAGGTCGAGGTCAAGGTGCCCGAGAGCAGCAGCAGCGGCGCCGCGGCGCCGCTCACGGGCTCCGTCGGGCCCGCCTCGTGCCTCCTCCTAGTCTTAGTCGCCCACTTGCTCCATTGCTTTGCTCACGCCCTGCCCTCGTGACCTTACCCCTGCGCCCCCCTCGACGCGATGACCCCACGACACGCCACATAAGAAGTTGACCCCCACCCCCTCTGCAAAGACACAGAAGCGAGTTTTTTTTTTTGCAATGAATAATCGCAAATTTTATTACAAAAATATTAAAACGAACAAAAACATTTTGAGTTTTTGTTGAAAATATTTATTTTTATTTATTATTTTATTTTTAAAATTAAAAATTTAATTAATTTAAATTATTTGTACAATAATTCAAATTATTTTATTGAATTTTCCAATAAATTAGAAAAACATTTTTTGTAAGTAATTCTTGACACCCCCGCTTGCTTCTGTGTTTTGACGACGTTTCAAATCGATCTCACCCAAAATTTTCTAAAAAAGCTTTTACAAAAACGCCCTCGCTCTCGTCTTGTGCTATATATCTACAGAATAACTCAACCGCTAAGGCATTATAGTCAAGTATAATCTCTCAATAATAATATGACGCAATCATCGTACGAATAAATCAACTATCTATTTACAAACCTGGCCAAATTAAACCACACATGCAAAAGTCACAAATTAAGTATAATATTTAAGGCAAAAATTATGTATCTCACTAATGTGTTAAGTCCGGAGACCCTAATAATTAATAAGCAAATTTTCCAAAAAAAAAATCTATATTAACTATAAATTGTACATACCTGCTGTATCGGCATATTATTATTGACCATGATAGTTAAAATATATATAACAATTATTGAAAAGTATATATATTAAAGTGTATATTCTTCAGCTCGTTGTTGATTTTTAATTCAAGAAAAGAGAGATTAAAAATAATGTGTTATAGAAAATAGTGACTGTGTACAAAAATTGCGTGTTGCGCAGTAAAAAAATGGATAAAAAAATTCTGAATTAATTAAAGCCAACAGGTTCTGTTGTGTGTTATGCAATCCATTAATTCTCCCTTCGGAAAATAAGGAATTATTATAAAAATTGCAAGCAGTCCATTTGCAAAACAGAAATCCCTGCCAAGAAAATCGCTGTTGCGTATTATTTCTCATTAGCTGCAGTCGTTCATTAATAGACGTTTAGGGTGGATAATTTAGTTTTAGTAGCACATCGTCTCTTGTTAAGTAACAATTTTATTTTTGTAAAGACTAAAGACATAATATGTGAGCTAAAGATTATCGTCAACCTAGATTTTGTAAGTCGCCTCATGTTTATCAAAAATTATATCACTGTTGAAACTGTAAATCAAAGTGCATGAGATTGTTAATTTTGTACAATGGAATATACTTTGAGAGAGTCGTTTGTTCAAAGAAGCGCGATTGTTACTATAATTAAAAAAAAATTAATATAATCACACAACACTTTAGTGAGCAGTGAATTTTACCATCTCTGTTTTTAGGGGAAAAGTTGGTTAGAAAACAGAAAGTTTTTTGTGTTTTCAATGGGTCCATGTAAGATAAAAAGAAACTAAAAATGATACATATTCGCCACAACACATGTCACTAATAATTATGAAGTAAAATAACAACTATATCATATTTAACAAAACCTGTTAATTTCAGAAAAAACTTACTCATATCGATTTGGGGCTAAAATGAAAGCGACTAATTTCTCAAAAAGTTAATTTGTAGGACGTGAACGGAAAAAGCAATACCGCGCATAATCAACAGGGAAATTTTGAAACGCACAGCAGCTTTTTGATGGAAAATTAAGTTTGGTCAAAACTGAAACGTTTCTTTATTCTGACCTCTGACCCTGTAATTGACGAGCAAACAAAATGAAGGATTTAAATAACTCAAATCGGCAGCAATACTCAAAATACACGGTATTATATCAAAGTTATGTCACTATAAATAGAGTATACATGTCAAGCAGATTTCAAAACGCAAAAATAGTGAGATGAAAAGTTTAATAATTGTGATGTGACTAGATAATATATTTATTGTGCGAGACGATCGAATCAGTAAAAGAAGGAAATGTTTTAAAAATTTTAAATATATAAAAACGGATCAAAAAAATCCAGTTTTGGTGTTTTTCCGTTGCAGTCGTAGAAAATTTAAATATATATAATTTTGGTTGGCTTTGGAAGGCGGAGATTTTTAAACAGACATTGTGATAATGTGAAGGCAAAATATATCGGGTTGGATCAAACAGAATATTTAAGATCAGGGTAGTGTTCGAAACACTTAATTTGTGTGTAATCTCAATTACGACTGAGAAGGGAAAATTTAATTTTCTTCCAAAGCTGTAGAACTTTCTGAAGGATGTTTTGAATCTCGCCTGGTAAATTCCAAAAGTCACTCTTATCATAAAAGAGTCAATTATCCTTTCTCGCATGAATTACTCGAGCACTATAGAAAATAAATTCTTCATTCCTCGGTCACTCGAGTTTCAATTGATTGATCTGAAAAATATGAGGGGCCTACAGCACACTAATGAAAGAAAGAATTAGCATATAATTGATGTGCTAAAAGTGACCTTGGTGTGAGAGCTTGGTTTGATTTTGCTTGCATGAAGAAACGAAGCACTGCTTTCTTCTTGATTGGATGGTGAACAAAAAAACTCTCAAAGAATTAACAAGAAAATATTGGATTTTTTAATTAACCAAAGATATCAACAAATCTATGTGCTTACAATTAGGATGAAAATGTTTGCTCAAATAATTGACGAGGATGTGCGAAGAGTAATAATTAAACTGATGAATATGTATTTGTTGTTTAGCCACACTTTTGGAATCAATATATCTCACACACAGACACACACTCGCGCTTAAATACTAATTAAATTCATCAGCACATCTATGTACTCGCTGTACCAGACAATTGGCCTGTAATAAGAGAAGAGCGTACGCGTAGACTTAATATATGTTGGTACATTGACCATAGTTAATTACAATGACTGTTGATTGGTTGGTTGTATCGGCATGCATAAAACAGAATAATTATACCACCCCGCCCGAATCCACACTCATTAAACACCTCTCACGTTGTTATACCTGTGCATATTTTGGTTCGGTTGGTTGTCGGAAATCATTACGAACGATATTGTACTGCCACTTCTATTGAATAATTCTCTATTACTGTCGCAGCATCTCATTTTAGTTCAGTGGAAAAATAAAAGTACATATATATCTATATGAGATTCGTTTGTAATTCTCGTTTTTTATTTCTCACCAAATAAATCCTTATATAGAGAATAAATCAAAATAATATAACAAAGATCTTTGACTCAAATCTCAGTTGAATGAATTTAATGAACAGATTGAGCAATTTTATACAAAGTTTTGGAATGCAAATCCATTAAATAATAATCCAAACTGAAAATTTAAAAGCAAAAACTCAACCATCAGATCTGCTTTCTTTTTCATAATAAATAGTTGCCTTTGCAATCCTTTTGGTTCTATCTTTGGTTTTGGTTGGCTAACAAGACAAGGTTTTGCACAGCGGTGAGAGTGGAGGCTTCGTTCTGGCCCGTGACCAAGTTTCTGTCCACACTGACATGGACAGCGTCGAGCTCTCCGCTGGCCGAGTAATGACCTCCGAGGTCGCGAGCCACATCTTCTGGAATGATCTTCAGAGTTGCGAAATTTGGTACTCGACACAGCTCCAGCACAGACAGCTAAAAATTTACACATTTTTCAAAGTTCAGAGAAATTTTAAATTAAATTACTCCTGTCAATGCGTAAGACTTGAAGGCCCACTTTTTATCCTCCTCCTTTTTGGCGGAGAAAAGACCGGCAACTCCCATTCCGATGGCACAAACTAATTCTAAAGAGAAAACATTATTTTATAAATTTAAGTTTCAATTTTATAATGATTTTACTTTTGTGTCTGACAAACTGGCAGAGTAGGAGGCCTAAATCTTTATCCTCGGCCAAATCAGCGGCAGCACCAGGGGCGTGTGGAAGGACAATGCTCGAGTATCTGTTGACGTCGATGATGTCCAAGCTGAGCGGAATTGCAAACGGTTTGGAGCGAAAATCATTCAGCCACCTGCGGCTCTGATCATCTTGATTGATGAATTCTGGACTTTTACCCTAAAAATAATAATAATTAGAAAAATTGAAATAGTGAAATCGACTAACAATTAATCAAAAATAATTTTCAAGGATGAAATTATTAATTAAATAACCTGTGGAGTTGCAATGGCAACACTGAACGCTGAATGTGTCAGAGTGAAGCACTGAATAAATGACTGGGCCGAGACACCTGTAATTAAAATTCAAATAAGTAACTAAACCATGAAAGAAAATAATAACAAATCGCACCTTCCGGCGAGCTTGGCAGAACAATCAAGCAGTGGTGTTTTGTGGCTGAGGCCATCGTAAATAAATGGGTTGACAAACTAATGCGTCAGCTTTTGTATTATTTAAGCTGACCGTTATTGATTGGAAATTGTCAAGTAAATAATAAATCAAGGCGTTAAGGTTTTTACTTTTCTGTGAACGTTTTGACAGCTCGGATCTCCCGAAAACACCCCTTTTGGATTTGGCCCTTTAAAATTGGAGTGTGTAAGACGGAGAAGAAGTGTGAAGAGTTCTCACAGCCTTAAATATCAACCAAATGCTTATATGCATCAAAAAATAGAATTTAATATATATAAATTCATTTTTAATTATATTAAAGCGAAAGAAAATGTATTTTAATTTATTTTGGGCAAAATATCATTTTAAAAACGTTAACTCCTTCTCTTTCACCAGTCTCAAGCAGAAGATGCGATTTTTCGAGTTGCCATGGCAATTCCACTGAAAGCCCGCGAAAGTACGTTTTTCCCTCGCGTACGTCCAGTTTGGCGCGCTTTTCACCAATCAAACATGGCCGCCGGGCCGATTCTCCTCTCGTCGTTGGGCAAACTCGTGCTCGGCAACGGTGGTGCCCCCTGCGGTCGTCCTTGGCATTGGCCCCGCCCCCCTGTCGATGCATGTATGTTTATCGAATATTCGCACATTCAGGCAGGCAGGATAAGGGCGAGCGCGAGCGAGCGGTGTCCGAGTTGTCAAGAGTGGCAAGAATTCGGCGCCGCGTCGCCCCTTCCGTGGCCGTGCCGAGCGGAGTGACCAGCGGCGCCGCCGTCGGCGCCACTCCAGAGGATCCTCCAGCAGCCGTTCGCCATCAGCCGAGCTCGCCAATTTCGAGTTTCGGAAGCACCATGTGTAGCTGAGACCGAATTCGAGGCCGCTGGGACATGCGTTAGCCGCTCAGGTGAGTCCGCCTTGTCCGAATCCGCCCAAATTCCATGAAAAAACGCAGAAATCACTTCAGGGGACTGAAATTTGCAAATTCGCGAAATTCCTTTTCATCCGCCAAATCAATTTTGGAAATTCTAGAGGCCCAAATTGGGTGGAATTTTGACCTTTTTTATTATTTTATTCTAAAAAAATACGTTTTCTTTGAAGATTTTTAGAATTGCGAATGCGCGAACTTTGTTGCTAAGTTGATTGTGAACTTTGGCGCCTTTTCAAGAATGGCTTCCCGGTGTGTTTACCGTGCTTGAAATTCGCGATTTACGAGCTCGCTTGCAAATGCAAAACCTTCCTTAAGCTAAACAAAAAAAAATTGCGACCTTCAACAAAAAGATTTTTGGAAAAATAGATAAAATTTAAAAAATAGCAGATATAATATATTTTTTTAATTAAATTAAATTTTTTTTGCTCAAAAATCCTGGCAATTTGCCTTTAAATTCCTCATTGTTGTTCTTTCTCTCTTGAAACAGAGGCGGGTGGTCTGTTTGTTCGAGAAACAATTAAAATGAGAAATCTTATTTTTTTATTTTTGGATTTTAATTTTAAATCGGAAGAAAACTGGATCAATGAGTTGGGCGTTGGAATTTTGGGTCCAGCAACCAACTATTTTCGCCCGTGCAAATCGAGCCGATTCGGGGGTGGCGTTACTTAGGGGTTGTTCACCCCAGGCGGCGCGTGCTCAGTGGAGCCTTAGCTTGTTTCCAGGCGAGGAGCAACAATCGGCCAACAATCCGAGCCGCTCACCTTGACGAGTCCCACTGACCCAATCCGCGCTCAAGCTAGATCGGACTCTGTAATTTTCAAATCGAGCCCCGCCTAGATCAAAATGACAATTAATCGGATGCTGCTCGGGCGTGTCCCTTTCCACCGTAATTGCATCTCAGCATGCGGAAATTATTAAAAGGAAAAGAAATTAAATCAAAAGAGTCAAACATTTTTTATTAATTCTTTTTATGATGCAAAATGCGAGATAAAATTGTAATCTATGCGAGATCTAACAGTCTGATTAAATTAATTGCACATGTACCCAACTGATAATTTTTAAACTTGGTGATTTCAAATTTAGAATCCACAAAAATACTTACAATTTAAATTTGGTTGTAAAAATTCAACGAAAATTTAGTTTGCCTTGAAATCTTGAAAAAAATTTATATTATTCAAAAAATTGTTATTTTATATGTACTGCAGTAAAGTTTACTAAATGAAATTATCTTCTTCAATTTATTTTGAATAAGATTATTTATTAATTTCCTACTTAAAGTTTCGAAAACAATTTTCAACTTTATAGATTTTTCAAAATCCTTGCTACGGATAAAATTGTTGATCGATCTTTTAAATAACAGCCAATAAAAGCTTAATTGTTTTAACTTTTATTGACCGATTCTGTTGCTGATGCGAAATTTCTCAATGAAAAGTAATAGAAAATTATATAACTTGCTGATGTGTTTTTATAGAATTATTTAAAATTGTGATTGACTAAATTAATCTAAAATTCTGTTTAATCAAAGTCGTTATAAATAATTTTCTAAAATGAATCAAATTTCAAAATTATAGCCAATTCGAGTCAAATTAATTTAAATATTTTGCAACCTCCTTGCTAATTTTCAGTCCGTTTTATCAACTCATATTTATTTTAGAGTTATTTTTTCCTTTATCAAATTCATTTTGGGTTACAAATTTCTAATTTCAATGCTAAAAAAAGAATTAAATTTTTATTCTTATCATTGATCTTTTATTTCACGATTAATTTTAACTGCAAAAAACCAACCAGTTTTCAATTTCAAGCAAGATTTTTTTTTTTAAATTGTAATTCTGCACGATTATTATTTATTTATTTGTATTGTTATCCGCGATTGTTTGGATTCTTTTCATCTGTCGTCTCGATTTTCCTCTTGCTCGGATTGCGAAGTCGAAGCGACAGATGATCTGGCCGCGGCGAGTGAGCGGCGAAGGCTGTTGCCATGGCAACAGATGGGCATCGCCGGTCACGTGTGTTGCATGCGAGAATTGAAGAGAGGCGTCTATTTTTACACCTTTGCCGATGCTAACTCACCAACTGCACTTGCTTATTTGCACAAACCGTGTTTTTTTTTTTGCAATAATTTTCGCCCAGCCGAGAAGTAGTGCAAAATTATCTCCCCGCGGAAGTGACTCATTTGCATCTCTTCTAGAAAAACAACTTGATGCACCCACACCGCAACGCTTTCCTTTTACGATAGCAAGGAAATTTTATATCTTGAGCAAAATAAACAAGCCTTGGAGTTTTCTTAAAATACAAATATTAAGGTTTGAAATAATTGTTTAAAAATGAAAAGTTTTTTAAATTTGTGTAACTAATTAACCATCAAATTATCTATTTAGCGCAGTAGTTGACTTGCAAGTTTCACTATTACTTATTAATTGGTGGCAAATTGAGCTTTGTCACATTTTTTAATTTTTAAAAGATCCATAGTATTTAAATTTGAAGTAGTAACTATAAATTTAATTTAAATATAATAAAAAGCGTGCCAAGAATTAGTTGAATAAATTCATAGGAATTTGTTGAGCACAAATTTAGAGTTTTGCGTCAGTACAATGAATTATTCCACTTTGAAGCTCTTAGCAATTTAACAATGAACAAGTTTATTTAAGTTCTTAATGTTATTATCCGGAAGGATCCTTGAATTATGCAATCAGACTTTCTTCAAAGTCAAGCAGGTTGCATAGTTCGGCTATTTGTTCAAAATTTTCCATTAATATGGTAAATTAAATGTGTGGATAAAGTAAATAAATAAAAATAGCAATAACAAAATTGTGTTAAAATAACAGTGATGTTATAAATGTCATTAATGTTTATTTATTCAAGTTTTCCTATTGATTTCGAATTTTAAATTTTATTAAATAACAACCAAAGTAAACATAAATCTTGAAGGAACCAAAATATACCAGTGGACAAAAAAATCTGCAATTTATTTTTGGAAATTAATGCATTAACAAGAAATTCCACATTCCTCTTCTTACACGCTTGAATCGTTTTGATCCCAACGTGACGAAATATATAGAAACATCAAAAAGTCTCTTATTTCAGGACAACTTTTTATGCAAATCACGATTCCTTTCGCGGTTAATAAATAAATATATACATTTGGCCAAAACTGTTACATTCGAAAGCCGCACTGACAAATACAATCATTTCAGAAATCGACTCTGGCGCGCGTGAATAATCAAGTCGGCTGAGCGATGACATAATTAAAGCGTCTGCGAATAGTAGAGTTTCTCGCTTTGGTCCGCCGTTATATTCAGCGAACATGGGCGGGGGTCTGACAGCCGTTTAATTTGGCGCGACTGATAAGAAGGACAAGTTTAAAAACGCCTTTTTATCTCAAAAGCAAGGCGAGCCCCGATGTCTCCGATTTATATAAAAACGCTTTGACAGGTTCGGACTTGTGAACATTTTTCTTTTTTCTCTCTGCCGTATAAATTTTGCACGTCCTCCCATTCATCCTGGATTTCTTCGGTCTTTGTTCGCGCACTCGGCCTTGGGGTGAGCAACGCGTGCAGCCCTTGAAAGCACCACTTGCGAAATTTCCACTCGGCGTTGGGAAATAAAATTGTATTTTGATGCAAATTTCCCTTGCAAACCGGTCAGCGATTCAAACGCCATTATGGATCAGAAATAACTTTCTTAATAAATTACGTTTTAGCACTTTTCGGATGAAAAGGATTGAGCAGGAAAGTCCAGTTTTTTATTGCTTTGTAGATCAGCCTAAATTTAAAAAGGATGGAACCAACCCAGGGCAATCATAATCCACCACAAAACGTACATTTTAAACAAGAAGGTTAATTTAAAAGACCAGAATTTCTAACTGCATAAAGTTTTGAAAAAGTTAAAATAAAGGTTGAAAAATGTGGTATAATTCATTTTTCCTAAGAAAATCACAAGTTAATTATTGAGCTCCTGGATTTAATTGATTTCTGCAAACAGATTGTCATGATAGATCGTACTTTGGTTCTTTTACTGCCAAATTAATAAAATCTTTCATTAATATTTTTCAATTTCAATTATGGCCGCCAATTTAAAGGGCAAAATACACATTTAATAATGATTTTCTTCACTTCCGGCATAATTAACAAATTACATAAGAATTTTTCCTCCTCTGTTAAATTTTCCAATAATTCATTACATCAGCACAATTTTAATTTCCTGAGTTAAAAATAATTAATTTCAAAATTTTATGGAGAAAATTGAATTTATTTTCTGTGATTTTAGTCTGGCGACCGGCGCGATGGAGGAGGATCTGGACGCTTTGGAAGCTCTGCAGGCGTCCGGCGAGGAAGAGGAGGACGTGGAGGAGGCGGCCAACGGCCACTGGTTCGACGAGCGCGCCTTCCTGGCCAGGACCAATTGCCGGCGCCGCCTCTCGGAATGCCTCGAGGAGGAGGAAGAGGAGGAAAACGCGGCCTCCGAGCCGCTGAGCGCCAACGGGGGCGGCAGCAGTTCCGCCTCCGGCCCGAGCGGCGGCGGCCCCAAGAGACACCACTCGGCCGAGGACAACGGCCAGCGGCTCAAGGCGGCGCCGCGGCGCCACCACTCGAGCGGCGGCTCCGCCGACTCGATTCCACCCTCTTGCAGTTCGCCCCTGCACATGGACAAGCGCTACGTTGACCTCAGTCTGGTCGAACTCAGGTCGCTCGCCTCCTCCTGCTCCACCCTCGACTCCAACGATGACATTTGGGTCATGCGAAGCACCGATAGCAGGGTGAGTTCAAAATTAAAAATAATCAATACCATTCAGGTTGAAATTTTGAATTTTCGTTCAGAGTTTTTATTACGTTGTATGTAAAATACACTGTAAAAAGTTTAAAGTTGAACAAGTTTTGAATTTTCAGCTATTTTATAATTTAATTTTACGAACTTAATGAAATCTGGTTATTGAAGCGTTTCCTATAAGATCAGTGGAAATTTTGATACCTATTGATTTTATTTTGCCAAATTTTTTGGGGTGATATGAACGGGATTGGTGAAATTTTTATGAAATTCAATCTGGCCAATTTTGAGGTATTTTAGAAAATTCCTGAGAAGCAATGCTAATTTTCAAAACTTCAGTTCTCTAAATGAATTAAATTTTTTTTATTTATGACATAATTACATTTGAAATGTACAAACTAATGCAAATGTAGAGAAAATTATATTCAAAATTTTTATTTTAAACACGCAGATTTTGAAAATGCTAAAAAGCAATGATATTTTCATAGAAATGATAAATGATTAAACATTCAGTTATTAATATTACTTTGATTTATGTTATTTTAAAATTATAAATAATTATAGAGATAAAATTGAAGTACAATTTTGTAAATAATTAGTTTTGATGATTTTATTTTTGTATTTTTTGCTATAAAAATTTAAAATCAAATAGTTATTGAGTATATTTTGAAACTTTTATCAAAATTTTATAAAACCATGGCCTATAATTTCCATAATAAAGCATAGGATTTAATTTGATTATAATTTAGTTAATCATTTTTCCAATTACATAGTAAAAATGTTATTTTTAATAGTTTCGTTTAAAGTAAGCAACTCTCTCAAACAATTTTCTTCCATTAATCGTTTTACAGCCTGAGTAATTAAACTCCGCCAATGAAACTAACTCTCATGAAAATCAACCCACCTTCAGGGTGGCACTCACTAAATTTAAAAGGTTGTACTTGCGTTAAATTTACGACCGGCTAAAAGGTGGAAAAAGAATTATATAACTTCTCCGTAATTCGAGGCGCAATTAAAGAGCGGGCAATTTGCACGGCCGTAAATATTCGCACTGGTTTTATGATGCTTTCGAATTTTTAATACATCATGCGGCTAAGGCCAGGGTTCATCTTTGAAATGGACGTTAATTGACATCGTTTGACTTCGTTAGCCGCGCATTAAAACCGGAAAAATCGTTTTATTTATTGCTCTCGTCTAATCGATTTGCGCTCAAAGCGGGTTCATTAACACTGAGAAAAAATGTCACCCAAAAACCAACCGGCTCTGAAGGCCGTAAATTTCATTAATGAAACGATAATTACGCGCCCGGACTAAAAAAATAAAATCGGCTCGTTTGCTCTTTATTTGCTGCCAGCGAGAGAATTAGTTTTAATTATTCAGTGACGTCAATTCAAATTCAACCGCGATTGTTCACTCGGCCCTGCACGGCTCGTGAAATGGAAAAATAAACAAACCGTCTCTGCACGCTAGATACATGAATCAGTTGGAATCAACCGATTGTTAATTCAAACGTTCGTCTGGAAAGCCCATTAAAGAGAAATTGTTGTTCTAGCGTGTAAAAATAAACATTGCTCATCGAGCGACCACATGTTCGGCGTCGTTTATTTTTAGAATTTTTTCTGCAACTCGCGAGGGAGTGTCACTGCAGCGTGACCTTTGCGCCAACTCGTCTCGCTTCAAATATCTCAATCTTTGCATAATCATCAAAAATGAATCATAATCACCAACAGACAACTCTTTGCTCAAATTAAATATTATTCAATTTTATATGTTCAAAATTTCCACATTTTCGAATGATAATCAATGTCAATCTGATTAGATATAATCCATAGCAAAAATTATTGAGGAATGGTTTCAATTGAAAAAATTTAAGATAAAATTTTCTCATCACATCTTTATTTTAGTAATTTAAATTTTTTAATAAATCTTCTCTGCGAGAGTTATAGTAAATTTCGAGGCCAAATATTGATTTATTTCGTTTTCTTGATGAAATTTTTAACAATCATAACAAGAAGATGTGAAGAAGTGAAATTTTGAGGAAACAATTATTTTAGAAAATTCCTATAAAGGGATGTTAAATTTCAAAAATTCTGATCTCCCATTATATATTCAATTTGACTTTTGCTGTTGGTTTCTCCTTTAAATTAAGCTTAAAAACTACTGCTCTGCCTTTGAATGAAGAGAATAATCATTGTACCATAATAAATCAGGCCGGTTTTTAGTGAAGGCAAGTAATTTTTACATTTTATTTAAAAAAAATCCTATTTGAAAACTGCTTCGCTCCTTTGTAATGTCAATTTTTTTCTTGGGAAATTTAATTTATTTGAAACGGCAGACAACGTTAAAAAAATTTCCTTGATTCTTCAACTTGAAGGGGAATTAAAAATTGTTTTCTTTAAAAAATGATCATAATCTCTGAACGCAGCTAAAGTTTTTGTGCGGCGCGCAATTCATCAGTGTCATCTGCCGCGAATTGGCAAAATCCACTTTGACGGATATGATGGCTATCGCGGCTGGATAAATAATAAATCAAGACAGACTGCAAAAGGACATTCTGGCGGTGACATTTGTCCAGAGGGAAAGGAGGCCACGCGAATTAGGAGATTTGGGCGTGCTGCCCCCACTTGGCCCGCCGCAAAACTGCGACCCTCCCCCTCCCCTGGCGCGAACACGGGCTGGCGGCCGGGTCCAGCGAGGTCTTCAGTTTCGGCGTGTGTGGGTGTCGAGGAAGAGCCTCTTTTGCTCATCGTGTCGCCTAAGAAACAGTCGCATGCTTGGATCCATCTGATTGTTGGAGAAAAAAAACTTCCCGACAGGTACGGCATTAGTTGAGAAAATTAGTAAATTTTTTATTCCAAAGAACTGAAGAGCCGGTTTATCTACAAATTTTTTTGAAAATTCCAGTCCCGAATGTCAAATGAAAAGCTGAAAAAGTACTCGAATATAAAAATTGGTCCAAAAGATTTTGATGAAAATTTATTTCTGTTTTAACTGAGGTAATATTCATTCAAAATTTCTTAAGATAAGTTATTGTTGTTGATTTGTTACATCACATTGTTAACATACAAATTGTTGAAAACATTCATTTTGAAAAAAGCTTTGAATGATCTCTAAAGTATCCATTTTCTTTTTAAATTTGCATTTCTTTATTATAATTTTTTACTTATTTAAAATTACTGATTATTTTCATCAAACCAACTTTTTATAAATCCTATGAAGTAAAAATTAAAGGACTGCCTTACAATTAAATTCTCCACTTTCCACTTTTTCAATCTAAATGTTCCAGGGAGTAATTATTTGAAGTGAAATTGTAAATTTTGGATTAAAAGAATAGATTTTTCTTCCATTTTCGTTGCCTTTGAACATTCGAATGGAATGGAAATTTTGGTGGGTTCCGGTTGTAAACACAAACTCGTGCACCCTGCGTGCGTTTCCTCTGCATCGATTTCACCCTCGGGTCCAACCCCCTTTTTGCTCGTGCGCTGCGTCGCGTGCTGCGGCACAAAAGTGACGCAGACGGAGCTCGTTATGTGTTTTTCCAACTGCTTTTCTGACTGTTAGAAACGCATTATATACTTATCTCGACTTATCTTTGGGGATTTTGTCACACTCAAAGCGGAGAAAGGAAGCCAGTCTTCATTAAGTTAGTTACACTGAATTTATTTTGCAGAAAGTTATTTTATATTGAAATTAACTTCGATTTAGCAGAGATTTTTTTAATTATTAAATTTGTTATTATTGCACATTAAAATAAAATAAATTCATCAAATTGTTAAATTATGCATAAACAAATTCAAATCCTTTTATTTACTTCTTTTCCAAGTAAAAACTGTAGTAAGAAATTAGTGATTTAATTTAAGCTTCAATTTTTTAAGTAGGTTTTCTAGCTTGTTTGTGGTTTTGAACACACGCCAAGTTGGAACTTGATTGGAACAACAAGATCTTGAGGGTCAAAAACCTCTTGGAGTTGGAAAAACATCTCTCAACAGTTCGTCACATTAACCCAAATATTTCAATTTTACTTATTATATTTATGGATTTCTTATAACTTGAATCAATTCAATCAAAGAAGTATCTTTTCACAAACGAGTTTCTAAAATTTTAATTATGTCTGGCCCTGCTCTGCCATCATGAATTTAATTAATTCAATTTTGACACCGGCTTCAATCGATATATCCAATTTTAGAAGTGCCATTTTGAGTGGTCAGACAAGATCTCTCAAAACAATGACACCTTTTCAATTTCGACCTCTCTCTCACTTGCGTCGTGTTATCTTCTTCAGAATTGAATGGGCGATTTATTTGAACGTCACTCACGCAAAATATGCAAACGATTTCGGCGCTTGTCATGTCCGAGCCGCGGCAATAACTCATTCGAGTCGTCGGCGGGGGTCCCTCGAGTGGTCGCGCCAAGAAAGAAAAGAACTTGCACCAACAGTTTGCCTAGCGCCGAGTCAATATTGGTCCGCCACAAACTTCCAAAAGGACCCTTATCGCAAAACAATTTGGCCTCCCGCGAGACAAAACTCAGAATAAACCTCCTCAACGATTTGCTGCATTGCGCCCATTACACCAAATTGAGAATCGATTTCGCGCCGAATATACATTAAAGTAGATAAAACCACTTTCCAAATCCATGAACCTAAAAAAATTCTTTCAAATCCTACAAATTTAAATGGAATAAAATAAAACTAGCTCAATTTGTTTCAAATATGATGAAAAAAGCCTCATTTTCTAATTTTAAACTTGAATGGGAATAGATTATTTTCAGTCGATCAAACTTTATTTTAAAGTCAGTGCTATTTTTAAAACGGCTTGTTAAAGAATTTTGAAAATTTTTCATTTGGTGCAAAATGACATCTTTTGGCTATCTCGAATTTTGGTCAGTTTTTTTTGTTTCATCCTCTTTAAATCGTAAGTTTGAATTCAAATTTTTCTATTGGTGGATTTTTAAGTGAAAAAGTCGGAATCGTGGCGCATAAATCTTGACGGCTCGCGTGTACGGAACGCTTCAAGCCGGCCTACATTTTTTGAACCCTCCTTTTGGTCGAGCACTAAAAAACAGTCGCTACTTCCTGCATGGGGAAGTGCTGATTAATTCAAATTGAGAGCAGCCAACCGTGACATACTAGAATTATGTTACAAATAATTACAGCATTGGAGAAACCAAACAATAATTTTTGTTATTTATTTGTTTTTTTACGTTATTGAATTAAACTTTGACCCTGAAGTAAATAAGTAAATATTGAATGTGATCGCAGAGGAAATAACACATTTGTTGTGAAAAAGTGAAAATGTCTTGATTTTTTTTTTTTAGCTTTAAAATGATTTCTAACAATGGTACTTAATAAAAATGCTAGCAAGTTTATTTGGAAATTTTAAAAATTTGAAGGAAAAATATTGATTATTGTTTTAAATTGTTATCAATTTTATATTAGACTAAAATACAGCTTCCGCGTCGTTGCTTTTTTTTAAAATATTCTTCAATAACTTTTCGGTTCAACTATAAAAAAATTGTATGAATTCAGCTGCGCTCCAGGCTGGTTCTTCCCTCATGCGGGTTAATTTGAGGTGTATCATAGATAATTTTAATTTATGACCCCGGAAATTGATTAAAACGGCCAAACACTTTTATATTGAAATTAATTTATTCCTCTATAAAAAATCAATGTAAAAATTTCATCTCTGGAAAGAGGCAAATCAAATTTATTGTGATGAAAATACATTGAATCCGGAAAATTGCAATTTAAAACTTATTCAATGTTAATTTTTTATTTTGTCAATTATTATTGAAGTTACAATATTTTTAGAAATTTTAAGAAATGTATAGACCATAGAAGAAGAAATATGACGAAATTGTTAAACCGTTTAATATTTTTGTAAATAAAGTAAGAATAAATTGCACCACGGCCAAATTTTTCCTATTATGAAAGTTTTATAATCGCTTTCAATTCAACTCGGCCATTGAAAATCCATTGAAGCCGTGCGGAACAAAAGAATATTTTGGCCGAAGCAAGAGTTTGCCCAAAATGGAGGTTTGCTTGCGGGGTAGGTCGGGGTTGTTTTCGGGGCGTGGGGTGCGCGATCAATGCAGTGTCGGTCGGTCTGGCCGTCGGACTCGCGAATCCACGTGAGCGGCGAACTGAGGCGCATGATCAGAAGGCGGACGAGGAGGCAGGGACGGAAAACACCCTCGCGGCAGTCGGCCGGCACCCCTCGATGAAGAACGCGTTCGGGAGGCTGCTCCACTCGGCCGTCCACCATCACCAGCACCGCGTGAGTCCCCAAGGAAGGTGGCACCGCGAGGTAGGCAACCGGCGACGCACGCCCGACCGCCGGCTGCCCACCTCGCAGGGGCCACAACTGTACCTAATGCAAATCAGTTCGGCGAAGGAAGGGCGGCCGAGGCCTGTCGGTTCGCCAGAAGTACTTACTTTGGAATTTTTTGCTTTTTATTTCCGTGTTTGTTCCACTTCACGGAAATAGAACGGAAACTTGTTATAATCTGCTTTTTTTATAAAAAGTGACGCAATTTTTAGGAAAATTTTGCTCAAGTTTTTAAAATACATGAGAAAATTTTTAATTTTTACGAAGCAACAGCAAATTTAATCAAGTTTAAATAATTCACTTTGAGCTGTAATTTATTTTGTAAATAATTTATAATGAATTAAAGTTTTGCCAGTAAATTAGTGATTTCAACAGTTCTCAAAATTATAACTCATTTGACATTTGGTGATAAAATTAACCCTTTTAAAAACTTTAAGCAAATATTTATTGAAAATTAAAATCATTTTTTGCCTAAAATTAACTTATAATTGTCATAATAGTTTATGTAATTGATCAGATAGAAATTAAAAAGCATAGCAAGATTGACATATAATTCCAATAAAGGAAGAGATTCTCATAAATAACAATTAATTGTGTAAAATAGAAATATTTGTAAATTTGCCTTTTGATATCTTCAGAAAAATGAATTTTTTTTAGTTAATTTTTTTTCTAAATTGGCCTGTTAAAATTTTCATGAAAACTAGTTCATTTTTTCACCTCAATTAAACTTGGAAAATCAATGGTAATTTTAACCTAAAAATTTACAATTATCTAATCAAATTAAAAATGTTATTTTAAAAGAAATTTTTTATAATTCCTAAACATTTATTAAAATTTTTTAATCATGTTTAACGCAATAAATGATTTTTTTCATTTTAAACTTTCAACACAAAACTGATCAACCCGCTTCTCTATTGAAATTTTAATTGGTTCTCTAGGAATATTTTAATTTTTTGCCAAAATTATTTTTCTCTGCTTTATAGTTAACTTGTCACAATCATTTTGGTATATTATAATGAAGTTAATAGACTTGTTCGTACCAACAGGTGATACAAATCACCGGCAAGATTTTATCTGGACCGAATAAAGAAGGAGATCGTTTCACACCAATCACACCTTTATCTTATCTTGTTATTCCGAATCTCAATTCGCGACGGTACGAAATTATTTCAGCACCGAGTTTGATTTGACATTTGCAGGGGTTACTCGAGTTCGCGGCAATAAAACGGACATAAAAGGCGATATTTTTTCTCCTGCGCTTGCATACTGGGGCGTCAAAGGCATTTTTCGCTCTCATTTTATTGCTGAATTAATTTGGGAGGCGACGATGGAATGGTCCGATCCATTTGTCGTGCCAAAAAGTGCGATACCATCTCTCGTCGGAACATAAACCACGCCTTAAAGGGATTCAACCTTCAGAAGCTGCGAGTGTCGTTGAAAAACGAGACACACGCCGGCCGCTAATTGCACGAATAAATTTATTAGCAGCAGAGTGTCGGGGGCCAAAAATAATTTACATGCTCCATGTGCAAATCGATTAATTTAATCTCGGCGCGGCGAAGCACTTTAACTTGTACAGAAACTTGACACGAATTCTCAAATTTCAATTTTGGAAAATCTCAAATAAATCCCAAATCGCTGAATTTCAATATTTTGAATTTTGTACACACATGAAAAAATTAATTCCGCGTCGTTGGGCTATTTCAGAATTTCCGTTAGGTTGCATAGTTGAAGGGACGGATAATTTCACCTCTTGACCTTCGGCCAGGGTCAATGGAGTTTGTTTGACCTGAAAAGTTGGTCTCAGCTGAGAAAAGATACCCCATTTCATTAACTGCAAATCCATACCCCGTTTCACGAGGAAAATATTGTCATTTAAATTTGGCAACATTTATTGCAAAACCTGTGTTTTTTTTTTTGCTTTTTAATTTTCTCATTAATCAAAGCAAAAATAAATCCTGAATAAATCAAGTTTTGTTGAAAATCCAATTGAAGAATCACCGTAAATTGCTGGTTACTGATTTCAGTTCTCTTACTTAACATTTTTTTTTATTATTATTCATTTTAGCGAATTTTCACTTGGGTACTTTATTTATATTTGTACGACTTCCGCCTTTTCTTGGCGAAACCTTACACGGTCCGCTGCGGCGAAATTAATGTCAAATTCGGAATCAATACATACGTGCCCATTGAAATATGGACGAGCAGGCGTGCTTTTGGTTATTTTGGTCGCATGTTCTGTGAAGTCCGCGTCGCACAAAACACGCCTTTTTACCTGTATTTTTCCACTCGCTGGGTGTTTCCGATCCTGCCTCTAATTAGCATTTTCGTGTCCAGCATAAACAAGGGGGGAAAAAAGTTGCTTTTTCAAGCAAAAAGTTCTTCAAATAAGCGAGATCAAAAGTTTTCTTTAATGAAGAACTAAATCAAGCGGAAATTCCAAGAAGTTTTGAATAACTTTTAACTTGAAGTGAAATTTCCTGCAAGATAAATATTTTTTAATTTTTTAAAAAAAAAAGTCCAGAAGAAGGTAAAGAAAAATCAATCAAGTTAAAACAAAAAATAGAAAAATACTAAGTTTGAAAAAAATGCTGCCATTTTTTTAATTGATCTATTTTAAAACTAATTTATTTAAGAATTTCTTAGTAAATTCAAATGAAACGGTTTTTCCACAAATATCCGCAATTCCCCTCACAGAAATGTGTTTGTTTGTGCTTGTCTCATGCGCCGCGTTAAATTTAAATCGCCCTCAAGAGCTAGGAAGCATCACATGTTAATTTGGCCGCGGTCCAGCAAATTTCGATGCTCGCCTCTTCCTCTCGGACAAAAAGCAGGCAACGCAGTTGAGTGCATCATGTGGTTCTCCAAAGTCCCCAGCAGGACGAGCAGTCCGCCCGTCTCCTGGGTTCGAAACTCGTTCAAACTCTCTCATTGCCTTGGAATTCGCGAGCAAAACAAAGCAGCGAGATTTTCGTCAACACCTCTTTTCTCTTTGGGGCTATTTGCAGATCGAGAGGGACTTTTTGCGAGCGGGCTTTTTCTCTTTGGCAGGCGTGACTAATCGCAAATCTCGCTTCTAGAGCCACCCCCTCCGAACTAGTTTGCGTTGTCAAAGTCAAAAAGTCAAAGGGTTGAATCGAAATTCGTTTTTGTGAGTTGTGAGGCGTTTGTTTGATCATTTTGATTTTGTGTTTCAGGAGCTGGGCTCTCAGCCTCTGCCGGTGATAGTGACGGAAGACGTCGATGGGACTGCAATGTCGTACCATGACAACCCTCCTCCCCGACCCCGTGCAGGTATCAACAAAAATTTGCCTGAAAATTCCACCTGAAAAATACAAATTGAAATTTTAAACGTTTAATAATTAATTTATATTACTATTTTTTTTTCAAATACATGCATAACTGACAAAAATGTTCTATATATATTTTTTTTTGCCAACTTCATTGGGGCAAAATGAATTTGCCAAAATATTGCCAATTTAAAAAATAAATAATAATATTTGGAATTTCTTTGCAATTTAATTTAAAAAAAAATCATTTTTCCAAATTTATCCAAATTTTTTTTAATTTATAAAAGTGTTTCATCGAAATGAGTTATATTTTTTTCTTTTTACTTAAAGCTGTTCTTAAATTTACTCTTTGTTTTAAATTTAATAAATATTTTCTAATTTAATATTTATTAACTTCAGCTCTAATGTAATCTAAATCTTACAGAATTTCATTAAACCGTTGTTAAGCCATTGTAATCCTCTTATTTGCTAAATTACTTCTTGTAAGAGGACTAGGCTGTTTTTCTCCTTTTCTACCTCTCTGAATGTTTATTTCCCGTCCCCACGGTCGTATTCAATTAAGATAATTGCAATGATCACTGACAGTCTCCAATTACTTTGCAGGCACATGGGGCTCCCATGCGCGGCACGCGCACCCTCCGCCGCCACCCCCGTCGGCCTCGTCCAATGAAAAGACCAAAGACGGACGTCAGAGGCGAAAGTCCGGAGATGACATTCTCACGTCTTCGCCTTCGAGAAAGCCGGTGCCGCTGTTCGAGGCCTTCAGACCCCGGTCCAAGTCGGACGCCTCCAAAAACAAGAGGCCCACAATCATTAGCCACATGAAAAGCGCCATGCAGGTGACAGGACTAGAGTGTTCGACGGGATTTTCAGTACCAATCCTGATAAATTGGATTAAATTGATTTTAAAAAAATGACTTAACGTCAAATTATAATCAGGACAAATAAACTTAAATTAAAGGGAGAAAAAAAAACACATTTTTATTACAAATTCAAATAAGAAATATAGAAACAGATAGTAATTGAAATAAATCATTCTAATTTTGTTCTTTAGTTTAAAACATTAATTTGTAAATATTTTTTCACAGATAAAAATTATGTAATCCAAATCATTTTAATGGTGACCTGATTTCCATCACTTGTTAATCTTATCTGCAATACAATTTTTTGTCACCGCATCTATTCAATTATTTACTATTCATTTGCCTTCAAACCATTAATTAATTTTTAACTATCTCCGATGATAACTGCGCTTGTTCTTGCGTCATCAAATTGCCAATTTATCAATACCCGTACTTTGATCCGAATGATTTAATAAAAAACACCATTGACTGACCTTTGCCTCTCTTTGCAGCACTCGCTGATGGCAGCCACTCGAGAGCCAAGCCTTCCTGAGTCCCCAGGCTCCTCTTCGGCAAACCAGGCTTCGGACCTCCGGCCTCGTCCAAGATCCGGCTCCGAAAGCTCCAAAGGCGCCGTCTCCAAAGTGATAGACATGTTCAGATACAGGTCGCACAGCGCCCTGTCAGCCGAGGACAAACGAAAGGCGGTGAGTTTAAAAATTTTAAGTAATTCATTAAATTGATTGGGATTTATGGAAAATTGCGTAACTGACTGATAAGAGATATTTATTTAAAATTTAGGATTTACAAATCTCTTCCTAAATTCTACCCATATTGGAAAGGATAAATTGTTTGAAGTTAAATTTAAAAATTAATAATATGAGAAATACATGCTGTACTTAAAACAAAAATCAAGAATAGTTCAAGGGTTGCAATTTCTTATGAAAATGGTGGCTGCTGCTCTTTCTAATGTGGGAACTATTCTTAATTTGCTTGAAATAATTCATTTCTTCAGATATAGATTTTTATTTGAATTCATACTTAAAGAGCTCTATTTTTTAATCACCTATTCAAGATTGAAATGAAGAGCTCTTTTGTACCGAGTCGTAATTAAGAAATTAGCTTTGTCACAAGTTGGCGCCGTAAGGTTAAACTCATTACTGCTCCCTTCCCTGACTGTGGGCACTTTTTCTCTTCACTTGCAGGGAGGATGCTCCAATGATAATAAAAGTAGTCGCTAAATTAATTGCCCGCACAAAGCAAATCAAGCTTCGCCGCATTACTTTTTCACCGCCATAGTTACAATTCATAATTGTGTTAAATTTGAAGGGGTCCATTTTTGGCAGCACTACTTCCTTTTCAATTCTAATAACATGATTAATTATAAATTTCTTAAATTAAAAAGTAAAACGCTAATTTAAGGAAAAGTTTTTGTTTTTAACTTTAAATTAATATTCTGTAATTTATCTTGATCGGTAAATTCACCCCTGCAGGGGTACTGAAAGTGCGTGTGTACTCTATTGCAAAACGTTTTGCTCTTGCGAATTGCAGCCTTGAAGTGTCTCCTCCACTTTATTAATGCACTTGCAGCGCCGGCCGCGAGATAATAAACGTCAAACTGCATTCTGCTGCGATCGTTTGCTCTCTCAGGACAGTGCGTGTGTCAAAGTCAGGCTTGTCACTTGTAGGAGCTCAATTTTCCTTCAAATTTAAAAATTTAAAAATTAATTCTTTATTTTAAATAAAAAATTTCATTTAATTATTTCATTGAAATTTTTCAAATAATTATTGCTTAATAATTTGAGCGCCTATAAAAAAGGTCTGGCCCGGGCTTTTGGCTTTTCCGTTTGGGAAATTCAGAATGGTCAGGTGATGAATGGCAGGCAGGGGAAAAGCGCTTGGCGGCGGCGAGGCAAATTAGGCAGGAGGTGACGTAAGAAGGTCGCTACTCTGCCTGGTCGGACGCTCGGTCCGACCGGTGCAGTCGAAGCGATGGCCTCCTACTTTCGGTGGCTCAAACACAACCGGCGCGGCTCAGGGGACTTGGGGCCCAAGGAGCCCTTTGCCAAGCCCAGGAGTCGCTCCCTCGACGCCAAGGCCCTCGAGAATTCAGGCATCAAATCTTTGCTCGCCCAAGTAAGACCTCTTCATTTGCATTTTTATTATTAAAAAAATTTATTTCACTTGGACTGATTTTTAATTTGAGCAATTAAGATTTTTAAAGCTTTTTGATCAGTTGTTAAATGAAAAAATTGAAGTTATATTCACCTTACGTGTGACTTATCAATTAAATTTAATAATTCAAGCTGTTGCAATACTCATTTTAAATTTAAATTTATTTAACATTAACATATTAGTCATAGCTGGTCATAGCGTTCTGCATTTGCAATGATTTAATTCTGTGCATTTGTCATATTGTCATGCAATTGCGGTTTTTTATCACAATGCAAACAGAAGCTCTCTTTCAAATTGATTTAAAAATATATTTCAAAATGAGGCAAATTAAATATGTAAAAATCGTGTGATTTTATTCAAACTATTCAAAGTTTTTATCAATTTAAATCAGACCAATTTTTAGAAAAAAATTACTTGAATGAAATTTCAAAAATTCAGTTCTTCCAATTTATTAAATTTTTCTTATGAGATCTTCTAGCCAATGTGACAGAAATAATCAGGCCGTTTATTGAGGATAATATTTGATTTGAATTTTTGAAATCTAAATTTTTTCAATTTATTTTTAATCCTAAAACTTTCCCAAAAAATTGGGAAACCCCTAGCTCAGTCTCTAAACCGTTTGTCATTGTTGATATGCTTGAAGAATTATTACAATCGATTTTTGTAACAAGTTGCAAAGTCAGCATCAAATTTGTGCCACTTTTGACTAAAATTTTTTGTCCCCTGTTGTGCATTTTGGGCGCAAATAGGTGCGTTTTTCGCTTTTCACGACCTCGCGCTGCGGCCGCCGAGTGCCGAGATAAAAATAAAATTGTTTGCGAGATGTGTGTGTGTGTTGTTTGTCATGGCGTTGCAGGCAATTTGAGTATAGTGGAGAGTGCTAACGAAATGTCCGTGCGCGGATAATTAGGCGGCGATAAAGTGGACGAGTCATGCATCATCCTGCGTCAGTCCTTTATTGAGGAAAATTGATGGAAAAAAATGGAAGCAAAAGTAATACGATAAGGGAGAGAAACAAGAGCGCTTGTTATTCAAAAACGCTCCAGGACGTTTTTATTGCGCAAGCAGAGCAATTAATTGCCGTCGCGGTCGTAAATTGAAATTACGGTTTCCTAGGTGACAAGTGAACGACGCTCATTCCGCCAGCACCGATATTGAATCTGAAATTGCTCCTCTTCCAAAAAGCTAAATTTAGATTCTGCACATCCTCCGCTCAAATTATCACAAGGAAAAAAATCTTAATAAAAAACCAAACAGCTTGTCAAAAATTGATTGGAATTCCACTTTTCAGACATTTTCAGTGAAAATAAATATATTTTTTTTCTGCCAACTTTAATATATTTTCAATTCTACAGATTTTGTGTTTGTAAAGATTTTTACGATTTGAGTGCTTGACACAAATTTTGCAAGGCTGAATAATATAACGCCGAATGAGTGAGCACCGTTACTTGAATTGTTGTAATTTGCCTTGTTTTATGTGTTGCACCTTTTTTACATATATACAATGACTCGGTCACGAAAAATTGAGCAAGGTTTGCAAATCTCCTCATTGCTTTAAAGGAGCATTTTTAATTTAAAAAATATTAATTAAATTCACAAAATTTACTTTTTTAAAAGATTAAATTTATTAAGAACCATAAATTTTCGGACAGTTAAGTTTGTTTCAGATAAAAATTCAACTACTTCTCTTAATTTTTCAGTATCAAATTGCAATTCAAATTTGTTCATGACCTCATATTTCCGCCGCCCTTGTTTTGTTTTTCATTTTTACTCTGCAAGTTGATATCGCTCTGATCATTTCCATTTTAACTCGCCCGTCGGTGGTCATCTCTCTCAAGTGACTATTTCGATTTTCCGCCTCTCATTGTCAGCCCGTAAAGACGTCAACGTGCATAAAAAAACCCGCCGTTGCCAAAACCGAAAACCAGCATGTGTGTGTACTTCGATGTTATCTCAGAAAAGCGGCCGAGTGTTTGCAGGTGTCAAATTGCGCGACGGAGAACGCTCCGAATTTAGGCTCATTACGCGAAATTTGCAATTGATCGGTATCTCACTGAAATAATTATTACAAGCAGAGTCCATATTTTGACATGTCATGCTGCAGTAGTCGTAATTTCGAAGGCCATCCGTGAGATCATCCTTTGCGGCAATGATCTGTCGGATAATTCCACGACGTGTCTCTTCATTTCAATTCAATTATTATTAATTCTCACTCTATGATTGTGTCCATTTTAATCCTTTTTACAAAAATGACCTTCTTAAGGGATGATGAAAAATTTTTCATTCACAGACGTGGAAAGGGCCAAATTTCATGATCAACTTCAAACTTGAATTTTGAAAGAACAATTATTTACAGTGAAAATGTGAAACTCAATTTATCTATTGAAACTGAAAGATATTTTGGCGAGGCAAAGTTTGAATTAAGAAATTTAACCTTCAACGTCAAAAAATTGTATATTGTGAGGAGTCTTTAAATGGTGGGATTCTCAAAATGGGTTCAGCCCATTAAGTGGCGCCAATCAGGACAAACTTCCCCAAAAGGTCAAATTCGTTTGGTGGGAAAACCTCTGAAGAACCACTGATTTTAAATTGTGAGGATCAAATTTTAAATCGCGATTTCAATTTCAATCATGAAATGTACTTTTTCCACTATCAAAAAAATACCGGTGTGCGTCTTTAATTGCGAGTGACCGGTTTGTGTACGTGAATATTTGCGTTGTTTCGCAAAGGTTGCGCGAAAACACGGCACTCCCCCGCTATTTGTTTAGGTTTGTTTTCGCCGTGGGCAGCGCGAGAGCATTTGCTTTTTATTTAACTCTAAAGCGCGAGTCTGTTTGCATGTCACTTAACTCGCAGTCGGGGGGCATCTCATTATTTACAGCAACATTTGTCCACACACAAAATACCTAGAGGGACGCAAACAATAATAGTGTATGTGAGCAAACGTGTATATTTAACCTTCTCTTGTCCCAATACCGCAATTTTCCTGTTTTGCCAGTTACTTTTCGGTGCCATAAATGTGCAAGTGACTAATAAAGTGTTTGTCCCACAGAGAGCAGCAGCACACCAGCAACATGTGGCCGCCGCACAAAGTGAGTACACAGAAATTATTAAGCCTAATGGAAAATTTTATGGCCACAAGGAAAATATGCAATGGTTTTTTTTTACAATAAGGAAAAATTAATATTTAAATTAAATTTAAATTTACAATTACATTGTTTAGTGGAACAATTAGTCCTCGGTCCTCATAATTTTCCTACAAAATTTCCGTCACAATTAATTCTTTTAAAATAATTAAATAATCAGTTTTTATTGCATCTTCATTATGAGTGGGGAAAGATGTTGTTCTTTGCGGGAAATTTACTAATCAAATAGCCTAAATTTACCTTTATAAGCTTAATTTTCGGTCACAGATTCACCGAAAATCGTCTATATGAGAAAATTATACCAAATTATATTGAAAAAGTTAAAGAAGCAATTATTAAGATTTTAAACTTTCTAACCAATTCAAAACTCATTGTGAAAGTTCCCAGTTATTATTATTATTTTAATTTAATATATTTATCGTGTTTTTTTTTTATAAATTGTTGTTAACAATGAAGAAAAAATATACTTTCCGTTTTAAATTTTTGTTGGAAATTCATAGTGTTAATTCTAACGCAGCCGATGCGTATCAAAGTAATTAGCATTATAAAAAAAATCGTTGGTGTAACAAGAACCGCGCATAAATCATCTTCTAACGAGACAACTCAAAGTTCTGTCGCTCGTCCGTGGAACTTTGTAACTCTCGCCTTTGCAGACTTTTCGTCTTTTCACTCTATTTCCCTTTCAGCTTTGATGCATTCAGGCGCCTGTATATTAAAATAGCCCATCTGTCAACATCATTTATCTGCAACTTAAAACTCTGGGCGCGTCTCGAAGTTTTTTTCCCCTTGGCGCTCGACCGAGACGATGAAAGAGAATCGGCAAAGTACCCACCCGCTCGGGAAATAAACTGTAGTTTTGTATAAAACTGTCCCAGTTTTTTAAAAGATGTTCACTTTCCCGCGAGAGTGTCTAATTATTCACTTGCTCCAGTTTCACATTTGAACCGACAGAAATCTATAAATTTTTAAATATTATTTTTACTGTGCAAAAATCTAAAATTTAAATTATTAATTAATTAAATCAAATCACCATGAATCAACCCTCGATTGTGAAATTCTACCACAAAATTAAATTATTAAATTTTGATTTTCTTACAAATTTGATTATTCAATTATTTCTAAATTGATTTGAACGGTTGAATCTGGAAATCATATGAATAAAATTAACAATTATTTAAAATAATTGAAAGATTTTGAATTCACCATTTGCGAAATCGAATAACATTGGTTCTTATGGCAGCTTCATCTTAGAATGATTGAATCTTTTCAATCCTAAGACATGTTGTACAAAATGAAAAATAAAAAATATTGGCGTTGGAAAAATCAAAATTGGTTCAGCGTGGGGCTGTAGTCAGGCGATCAAAGATTTGTAAAAACAAAAAATTGGCTTCGGTTGCCTACTTTACAAATCTTTGATCGCCTGACTACAGCCCCACGCTGAACCAATTTTGATTTTTCCAACGCCAATATTTTTTATTTTGCATCTAGTACAAAATGTCTTAGGATTGAAAAGATTCAATCATTCTAAGATGAAGCTGTCATAAGAACCAATGTTATTTGATTTCGCAAATGGTGAATTCAGATTATTTCTATAAATATAATTATTTCAATTGTGTTGAACAAGAAGACCTTGTTTCGCTCAGATGATATCACGATTCTCTTTCAATGGTATTTGAGTTGCCCTCTGGCCACAATTGACATGTTTTCATTTCATCTAAATGATCCGGTGAGCGCCGATGACATTATTATTACTATCCATGCCCAAGTATACAATAAAATGTAAACAACGCGGCCGTGATGCAACGACGCGCGCATTCCTTCATTGACTTTTAATTACTCCGAGTATGGAAAACAACCGCCAGTTTCAATTTTCAAACAACCCTTTTGCGTGCGACTTAATCCTCTTTTGCTAAATTGGACTTTGATGATGGTCGCGTGTTCGGGATTAGCTTAATTGAGGAGCGGCCGGGATGATCTCTTTTTTTGTCAATGGCGCAATTAGAGAAAGCACGCTTCGGTTCGTTACTCTTGTCAGTTCAAAGACGCGATTGTTATGACCAATTGAATCTCCGACTTGCATCACAAGCAAATAACTTACAACAAAATCCAGTTATATTGTCACAGAATGAGATGAGAAATAAATAATAAGCCTGAACTTTCTCGAATCAATACACATTTTTAACATTACAAGTTCAGTAACAAGAATTATAGGAATTAATTGATTAAAATCAAGTTAAAAAATTCCCTCTCAAATAATAAAATATTTCAAATACTTTATTTTATTATTTTGATTTAATATTTAATTTAAAATTAAGAAAATCACCTGAAACCACCTATTTGAGTAATTAATAACCTAATGTCAAAATATTTGCATAAAATTGTGAAATTTCAAAAAATCAACTTCTATTTAATAATAATTTTGTCCTTACAATGTCTTAAACTTGAAAACATAAATTTTAATTTATAAATTAAAAAAAAATAATCCATATCTTTTTTACAATTTAATTTCTGATTCTGATGATTTGATTGACTGACGAATCGCCCAACCTTCTAGACTTTTCTTTTTTACCAAAAAAGATCACCTTATTGATGTCCGTCCCCGGTGAGTTTGGAAAACTTTTGCAAAAAGAAAACTTTTCGACTAGGCGATTGAGAAAAAAACTTGCGCAATAAACAGAACTGTTAAAAGGTCGCCCTAGGGCTGTTGACGCGCAAATTCGCTTGGGAATCGATTCGTCGACGGGAGTAAACAAAGCCCTGGCCCAAAACTTTTGCATAAAGAAAGAAAGAAGAAAGTTGCGGATCTGCTTAAAGGTCATAGACTCTTGTAGTACGCGGAGACGAGCTAGCGCGCAAGTCCTCGTAAAAATAATCAGCAAGGTCGCGGCGGACCACTTAATTAAATCAATAAATTGTTAGAATTAATTTAATATCTTCATTATTTGGTCCGAAATTTAATTTATTTAGGAAATAAATTCAAATCGAGCTGAAATATAAAATTTTGTAACAGTTTTGATCAGTTTATTTTAGAAAAAAGTTTAATTCTGGTGCGGGATGTTGAGCTACGTGCACGGGTTGTTTGCCGGTGACCCCATTAGAGGCGCTGCGGTCGCTCTCCAGCCGTCCATGCTGCCTCTATTTATTTTGGTCGTTCCGCCCAGCCAGCGGTGAGGGTGCGTGTCTGTCTCCTCTGTGACTTCTCCGTTCGCCGAAGAAAGGTCCTCTTCGGTCCGTCCTGAGTCAACTTCGGCCACTTCGTCTTTCATCCGATCGCACTTCGCCCGGTTCGTCTCCGATTCGTGTTCGTTTTTCGCTTTGCTGGCGAATTTTGGCTTTTTTCGGGGCCGATCGAACGTTCCTGGCTAATGCGCAGAAGACTTAAATCGGCTAATTTTCAATTAAAATCACTTCAATCGGGCTTGAGGTTTTAATCGAGTGGTGCAGGTTGAGATTCGACGCTGTAATTTCACAGTGAAAGTGTCTCCGAGTGCCGCTGGAATTTTTTAACTCTAATTTTCATAGCGTTCAAAGTCTGGAAAATTTTAAATTTTTTACTTTTATATTTTTCATTGATGAAAAACTCCTTTAATGAAATACGTGAAGTAATTTTCGATAATTATACGGGTGAGATTGAAGTTTGTCTGCCCAGCATGTCTGGCCTTGGACGAGAAGTAATTGTGAGGAAGAGAGACGCCTCTTCTCTCATTAGTCGGCGGCGGCTTAACCTTTTCATGATAACGTGACATGAGTCAAAAAGCATTAAATTTATTTTTTTTCAGTACATTCAATTCAAAAATTCTTGAGTCAATCGATAAAGTTTTAAATGAAATGCATTGAATTTTGTGGAATTTAAATTTTTTTTGTAAATTTGGTATAAATTAATTAGGAAAAGATTTTATATTTTTCAATATATTAAATTAATTAGCAAACGTTTTTTATTCAAATAATTTTTGTACAGCTTGGATGTAATTATTGATGAAATTACTGAAATTATTCCTAAAATACGCCTGAACTAATTGTGTTTTAAAAGTCCAATTTATGCTCTGCTTATTTTTACCACAAGATTCTTTAATTTTGAGGTTGACTTAATTTACCAACTGAATTGAGGTGATTTGAACATGGTTTTGTTATTTTAAATTCGAGTTTTAAAAAATTCAACAACAGTTAAAATTTTAATATTCAGTTCTTCCAATAAATTCAATCATTCTCATGGTTTCTGCTTAAATTGTCACAAACTATTGCTAATTTATAGAGAAAAAACTCAAAATTTAATTTTGGTTTAGAAGTCAGACTAAATTTAGAACTCCCAGTTATTTTTGTATCATTGGAATTTGAGTCAATGAAACAGAGTTCCCAAAATCACACATAGATAGAGCCAGAATTTTTGTATATTCGGTATTTTATTAAGCTTCTGATTAAAGTTTGACGAAATTTAATTTTCATCACGAAAATTGTGAAAAAATGCTTTGAAAAAAGGTAATTTTTCTATAAGTGTTTTTTATTTCAATTGAAAAAATTAATTCTATAATTTTTTTATTCAACTTCATTTGATAAAAACTTATTTTTGTAAAAAAAATGCGTTTTCTCATTTTTCAGGGCATTAAAATGCCAATTATTATTATTAATGATTGTTGAACAATTTCGACAAATAAACAACAATAATTAGTAACAAGTATTTAAATTTTATTGCCCTGAAAATATTAAAAAAAAAAATAGTATTTTTCTACAGCAAAAAAAGTTTAATTTTTCAAACCTAATTGAAAGAAAAAATGATTTTAGAATACATTTTATTAATTTATTTTACTCTTTAAAACGGTTTAAACTATTATTGTTGTTGTTAATCTGTCCAAATTTTTACATCACATCGTTGAAATTTGCCAGCAAAACGAAAAATGTGATAAAATCCGGGATTTTGTTGCAATTTTTTTTATTACTTTTTTATAAGTGCGGAATGTCGGATCACGACGGGCACCACCGGCGGTCGCTGCACGAGCTGCTGCGGTCGTTCCGCAAGTCGCACTGGATGCGTCTGTCCGGCGACTCGGACGGACGCCGGTCCAGCCTCGAGGGTGCGCACCCCCTCGGCGCCGACGACTTCCGGTCGCGGTCTCGCTCCCTTGACGACAGCCCCCGCGGCTCGGTGGCCGCCGCCCTGGCCCGCAGCAGGGCCGCCATCGTCCGCAGCAAGGCCAGACACGCCACCGACGCCATGCCCGTCGGCGAGTGCGAAACCACCTATCGCCTCTACGACTCCATCCTCAAAGAGGGTAAATTTCATTCAATTGCAATATTATACAAACATTTCTACAAAAATTTAAAATTCGGCTTCAATTGACATCATCGGATTCAAAATTATCCTCATTAGTTCTAGTTGCGACTTTATTTTTCCCGCAGAAATTTAAAGCATCTTTCTTCATTCCTTATTTTTCTTTCTTACTTTTTCCGGTAAGTTATAAAATGAAAAGTACATTTCTCCAAATTAATCTTTCTGAAATAATTACTTTTGTTTTATTTCTCAATTTTTTAAAAAATTGGAAATAATAACTTTTTCAATAAAAAGCTTGTGTTTCTTCATTTTAAATTATTAGAGAAACATTTCCGTACTATGAATATTTTTTGTTTTTATTTGCAATCAGCCAGAGATATAAACTAAATCAATAACGTTCTTTTATCTCCGACAGTCTCGATCAATAGACGATTTGTCCTATTTTTGTGTGATTTCTGAATCTCTTTGTGTAAAATATTTTGTATTGTTACGAAATAATGAGTTTTTTTATTCTTATGATTCATAAATAATATTTTTAAATGGATGAAACACGATTTTGAATAAATTTCTTTGTTTAGGTCAAAAATAATATAGTGATGAAATTCTCATTTTTTATTTTATGCTTGATTCAAAATACATAGAATAAAAACAGCTTTCTGCAATTTTTCAGTGAAATTATTTGCATAAGATTTTTGGCGTTTCTAAAAATTACTGGATTAATTAATTTTCTAATTTTGGATTTTTCAATATTTTATTAGTTTTTTTTTTCTTTTTAAATCCAACAAATTTTATCAGAAACTAATAGTTTACGGATAAAAAATTACTTTTGTATAAAAATTGATGAACAGAAATTGACTTCTAAAAAAACATTCTTATTCTTAGGATTTTTTCAATCATAAAATTGAGACTTTAAATGACTATTTTTAGCCAATCTGCATTTCGTTTGTTAAAACTTTTCAATTAGTAAAGAAAAATTACAATAATTAAAAATTTCCTTCAAATGAATCCGTCAGATTTCCTTCTAGAAATTGCTTAACTGCTGCACAATCCGAAACCTCTTCACTTTTACAAACAGGGTCACGTTACGAAAAAAAATGCAGTCGGCTGCTCTTCGTATATTTTCCTTATCGCCCTTGTAACTGCTGCACCGGCCGAGCGATAAAAACTCACGTGAACGACCGGCGAGTGATTTATTTACTTTTTTATTTGCACTTAATTATTGTCCAATGCTCGAAAGGCTCAAATTGAGTTATTGCGGCGCTTCGAATTAACGCGCAGTTTGAATTTTTGTCTCTCTGCCAACTTATTTTTATCTGCGTTGCTGGCGAAATTTTCAGCTTCAAGTTTCGCTCGCATTATTGTAGCTCAACAAAAAAGAAAAGAAAAAAGGGGAAAAAACATCCGGCTTGTGTTTTATTTTCAGGACCTTCTTACTTCAAGATTTATTGCCGAAGTCCGGAGGTTAAAATAACGTTTAAACTTTTTTCTTAATATTTTTTCAAAATATCAAGATTTTTAAATTATGAAATATGGTTATGAAGAGGCGATTATTTATTATTTATTTCTTATTTTATATGAAGTGTATCCTAATATAATTATGTTCAGTAGTTCTAAGGATTTTTTTTTTTCAGAATTTGTTGGAATTTGAAACGCGAATTTCCCTTTTATTCAAAATTTAATATTTCCTCAAGAACTAATTTGAATAATTTTACCGTTTAATTTGATCTTAATTCATTTTCTTCCTCCAAGTTTTGCTTTATTCTCTCCTAAAAAGTGGAAACTCGGCTTTCGTGACGCAGTTTTAGTTCATTGATTGGCAATTTTTTGTTCGTCTGGCCACATCTCGCTTTTCCTCTCGGCCACTTTTTCCATCGCGAACCAGTTTCCTCATTTTTATTTTCTTCTCTCTCGTCCAGACGGTGTGAAATTTCACCACGTGAGCATAAAATCGAGAAATCGTGGTGCACTGAGGCTGCATTGCTGCACCAACAAAAATCAATTTTTCGTTCGTTCGCTCGGTGGGTAGGTCGGGCCAAGGCCGTGTGATTTTTTGTGTGGGTGACACAGGATATGGGCTTGCGCGACACAGTTTCCACCTCGCAGGCTGATAAAAAAAAATAGAGAGGAATAAATTTATTCAGATAAAGGCTCTTTCACCTTTTGGCCCAGCTACAAATGTTTGCTTTCCAAACATCGGTAAATTCAAAAGAAAATTATTCATACACTGAAAAAAATGATGATAAAAATTAAAGTTTCACAAAAAAAAAGTAATTTTTAATAATTTAAATTTAATCAAATTAATAAAAGAAATGGGAAATTCGATTAATTCATCAGAGTCATCATTTTCAAAAGCACCAGATTTTTATTACCAGAAATCAGACTTACTATTTTTTAAAGAAATTTTTCATTGCATTGCTATTCTTTTTAGTTTTTTATTTCAAAGGCCATTTTACTGATAATTGATAATTTTAGGTAATTTCTTATGAAAGTATAAATTATATTATAAGGTGAAAATTTTACAATACATGCTTTTAGAAAGAATTTTTTACTCAAATACATAAAAGATTGTGAATATTTATAGCAAGAAGTAGATTTAGATTTTATTCTTAAATATCAATTTATCTTTTAAATAGGCCATTTTTTTTCTTATCACAACATTTTAATTTACAAATTTTTTCACCGTTTTCCCAAACTTAATTAAAATATTAAAATTTTACCACTTTTAAAAGAATTAAATTCCAAAAAATTATTGCATATTTTCCACTGCTCAAAATTTTAAAAATATAAATTTATTTCATATTTTTTCATCTCATATATTTGGTATTAAATTAATATTCTTTGGATTTTGCTTCCTCAGGTGCAATGTTGCGCCGGGGCTCCCTGGACCCCACAAACCGCCGGCTTTCGCTGGGAGGCGGATCAGCCCACCGAAGCAACTCAAGCGACTGTTCCCTGCTGGACCCGGCGCACGCGGCCATTCTCTTCAGGGACTCCAGAGGGGTGAGAAAAAATTACATAAATCACCCAAGCCTTTCAAGTGCAATCCTCTTTGCCCTAATTCTCCAAATGCAGCCATGGGAAATTTTTGTGCTCCCTTTGTTCAACAAAAAAATAATGTGACTTTGAACTTTGACCTTGGTTTTAAATGAAAAGAGCCGCCGCCCCCTTGTTGTGATAAAGCAGCTAATCTTTGCCAGATTATTCTGCTCTCAAGCCATTTATTTTAAAGATTACGGAACAAAAAACTAATTGGCGTTTTTCCATTTGCAGTTGCCAGTCGCCGACCCTTTCCTCGAGAAAGTCAGCATGGCTGATTTGGGTGAGATTTTTTTATATTTGAAGTCTTGGAAAAACTATAAAATTCCTTTAATTGAAGAAAAATGAAGCCTGGCTTGCGAAATTTCAATAATATTTATCAGTGATTAGATTAGGGACAATTATGTGGATTTGTTAGAGCTTCTTTTCAAAATTCTAATGCTTAAAAACAAAGGTGAGGAGTTAATTTACGATAAAATTTGTCAAATTGTTTAATTTTGATCAATTTTACATGATTAAGGACTCCTTGTTAACTTATTCAAATCAAGTCTTCGCAAAAATTATTCCTAAAGAATTTCCATTTGTTTTCCTTTCATTGCCAAAAATGGCTTTTATTGTTTTAAAGACTTGATTTGACTCTTCTTCAATAAAGGGCCTTCTGACATCAGTTTATTGTTGCTTCATGTGTACTCTGGAGTCAAAATTATGCTTTAAATGGGCCAAAGGACTGCATAATTATTCTTATATTGTTGTCTTCTTGCATTTTACTATGCAGCACAGTTTTGACGTAATTTGTTGATTTTTTATCAGTAGACAAATTAAAGAATTACAATATTTAAAAAATTATTACATTTAGAATGAAGTATTTAAAAACGGATTTAAGTAGTATAAACTTAAACATTTCTTTTTTAACTATTTTATTTAATCATGTATTTAATGAACTGTTGAATCAATATCAATAATCAATCAATTGAAATGGATCATTTGAAGAAGATAAATAACACCTAAATTGATTTGCAAAATGAGTCGTAATTTAAACAAGTCAATAGTTTTCTGGCGCTTTGATTATTGCCCTCGATTTTGCTCGCTCGGCGTCTAAGGGGGCGCTTAGGTCGGGGCGTCCGGCCAGAAATAGCCGAGTCCGAGCCGAAATTAGCACCGTTGGGACGGTGGGTCGGTCGGTCGGAAAGTTGTCCGCTCGGAGTTGCGGTCCGTCCGATGACTCTGCGCCTGCACTTCTACTCGCACCTGGTCAAAGTCGAATGCCTCGAGGACCAAGACATCTACAGGATCGACCAGATCAAGGAGTTCGAGTCCGTCGACCCCGCCTGGCTCGAGACCTTGACCGAGTACCTCGAGCAAGGTGACCTTCAACCCTGCCAGATCAAAACAACTGCAATTTAATCTAAATTTTTAATAATTATATTGTTTGAAAAAAAGTTTATTTCAATAGATATTTATTTGATCTGGTTTTTTGGTTTGTTTGGAGTTTTCTGTGTTTATTTTGAAAGCGTGTGGTTTGTTATTCGGAAATGACAGATGTCAACCAACAGTGCAGTTCAAATAGTACAAAAATTAAACAAAATTTATGCTAAAATTTAGTTTATTCCAGAATGTTCTCCCGGACCTTTATCTGTTTTATTTTTAGCCCAATTTACGACTTCAGTTGAAAGTTTCCACTTTTATTTGTCATAAAATTCTTCTCCAAATTCGAATTTTTATGGTGTAAATAAAGGAAATTTCAAAAGCCAGGCTCTGAATTTTTATCACCAAAGTTTTGGTTTCATTCGATCGTTTCTTTTTGCAGAGGAGGATGAGAGCCAGATCTTTGTCAAGTTCTTCCGTTACCACAAGTGCTACGACCTGATTCCGACCAGCGCCAAGTTGGTCGTTTTCGACACCCAGCTTCTGGTGAAGAAGGCCTTCTTTGCCCTTGTGTACAATGGTGAGCAATATTGCAAGCAACGATTACAAAATAATTTAACTTAAATTTGATTTATTTTCCGAGGCAATTCTTGAATTGAAATTGTAATTAAAAGATAAAGCAAATATTTGTGAAAATATTTATCAAATTCCAACTTGATCTAAAACTCATTTAATTTGAGCAAAGTTTAAAGTAATTAATTAAAAAATAACTCGGAACACTTCATTAATTAATTTTAAATTTATTCTGATTAAATCAGATTAAATGAAAGCTCCGTGACGGATCTTAATTTTTGGGAAAATAATCGATTCAAAATTATTTTTAATCACCAACAACAATTTTACATTTTTTTTTATGACATTTTTCAATTAGGATAAATAATTGAATAACAATAATTTCAGGGGTGAGAGCGGCGCCGTTGTGGGACTCGAAGCAGCAGCTGTTTGTCGGTATGTTGACGATAACAGACTTCATCAAGATCCTGCAGCGCTACTACAAGAGTCCGTCGGTGCACATGGACGAACTGGAGGAGCACAAGCTGGAGACGTGGCGCGGCGTTTTGTTGGAGGAGGTGAAACCGCTCGTGTCCATCGGGCCGGACGCCTCCCTCTACGAAGCCATCCGCACCCTCATCCACAAGCGCATCCATCGACTGCCAGTCATCGACCCCACCACCGGCAACGTCCTCTACATCCTCACCCACAAGAGAATCCTCCGCTTCCTATTCCTCTATGTGAGAACATCAAATTTGTCTTGGATTTTATTTTGCCGGAAATTATTATCAATCTTCATAATGGCCAATTTTGAGTAAAGTTACCATTAGGAGTAATTTTTCTACTTTTTTCGAATAGAAATTTGAAAATTTTAAATTAAATTATATTTGATTTATTAATTAAATTGACATTTTATGCAATAATTTTAAGATTTTGTGTATAGATAATAATTCAAATTGGTGTAAAAATTTCAATTTTGTTTATTTTTCGTTAAAAAATTTATTAAATTTTTAAAAAGAAAACATTCAATTAAATTAATCATGCCTTTTTCATTGGCATAAAAACCTTTTTATTAAAAAAAGTAGTATTTGAATTTTAATTTATTTTCTGTGATATCAAAATTTATTGAAGCTCTGTCTTTTTTGCAGATAAACGACCTGCCAAAGCCGAGCTACATGCACAAGCCGTTGAGCGAGTTGCGCATCGGCACTTACGATAACATCGAAACGGCCAGGCCGCATACGCCAATCATCGAAGCGCTGCACAAGTTCGTGGAGCGCCGAGTCTCAGCCTTGCCCATTGTTGATGACCAGGGCAGGCTGGTCGACATTTTCGCCAAGTTTGATGTGATTGTGAGTGCAAAATTCAAAGCTTTATTTCATTATTTAAGTATTTATTTAGGACAAATTAAATCAATGTATAATAATATTAAAATATTTAATTTAAACTTGATCTTGTAGAATTTGGCAGCTGAAAAAACGTACAACAACCTGGACGTGTCACTGCAAAAGGCCAACGAGCACCGCAACGAGTGGTTCGAGGGCGTGACCAAGTGCAAAATGGATGAGACTCTATTTGCTGTCATGGAAAGGATAGTCAGAGCAGAGGTGAGATATTTATTTCAATCTTGGATTAGATCCTATTATGATTTATTTCCCCAATTAATTTTTTTATGATTTTGTTTTAACATTTTCAAATGAGAAATCATTAAAAACGATGAATTAGATGAATTTTTCAAAACACACTAATTCATATTTGAATAATTTTTCGCTTAAAAATTGACTAAACTAAATTTATTGAATGTAAGTTTTCACCAAAATTAAGTTGGCAAAATAAGATCAGTAAGATAACTTAAGCTTAAATGTACTTTGATCTTATTGGAAAACGCTTTTCAATTAAAATGTTTCTCAAAGAATTTCTCTTAAATTGATATGAATCGTTGAAATGTAGTGTTGATTCAATGAAATCTTTCTTTTTCAAGAATATTTGCTCTGTTTAGTTTTTTATTTGCATGTCAAGTTTTTTAAATGAAATAATTTTAAATTTCACATTATTATTGTACCATTATTTATTTCTGTTTTACAGCAAAGAGCGCACATTTTATCCGTAGCATTCAATAAAATTAAATTTACAAATTATATTTACAAATAAATTCAAAATATTTATTGTAATAAAATTAAATTTTTAATACATATTAATTTATATTTATCCTAAGTCAATTCAATGCAGTTCAAATTTAAAAATAAATGCATTCTTTAGTGTAAACACAGTTTAATAACTCTGGCCTTACATGCTAAAATCACCACTGACTAAAGACAGAGTTAACACAGTGCCCAAAAAAGCTTAAAATTAATTACTTTGACATCTTCCCGTTTGCAATTTTTTTCAACACAGCCCATTTTAAATAAAATTTTCCTATTTTTTTTTTGTTCTTTTTAACACATTTTAAAACAATTTTGCTTCAGGTCCATCGGTTGGTGATTGTGGACGACGAGGACAGAGTGATCGGGGTCATCTCGTTGTCTGACCTGCTGAACTACCTGGTGCTGCGGCCGAGCGGGGAGGCCGAGGACGAGCCCCTGCTGAGCTCCGTGTCCCTCTTGTCCGACTCGGAGACAATCCCGGAGGAGAGCCAGGAGGAGGAGGCGGAGCGGGAGCAGCAGGAGCTGGCCGAGGAGCCCTTGGAGGCGGCGGCAGCGGCGCCGCCCCTGCCCCAGTGGCGGGAGGTGGCCGTCTCCGGGGGCGGCGAGTGAAATCCAATCCAGAAACAAACACACACATTCCAGTGGCATTCCCAGCAATAAGGAAGAAGTACGAGTGCAGTGCCGAGACAAGAAAAATAAAACTGCTTTTCCTCTTTAGCTGACAAATTGCGCTTTCCCTCTTTTTCCGGTTCTTCTTTTCTCCCCGTCTGCTAATTTGGCTCCCTTTTCTTAGGTCGCGGGGGTGGAAAGAGAAGACGCAGAAGAATGAGTCGACTAGGTCTGAAAAGTAATATTGAAAGCGAGTCGTGAGAAAGTGATGTTGAAAGAAATGTAAGAAAAAATAGCATATTATGTTGATTGTTTGTTTGGCAGGTGAAAATTTTGTGAAAATCCTTTTTAATTTTAAATACTGTTGATTGTAGGCCAATTTTGTAAATTAATCAAGAATAGAAAGCGCATAAAAACAAAAATGAAGTTGGAAAGTGTTTTATTTCTCAAAAACTAATAGGAATCTCAATTGACTATTTAATACCATGAACTCATGGCTGTGGCGCCACCATCGATTTTCTGAATGACGGATTCTTCAAAACTTCAAAAGGTCCCACATGCAGGAGCTTGAGCATGGGAGAAATGAATCAGATTTGGCTCGCCATTCTAAAATTTGTGAATTCTATTTTATGGCCACATTTATTTTCCTTTACAAATGAAGTCTGAACTCAGCTTGAAGAATATTGGCATGTTTTGTACAGCAGAGAAAAAGAAAATCAATAGAGAGTTGGAAGGTAAAATAAAAGCAATAATTTCGCAAGGATTTTCTACATTCTTATTAATTTGTTGGGATCAAATGAATCAATACAGCACAAACAGTGAGACGTAAACAATAGAAAGTACAAAAATAATAGGAGAGCATTTATTGGACAAAATTTGTGAAGAAAAAGCATTATTCTGGCTGCGAATTAAACTTATTTTGGGACATATTCAGATTCTTATTTTCGTCAAAACAAATCACAGCTCGTTAATGCTAAATCGAGTTAATATTTAATTATGGGTCCCATTTTGAATTATGTACAAGTAATTGGGCACACAAGCATGCAGACAAATACATAATATTCTACTTTTTGCAGAAATTTTCATTTGTATCACTTCTTATAAATAGGGGAGATTCATTCATTCAATTAACCTTGCATGTTTGCTGCTGCGAGTCTTTGGTCATAGAACTTCCTCGCTCCAACTGCGACTTTTCAGTCGTTATCATAGCTTCCTTGAATTGCTGAAATTAAACAAAAATTTAGTAAATTTCGATTTAAATGATAATTGCCGAAAGTTACCTTGGAGGTGAGGATGGCTTTGTGTACTCTGAGCACGGACAAGATGAAGTCCCTGCCCTGGCTCTCCATCAGGAACTTGCAACTGCTGAACCACTTGGCGTGCATCACCCAAGGCTCCTCTCCAGCTTTCCAGTCTTTCAAACCTCCACCGCAGTGGAAACACAAAACAGCATCATCCATTCCTGCAAATCAAATCAAATTTCAATTATATGATAAAAAAAAATGCTTCATTCCTGAATGTAAAGGAATGCAAAATAAAACAATTAATTAATACTATTAATTTGTTTTGAAAAACAAAAAAACCCTAAAATTCAAGATGGCTGATTGCCTTTTCTGCTTTAGCATGCAGATGGAGGGACATTAAAGTGATAACTAGGGTATCATTTCGAAGGGCTCGCAAAATCTGATCTATCTGTACCAATAGTGGAAAAAACTTGTCAGCCCCTTTAATATAGATTTAACTCACCAGTGTAGAAGAATCCAGCTTCGACCAAGTCTGCCGGCTTCATCGGATACTTGTTGGGCCAATTTTTGAAGGAAACCATTCGGGCATCCTCGGTCTTCATGTGAGGGTGGGTCGGGGGCGGCTGCAGCGCCTTGTTCCTGGGCACAACGTCGGGCAGGGCGCGACCTGCATCGAAATCGGGTTTACCAAAAGTGGCGACAAGAGAAACAAGCGGATTCTTACGCATGTCATTCTCGGCCTTGGTGAACGGCTTGATCTCGAGGCCGTCCGAGGCCACTTTGCGGCGGATCTCGGCGCCCAGCCGGAAGTTGCCGATGGGCTTGTTCTTGACCAGGGGGCACTCGGGGTTCCACCTTTTGTGCTCCCCGGCCGGAGTGTCTCCAGCCTCCCAATCTTTCATCTCCAGATTGCAAAAGTGGCATTTGCAAATGTCGTCTCGGCCGGTGTAATAAAAGCCGTTCTCGGCCAGGTCACTCGGCTGCACAAACGTGCACTTCCAGCTGGAAGAATAAAACAAAATTTAATAAAATTGTTAAAATTATCAAACTCTCGCAGAATATTTACAATGAATACCAAACAGAAGAAGTTATTTGTATTTATAAAGGATGGATCATTTCGAAAACCAGAAAATTGATAAATTTCTGAAAAAGATAAATTGAAACATCAAAAATTTTTATTTTTGCTATTTTATGTTTCCGATTAATTAAAGTTTAGAGTAGAAAAACGGTGAATTTTAACTTCAACTTTTCCTTATAAAATTCCAAATAATGTCTGTCACTTTTGACATTTTGTGCCAACCTAGAGTTCTGATAAAAGGAGAGCAGCCTGTGGGCTTCGTAGTTGAGGCTGCAGGCCGCACTGCTGGGTGGGATGTCGTCTTCTGAAGGGTGGGTGCACTCGTAGTGCTTCAGCTGGATTTGCAGTTGTTTGAGGTCCTGCCACGGGGTCACTTGCTGCTCCTTCTGGTGGCACCGGAAGCACTCGAGCTGCCTGCCGTTCCAGAAGAAGCCGACCGCGGCCAAAGATCGGACGTCCAGCCGCAGCTTCTCAGCCAGGCCGACCGGGAAGGTCAGCAGGCGGTGCAGGGCGGAGGTCAGATTCAGACGCTTGTCCACGCTGCTTCCTGAAGAGGAGGCGCTGCTGCTGGCCGAAGAGCCTGAAGAGCCGCAGGAGTCGGTCGAGCTGGACGACTCGACCGACTCGCAGCGGCCGATAAAGCGTCTGGGCGGCGAACAGGGCGGCGAAGAGGCCGCACCACGCTCAATCGACTCCTCCGAGTGGCTAACCATCTGCAACAATACGCACAAAAGCTGATTAGTATCATTGTTGACCATTCGCAATAATACAAATTTACTGTGAAAATATGAACTTTAAATTGAACTGAAAGTTTTGAACTTATTTTAAATAATTTAAGTCTAGTGAAAATTTATAGTCTAAATAGAAATTTTATCTAAAACTATCTTAGATTTTTTTAAAATCAAGTGGAATTGAGTTAGGGATGGGCGATAAAAAATTTTAAACTTCCAGTTTTACCATTAATTTAAGGCCTCCTTATTGACATAGTCAAATCAAGTCTTTTCAACAATAGGAAACATTTTTATCAATAATTGGAAAATTTAATCATCATTGTTGTAAAGACTTGATTTGACTATGTCAAAAAGGAGTCCTTAATTGAAAGTTTGAATCAGAAGTTTCTAAAACCATAAATTTTGTTTGCCCAATTTCAGAGGACTTTTAAAAGGATTATTTTTAATTGAATTATAAAAATGATATTTTGAAAAAATTTAAAACGTGTATAACTCTGCAACCGAGAACGATAGAGTGATAAAATTTTCACCTAATTTTATGCCGAACAACTTTTCTGTTGACACCAAAGCTGTAGGTCAAAGGTCAAGGCCACTTTTGAGCGATTTTACGATTTTTTAATTTTCTAATTTAAAAAAATTTAAAAAGTGCAATTTTAGGGATGAGGTCCCTTTTGAAAACTTAGAATGAAGTTTAATTGAAAAAAAGACAAGTTTAAATTGAAAATTTATAATTCCTTTGGTAAATCCCAACGGCCTCCAACTCATATAAAAATTCTTGTGTTCAAATATGGACGCATTTTATTATTTTGCATTGAAAAACCCCTGACGTAAGTAACTTTGTTATTTCAGTTTTGCGATTTTGGTCACGTCCCGTCGCGCGTTGTTGCAAGCACGCGTTTCGAAATCCGACGCCTTTTGGAATTTGCTTCCAATTACTTTACACTGCACTTGAAACCAAAGTGAATCACCCACTCTGACGACAGATTACATATGAACATTTTATATGCCAATAATTTAGATAACAGATCAGAGGCAAAGTCCTTAGCGTTCAAGTTTAAAACAAATTTAATTAAATCATAAAATATATAAAAGATAATTTAAAGTTTGATGTCCTTAACAAGAAATTTGACTTGTGAGGAATCAAATTGAATGCGAAAATATTAGATAAAAATTGAAACGCATGGTAATAAAACAGTCAAAATTTTAAGCTATTTTAAAAGATTTCAAGCTTAAATGAAATGCGTCCCTGGGGCATGTTTTGTATTGAAGAGGTGATGAACGTGACCCCCTGTAAGCTCACAACATGATGCTTGCCATGCGGAAAAAAAAGGGGAGAGGGGGATGTATTCAATTTCCAGACGCCAGACTAGAATCTTCTGCTTGTTTTCGAGCAAAACGTTTTGCTTCAAAAACCAACAAACTTTCAGAATTATTAAAAACAACAAACACAAAAATCAATAACAGAATAATATAGATTGATCAGAAAAAATATGTAAGTTTTAAGATGTAAATTTGTGCTATTTCCAACAAATTATAAAATTAAATAACTAATAATAAAAATTTGTTTAAAAAAAAAAACTTTTTACAGAGGCCAATAAACTCAAGTGTTAAATTTCGCAAACAGTCAAAGTCCCCTCTTGTCTGATTTTAATCCAGAGATGATTATAAAAAAAACCCATTGTTCTTTTGTTTTGCGATGAAATTTCAAAAGCGACCGATAAACGCACTCGTAAAAATCGATGATAAAAAAATCCAAAGTTTACCTCCAGCTCGACCGACATAAGGTTCTCCAAGCTCTTGTTGACTTGAGCAGGCGCAATGGCCAAGTCCTAACTGATTCTACGCGATAACTGAATACGCTGCCAATTTATATTAAGTCTTATCAAAAACGAGTTCACGTGTGCAAAGCTTCAAACGCACTGCTCGTGCTCGAACTGAAATAAAACGGGCAGAGTCTGTGGGATAGCGTCGGGGTGGGGGGAAAACTTCCAGACCTACATCACAAGGCCTGTTTTTGTTTACAAGCGAGTCTGTTTGTATTTTATTTCACACTCCTCCCCTACTGGTCACGGATGACGTCACGAGTCACGGGTTATGTCACATGAACATTTATCCACTTCCTCTTGCGTTCGTGGTGCAAAATTGAAATTACCATGCAACGAGGAAGAATTATTTATTCTTTATTCACAGCAGCAAATTGTTCCATCGGATAGATAATAGACGAGTGGGTTGAAAGGGGCGTTGAATTTATTTACGCCCCTGGACTGATTCACTTGTGAAGAGGAAGTCGGAATTGCAAAATCACTTCGGTGACCAATATAATTAATAATGTAAAATAGTTTTAAATTTTAAGCTCTAATTTTTCTAGAAATTAACTTGAAACTTTTAGAACGAGAGAAAAATTTGTGATCACAAAAAAAAATTGCATTTCTACTTAATTCTAGAAATATCTCAACCAGAATGTTTGTCATATCATAATATAATATTGACTGCAGTTGATGATAAAAATATCGAACGTAAAAACACTTTTGTCAAATATTTACATACATAATAGATAAGGAATACTATTTTCATTCCGAATTCATTATTAAAATACATATTTCACGTTTTTTGATATTTGCGAATTTATTAATAAAAAAATCTAAAGTAGAAAAATATATGAATTTATTATAATGTGTTTCCTACATGATAAGACTATCTTTGTAAAAAATTTCGGCTCAAACGAAGGTGGCATAATTTTGCTAGAATTTTATTAGTATTGATATTCGTTGTGCCGTTTTGTCCAACAATTTTTTTCAACAATTACTTATTGTTAGTAAAAATTCTACGAAATAAACAATGATAATAATAATTTAATATATATCAAGACAAATGGATTTAAAGACCTAATTTGTTTGAACTGCAACATTGATTTTCCAAAAATTTTACTTTTGATTAACTGTAATTCTGTTAAATAGTTTCAAATGTAATAATTTGCAATTAAAATGAAAACAAAAATCCTCAATTGAACAATTGCCAGCCTTGGAAATAAAAAATGCCGCTCTAATTAATCTTCCAGGCAACTTGAAATATTTAGGTTTGTGTTTCACGGTCGAACTACTTTACTTTGCGTATCCTTGCAGTTGTAATCTATCAATATTTTTTTGCGAATTACATGTTTGTCCATTGATGATCGGTACGTTTATCTGCGCACGTGTGCAGCAGGCAGAGATGATTGTAAAATTATTGTAAATAATTTACCACTTCTTGGCAAGTAGGAAAAGTATGGGGAATTTTACTCGGAAACGCACGTTAGTCTTATCTGTAAATTTTTTAACTTGTCACGTCTGTTGGCGTCAATCGTCTTATCAGCACATTTATTTCCTGTAAAAATTTATAAAGTTACGCCTTATTTAGCTGCAAACCAGAAATCCCAAGCGTAAAATTTAATTTAGTCTAAGTTCTGAGCAATTTTATGGAATTATAGAACATTTTTATTCAAATCAAGTTTTGACAATTATTATAATACGATTGGTACTAAGGACTTGTTTCAACAATGTCAATTAGAATCACTAAAATTTAAAAAATTAAAATTTGCTAAATCGAGTGTATTTTCTTCCCAGCGAATTTTGCCGACTTTCGGATTGGTGGGAAGTGCTGATGCTGAATATGAGAACAGGAGCCTGGTGGCAGAAATGAGGGGGAGGGGGGATGGCGCCAAGTTGTGCGTAATATTTGCACATTGAATGGAGCTCGTTTGTACTACGAAATGTACAAATAAGGCGCGGATAATTATTGCGAAACTTGAGAAGATTATTTCTGCAGAATGAAACAAACAAGAAAACTGCCGCCTTTAATTTTTTTTCCTGATTGATTTCCATGAATGGACAGTGATGTCATCCAATTAAAATTAAAATCACTGCAATATTTTTTAAAAAATTACATAAATAATAGAAGAGGCTTGATTTCTAATTCAAAAACAAATATTTGATTATTTATTCAAGTATTCAACAAAAACTAATGTGATTAATTATTAATGATTTAAATTTTCTACGATAAACTGAAAAAAATAACTTCTAAATTAAATTAAACAAATTTTACAATTGGTTAATTAAATGATATTTTGCTTCTTATTATCAAAATTTCTAGATCAAAAAAAAATCTAAATTTATAATTAATTAAATGACAAGTTTTGAATATTAAAAAAATATATATTAAATCTCGAGATAACATCCTTTCATTAAAAAATTTAATCTTGACATTTTTCATTGTTTTTGAATGAACCCAAATCTTGTCAAGGACTTGAAAAATGTATTCTTCTGCCTAAAAATTAAAATACTCGGCAGTTTCAATTTGTTGGGAAATGCACCATTCATTCTAGCCAAGTAAAAAAAAACATCTTCTATTTTCTATTTTCGATCCACTTTTCCAAGAAGTTCCAGTGAGTCATTCAAGGCTTGAACGGAAACCCCCTCTACCGGCCGAACTGTCGAAATTGTGCGCAATAAAATTTAAGCCCCCACGGCGCGGAGCAGCTGCGTACTTTTTAGGGCCAACTCCAAATTATCGTGCGGCGTTGCCAGACTGACAACATAAATAAACACACTTCGGGAGGAACCGTTTTAAAATAAAGTTTGAAAAATATTATTTAAAAGAATTAGAACGTTTGTCTCCGAAGAGAGATATAAATTAATTAATAATAAAAATAAAGTTTATTTAAAAAAAAAATAACTTCTTCAACAGTCTATAATTTGATTATATAATTAAAAAAGTCAAACAATTTTTTCTCGTCCGAGAACAATGAATGACTTTAGAATCAAAAGAAAATCGCAAGCATTTCGTCTTTCATTCCTTCATAAATCGAATGAATGAAATAAATGGCATGTCTCTGTGTCTGGTCATCCGAAAAATGTGAGATATTCGTAAAATCCCAGGCTTAATCATCACTTCTTTTATTTCGTGACAATAAATGATAAGAACCAATTCAATAATCTCCTAATCAGTCTGGCGCCGAACAAGTTGTTTTTCAAAAGATAAACTGTTAACAGGCCGACGAGGCCGAATTAATCGAAATTATATTTTTATACACACATAGGCGCGACCCCTTCAAGTGCCTCTCTCTCCGTTTAAAGCGGTGATGGCGTCCGCGTTTGAGGTCACGCTAATGGAAATCCAACACTTTTTACAACGCGAATTGAAGCCCAAATCGGACGTAAAGCGCGGCCCAAGTTTGCAAAAACGAGAGAAAAACTTGTTCTGAATCGAAATTGAGACGCTTTCGGGGCGAAAACGGATTCAAACTCACCTTTTTTATCGTTTATTGGCTGCACATCTGTTGTCACAAAGTCCAGAGCGACTCGCTACGTTTTCCTTCCCTTTCCAAAATAAATTCACAATGGCTCGTGTTTCTGAAGAGAGGCCGTCGGCGCCACCGTCGCGGATCCATTGATTTTTGATTTGCCAATGGGAAAAGTTCAAGGGTTGTGGAAACAGCTGAACGACGAGGGGTTGGGGGTGCTGCGTGAATGGCGCGTTAATAATTTTAGTGAAAAAAGCAAACAGATTATTGTAAATTTGTCAATTTTTAAAAAATGTCACTTTTAATCGGAAAAATGTAAAATAATAATTTTTTTTTCTTTTCAAAGACTAGTTTTAATTTTTAACAATTGTTCTCTAGGAACGTTTTAATAGGTGCACTAATTAATTTTTTAAATTATAATATAAATTACATCAAAACTTTTAATTGATATATTATTTCCAAAGAACTGCTCGAAATTATATAATTTTTATTTATTTTATGATTCAATTGAAGTTGAAAAACTACAACATATGTTTAAGGAAAAAATTTTGGTGTTGTGAGCACGATAATGTCATTTTTAACTCGATGAAAGTTTTTATCAGAAAATTAAGCTCTCAAAAATAATCTCTTGAGTTGGCCGCGACATAGCAACTCGCAATCAAACTCATCGATTAAATTTGCGACTCAATTAAATATGCAGCTGCTGAGGATTTAATTTGCTCAAAAATATAACCTGCATTGCCTGATAGTTCCCTTGGTGATCTGAATATTTTCAAAAAGCAATTAAATAAGGAATCTCGTCATTGGCATTCGAATCAAATTGATTGATATAAAATTAAAATTAAATTATTTGAGCAACAGAACTTTCCTTTAAAATTTTTAATTGTTATGAATCACTGAAAATACTGTTTTACTGTAAAATTAAAAATTAATATTTTTTTTAATTTACATTTATTCTATTTTTTCCAGACTTCATTTATTTTGTAATTAGTTTGAAATTAATATTAAATTTCAAAATTTTGGCAAACAAAGGGACCAAAATATTATTAAAAACCTCACCTTATTACTAATAATTACATGAAAACAAAGAATATCAAAATTTATAAGACAAGCATCAATAATTTATTATCATTTTCAATATTGCTTTTAATTTTAGCGAATTTAAGTATTTTTCAGTGTCTTAAACGCAATCTTCAAAATTAAAGTATAATTTTTAAATTATAAATAAAACAGCGCCGGTTTTATGGTGATTATCAAAGATTGAGATTTTCGTGCGTTAAGGTCTCTGTGATGACATTATCGAGTTTTTGAACAACAACGGAGGCTAAAATTTCAAATGCTTTCCAAAAAATGGCCAAAACCGACTCCTAATACTAATGTTGTTAAAACTTCATTATGCCGATAGGTTTTACAAAATTTATGAGCTAAAATATATATTGAATATAATTATGCGTCGATCAACTAATTTATTATTTTTATTTGTATAGAATTTAATAAAAATTGAGGTTTACAAAAATTAAAGCTTGAAACTTGAAACGTTTGGGAAACAAAAGTGAAATTTTGAATTTTTTTTTAACATTTCTAGCTTCGTTAATTTAGTTAATTTTTATATATGAACAAAGAGAATGCCGTATGGTGTGATTATTCATATTTCCATTCATTTATAAAATGCTCCAGCCCAGCATCCAACCGTCTTGCACTCCACTCCTGTAGCAAGGAAAACAAAAACAACTCGCGTCGTTTTATCCTGCGCTCAGGTTGGCTCAGGTTCTGCTCAAAAGAATGCCGAATGCCTGCAGGTTCCCACACTATACCCTGACTCATACCTATTTTTTCCTCTCTCATTCCAGTCTGGTATAAAATTCCTCTCTCGTCGTCGAGCGAAATCCGTGATGCTGCGTTGCCGCTTCGGCCGTTTTCGGGTGGCGCCGTCAGGTGGCAGCACGCGACGGAGCTAAAATCGGTCACGTGACCTACGTTCGCTTTCTCTCTGCGGCGCACCGACCGAATGCGTGATTGGCGAAATTCGGCGATCGACTCGCAGCTCCCGGGGAATCGCGGCGCCGCGGTTCGGCAGCTGGCGGCGCCATGAACGCGAGCGTGTGCTACAAATGCAACCGGCCGGGACACTTCGCCCGCGAGTGTCCCAACAACCGCGCGCCCATGGGCGCCAGGGGCCGAGCAGCTGGAGGCAAGGGTCCGTGTATTATTTTATCAATGGTCGTTCCCCCACCCCCGCCACCACGTCCCTCATATACCCTTTGACTGCCCTCGGCGCACCACCGATCATTACTCGCAGTGTTTTGCACCCCGAAATCTGTATTGTTTCCAAGCGAAAATTAAATTAGAAAAATTTAAACAAATTCATTTAGAACAAAAATATAATTATATTTTTATTTTTATTGATCAAACAAAAACTGTTCAAAATATAGTGAATTTAATTTTAAAAAATTTATAAATTTTAAAATTTTGTTATTAATGATTTTTTTCAACAGAAAAGTGTTACAAATGCAATCGCTTCGGCCACTTTGCCCGAGACTGCAAGGAGGACGAGGACAGGTGTTATCGCTGCAACGGGGTCGGACACATTGCCAAGGAATGCCAGCAGAGTCCTGACGAACGTAAGGATAACACTTTTTTTATACTCAAAACAACAACAAGTTTGCAAAACATTAAATTTTCAGCTTCGTGCTACAACTGCAACAAGATGGGTCACATCGCTCGAGAATGTCCGGACGTCCGGAAGACCTGCTACGTCTGCGGACAGGGTGGACACATCAGCCGAGAGTGCGAGCAGGACGACAGGAAGGTGAAGAAATTTATTTAAAAAATTTCAATTATTTGGAATAATTTGTAAGAAAAGAGGGGTAATTTTTGTTTTATAAATTGAAAATTATACGTTTAATTAAATTTTTTCCCAAAACATATGAAATCTTTTGCGGAGCTTGTAAACTAATTGAATTCAATAATTCCTTCCATTTAAATAATTTTAGCCTTAAAAGGTTTTTTTCAAATTTTCTACATGTATTTTCTTTTGATTTGAATTATAAGTATTTCAATTCTACAGAACTAAATAAATTGATTTTAATGTTTATTTCATCAGTGCTATGCTTGTGGAAAAATCGGACACATTTCCGTAGACTGCCCAAATGGAGAGCAAGAGGAGAAAAAGTGCTACCTCTGCAGCAGCCTTGGCCACATCTCCAAAGACTGTCCCAGCACCGAAGGCGTTGAAGAGGACATTGTCTGCTTTAGGTAAAAATTAGCAACCAGATAAAAAGTACTTTTTGATGAAAAATGTTTTATCAAATGCAAAGTATTCTTTTTTTTTTAATTAAAATTGAAAATGTTAAATTATTTAAAATTTCTCTGTTTTCCCCCTAATATGACTTATAAAGTTTCGTTTTTATATGCAAATACAATGTTTGAAAAATAATCCCCTAAAGACAGTAAAAATATTTAAAATTAAAAATAATTGGTTTAAAACTGTTTTTAAATTTTTTTTTAATTTATCCAAATTTTTCTTTGCTTCAGGTGTAATGGTCGAGGCCACATTGCCCGGAATTGCTCTGGCGGGACTCGCATGAAATGCTACAACTGTGGCGAGATGGGCCACTACGCCAGGGACTGTGTCCAGCAAGTGGTCGCCTGAGAAAATTGTGATTTCGAGGTTGACGAGAGCAGAAAGTAATTTCACTAAATTGCTGTAAATCATTTTTATTCACTCACACATACATGACATACAATTATTTTTAATGAGTATACTGTTAAGTCTAGTCTCTGTTATATCGTTTGTTGCGAAAATTGTTGTTGTGGGATTTGCGGTGGAATATATAGATATATTTACACCCGACGAGTACAAAGTACTTAACAAAAAACAACATCGGAGAGAAATGAAGTTGGAGCTAAATCTTGAATGTGTTGCGTTTTACTTCGAGAGCTCAATATATTGAAAAAAAATAACTCCTTTTGCTGATCACGTGGTGTTGTTTATATCCCTCCAGAGTTTTGCCTTCTTGGCCCAAAATGGTGATGGACACAATTATAAATTATAATGTTATACAGAAAAAGTTATATTGCGTCAGGAGAGGAAAGAAAAACATAAGCAGGTCTTACACTATACTAGCCAAAGAAAAATACAATGTTTTAATTGTTGCGTCAAATTTGAATATTTTATTGGTTGCAAATTTAAACAAATATTGCTGTTAATTTCTCTCAAAAAGAGGTAAAAGTAAAAGATATTTCAGGAAAAAATAACCATGTTACACAGTAGCAAAAATTAAAAGAAAAAACATGCCAGTAACCGAAATTTTTATTTTCAAAAACCTCTATACTAAATATTAAATTAATTAATAAATCATAAATATTGCTATTTTTTCGGATTGATTTTCTTTTCTTGGATACTATGCACGGTTAATTGGTTTTCCAGAGGGCAGCACCATACGGCGCCTCATGTCAAAAGATCAGGTGGAGATCGGAGCCAAGATCGGAGCAAATTTTACAATTTCTTAGTTTTCTTCATTTTCTTACTCACTTTTGAATAATGGAATCGTGACAAAATGAGTGGAGTTTTGCGGAGGGTGGTTCTTGGCATGTCTGGGGGTGTGGACAGTGCTGTATCAGCCCTTCTCTTAAAACAAAAAGGTAATTTTTGTGATATTATTATTATTTTGCAGAATTACCAATTTTTTTTATTTTGTCTAATTCCAAATTGAATAATATTCTTATGATTTCGCAGGATTCGAAGTCCACGGTGTTTTTATGAAAAACTGGGACGGCCTCGAAGAGTCCGGTTTCTGCAGTGGCGCCAAAGACGCGGAGGACGCGGAGTGGGTTTGCAAGAAATTGCAAATCCCATTCTCACACGTCAATTTTGTGAAAGATTATTGGAACAGCGTCTTCACTGACTTGCTCAAAGATTACTCGGAAGGCTTCACTCCAAATCCGGACATTCTCTGCAACAGATTCGTCAAATTCGACCTGTTTCGAAAGCACGCCTTGGAAAACCTGGGCGCTCAGGCGTTTGCCACTGGACACTACGCCAACACCTCGCATGGCAATTTTCTACAGAATTACTCCCAAAATGATGGTTTGTTTCACTAAAAAAATTAAAATTCACTGTGTATTCTAATTAAAATTAATTTTCAGACGTTCGGTTGCTTCTTCCGAGAGATTTGGTCAAGGACCAGACCATTTTCCTCAGCCAGGTGCACCGGGACCATTTGAGGAAGGTCATGTTTCCTTTGACTCATTTGTGGAAAAGTGAAGTCAAAAGGATTGCTGAAGAGAGTGGATTGGCGAGAATTGCGAAGAAAGATGAGAGCATGGGAATGTGTTTCATTGGAAAAAGAAATTTCCAAAATTTCATTGACGAAGTAAATTAAATCCCCAATATTTCAAATTAAAATAATGATAATAAACAATATTGTTTCAGTACCTAAATCCAAAATGTGGACAGTTTGTGGACATCACGACATTTCAACCTGTCGGAGAACACTCTGGAATCCACCACTATACAATAGGACAAAAATGCAAATTAACAGGATTGCCAAACCGCTACTTTGTGGTCAGCAAAGATGTAGAATCGCAACAGATTTTAGTGGTATTGATTGAAGAATTGTTTTCAAAAAATTAGTCTAAAAAAAATATGCATTCAGGCGCCTGGAACAAATCACCCATCCTTGTATTCAGACTTATTCTTTACCTCGGAGCCGCATTGGATTAGCCCCGATTGTGAGGAACTTTTGAAAGATGGTCCTTTGAAGTGCAAGTTCCGGTACCAAAATAGGCACAATTTGATGGAATGCTCTGTGATGCGCACTTTAAACAACACATTGGTCGTTCGAACTCGGACTTTCCTGAGAGCATTAACACCTGGCCAGGTAAAATTAAAATTTTCTCTAAGGAAGGGAAAAATTGGAGAATCTGTTTTTAAATATGTTGAAAATGATCAAATTTTAATTTACAATTGAGGTTCGAGAACAACTTTGTGACAAAATATTGCCTTTTTTACCAAATTTAGTAAATCTGTTTCAAGATTTAAAATGTTGCCTAAAATCTCAAATCTTCTGTAAAATAAATCATTTTTAACATCAAAAAAGATTCTTGAGCAAATCTATTAATCTGCTATTTGATTTCAGTTTGCTGCTTTCTACAAAGATGGCGAGTGTCTTGGTAGTGCTCGAATAAGATCGGTCGGTCCGTCGCTGTACCTGCAAGGAATGGAGTTCAGCGAGGAAGTGGCTTCAACTGATACTGTAATGCAGAGTGTCCGTGCTTTTCAATGACAACAAGTAGTGAGTGCTTCAAAATCTGTGATTCGTTTAATATATATTTATTGACTCTGTCACCAATTTAAAATTTATGTGTGTATGTCTTTCAAAAACAAAGACTTAGTTCTTTGATCCATTTCCAACGAGGGGGCTGGGGATTTCTCCGAAAAAGGCGTTGTCGTCAAAGTGGACATCCGTGTAATTCTCGTTGAGAGACTTCATCAGTTGCTTTCCGTGATTGACATCTCTCGTTTCGCAAACCACTTTCACCTGAAATTTCAGTTTTAGAAAAAATGTTAAAAAAGGCAAATTTTAAGAGTGACACCAGTAATTTCTTTTATTCTTAATTATGAAAAAAGGTCAAATTTTTTAAATATTATGGTGTTTCTATTAAAATATTGCGTTTTTCTGCTACAAGCATTTGAATCTTATTGAAGTTTTAACGTCATTATTGCGGCTGTTTTAACTAACATAATTTTGTGATTTTTTAATTTAAATTTGTTTGGTAGGAAAATGTGAACCTCAGATTGAATCCTTGGTTTGAATTTGAAGCATCAGGGTGTAAATTTTTTTGATCACAAAATATATAAATTTAAATAATAAAATTTGCTTCTTTTTCACATTCAGAAACAAAAAAATTATCGTTGTCTCACTTTAAAATGCTCACCTGGACGCTGAAGATGTCTGAGGTGATCCAGGCCCGTTCGTGAATGATGTCCTTGATGGAGACGCCCATACTGCACAGCAGGCGACACAGTTCCGAAATTCCTCCAGGTCTGTCACTCACAGTCACTGTGAACTTGAGCAGGCGGCCGTCCACGGCCAGACCCCTTTCCAAACACCGGCCCAAGATCGTCGTGTCGATGTTGCCGCCGCACAAGGGAATGACCACCCTGGACAAATTGTTCAATTCATTTAAAAATTAAAAAAAAAAACCAACCGACCTTTTTCCTTTGAATTCGCTCAAGTGTCCGGCCAGAATTGCGGCCAAACCCGCCGCGCCCGCTCCTTCCACGACGCACTTCTCCAACTCGATGAGGCGCAGAATTGCAATAGCAATCCACTCTTCTTTCACAACCACCTGAAGGTATTTCTTTATAATTTTTTCTGCTAAAAATAATGCAATTTTATACCAGTTTGTCAATCAAAGGCGCTGCAGTGACAAAGGCATTGTAGCCGACCATCGGAACTGCCAGACCGTCGGCCAGGGTCGACTGAATGGGCACCGGTACGGGCTTTCCAGCCTTCATGGCTGCAGAAAAACTGGCGCACCTTTCAGACTCCACACCCTGAAATGATCCAGTTCTTAATAATGTGGAAAATTGAGAAACAGAAATTTTATTGGGTCAAAATAATTTCTTCTTACAATGACTTTGACATCGGGGTGAAGCGTTTTGATGGCAAGAGCAACTCCAGCGATCAAACCTCCTCCTCCGACAGGGACGATGATTGCGTCTATGTTGGACACCTGCTCGACCACCTCCAAACCCAAAGTGCCTTGGCCAGCCATGATGTGAGGGTGATCGTAACTTTGAGTTTGAAAAAAAATTATTTTATTTTTAGAGTATCCATCTTTTAATTAAGATTTTTTTTGTATATTGAATTTTTTACTTCAAATCTTCCCAACTAAAATTTATCAAAATAATTTCATCAAATCAACTTTGATCTAAAAATTTAATTTTATGATTAAAATATTGAAAATTTATTAGTACTTTTCCTGTTTCTCAAAAAGGCACGATTGTTTTTACCCATTAATGTAGACAAGGCCTCGCTCCTTCCCTAGTTTCATTGCAATCCTTTTGGCCTCGCCCATGTCATGTCCCTGGACAACGACGTTGGCGCCCAATTGCTGGCAGCTCTGGATCTTCATGATGGGCGCCACGATGGGCATGACCACGGTGACCGGGATGTTGAGGCGTTTGCCGTGGTAACAAAGGGCCAGCGCGTGGTTGCCCAGCGAGGCCGAAATCACGCCCTTGCGCTTTTGGTCCTCGGGCAGCATCAGCAAAGCGTAACTCGCGCCCCTCTCTTTAAAACTTTGAATTTCATTTTTTATTAAAATTTTATAAAAATAAAGACTCTCACCTTCCCGTATATTGCAAAAAGTCCTTTTTCAGGTAAATTTCCATGCCAGTCAGCTCTGACAAATGCGATTTCTATTTTTAAAATTGAATAATTTTTTCCTTGTAAATAAATAATTAATTTTTACCATGCATGGTGTGACCAAAATTCCATTCTTCACTTTAAATGCTGCCGAAGTGATGTCTTCAAAGTGCAGCAACTGCGGAGTATTGGCGCTGCACCAAGGGTCTTCTTCTGCAGCATCAACACTCGATCCATTCTAATTTTAATTAAATTAAAAAGAAAACAAAATAATCAGAGAAAAAAGTTGAAAATAAAATTTTGGTAAATTTCGTTTTAATATAAATTGTAAATTTAAAGGTCCAGTAAGCTTTTGATTTTATTTTACTAACATGATGGGGTCACTTCAAATTTTTATCAGAGTCCAGCAAGTTTTGAGAACAATTTATTTTAGAAGAAACAAATTCAAAATTTCATTTTTTTTTTAATTTTATAAATTAATCAGGCCGTTTTTTTAACACTATGAGAGTAATTTTAACTTTAAATTGGAAACCCTTATTGTTTGTAATAATCGTAATAATTCTTATATTAAAAGTAACACATACCTTTGCTGGCAAATCTGGTATTTTTCCATTTGTGGCGGATGTCGTGTATCGAGTGGCCGTGTCTGCCATTGCGGATCAATCGAGAGAGTAAAAGAGAGACCCTGACTGGGACTGACTGAGGAAAAGCGGCGCGATTTCTCCTGCTCTTATTAACCCCTCTGCTCTCCGGTCCAAAGTCTTCTCTTTATTCCTCGGGAGTGATTCACTGCAACTCCTTCTCTCGGTCAATTTGTGCCCCGCACTGAGAGAAGGGACCCGGCCCGAGGTGCTTTTGCTTTCATCGCCTGTTTGCCACTGCAATTAGAAAGAAAGACGATAATTAAATCACATGCCTCGTATTTTTTGGACACTCGCTGATGGCAATAAACAATATTTTTGTTTGCTCCGCACCGTGTTTGTTTGACTTTTGATCTCATGATTCGTCCAGTCGTAAAGAGGGAGAGTCATTCGACCTGACGTTATATTGTGCTTTAATCGTCATTGATAAAATTCTTTAAATTAATTGATTTTCATTTGAATAATTTACAATTTATTCTAGTTAAAAGGAAAAACAAATTGAGTTTTAAATTAAGAGATTGATGATTTTTTTAATAATATGGTTAAAAGCTTGCAATATTCAAAATAATTTTTAACATTAATTGAACTTTTTCACCTTTCATTGCCTGGTAAAAAAAGAATGAAATTAAAAATAATAATAATAAATTGTAGATTTTTCTTTAGGAAATTTGAAACTTCTAGAGCGAGTGAAAAAAATGATCACGGATTAATTCTTCTTTTTTTTTTGTACCTGAGCTTTTGTTGTTGTTTAGAAATGAAGAAAACTTGTGACGCAGGTTCACGTAAGAAAATTATGCGGGCTATATTTTGAAATGCTCATTAATTATAATATATGCAAATTTGAGGGATTTATTATTATTAAAAGATATGTGGTTCATCAGCAACCAAATTTAGGCATAAAAATAAAAGTTGCGTATAATATTTATGCAAATTGAAGACAATTTTTGGAACGCAAATCAGGTACAAGGCCAAGAAAAATAATTTATTTTTTAAATAAAAAAGAATAATTTATTTATTATTTAGGACAGTAAAAGTTGGCATCAAAAGAATTAAATAGAGATGAGTTTTGTTTATATTTTAATATGAAATTTAAATAATATTTTACTTCAAGCAATCAAAAGCAATCAAGTTTATAAAAGAGGATATCGAATAGAAAGCAATAAATTACATAACAAAGACACTTAAAGATACATTAAATGAATATCAAAGAATTTTTTATGTAAAAATTCATGATAAGAGATATTAAACAATTGGAAATTGTCAATAATCAATATAATTATTGAGAATCTATTATCAGCCACTAGGCTGCGCTTGATTTGTTCAAATTGCACTCTCGGCGGCTGATGATGAGCGCGGGCTGCTGCGGTGGCTTTTGAGACGGAAATATAACAAGGGAGGAATCGAGAGTCAGTTGGCAAACACACGCGTTTGGGGCAGTGCGCGCTTCTAGAATCCATCGCGGTGCGTTTTGCTCGAAAAGATGCGCCTTCCCGACAGTGGCCGGCAGTGAGATAATGCAGCTTTTTCTTCTTCGGCCGAATTGTGGTGCTAATTGCGTTGTTGTTCGACTTTGGACGGCCCAGCAGACTACGGGCTTTACCTAAAGTGCTTGTTGAGATTTGAATTAAAAACTCGTTGGGGAGGCGCGATCGCGGGTTTTGAGTGCAGCAGGTGGATGAGATGCACAAGGTGGTGCTGTTCGACCGAAAGTACATGATCCACCCCCACGTGGACACGCTGAAATGCGGCCTCAGGAATCTCTTGTTCGGTGAGTACAAATTGCTATTTTTAGTCTCTTCAAACTCGTTGCACAAAATCCACCTTGAAAATTGTAAAAATTAATATATTGACAAGCAGCAATTCTTTTCAGTTTAAATCGACATATAATTGCATAAAATTTCATAAAAACGTCAGCATTTTCATCTTGAAAACTCTTCCATCCGAAGAATACAAAGTTAAGGGTGTTTTAAATTATAAATTAATCTCTCATTTTTAAAAATTAATGATGTTAGGGGAACAAATTATGTTTCCCATAAGATAAATTGTTTATTAAAAAAATAATCTATTTTTAACACTTAATTTGGGGTGATATGATCCCCTGATTCTGGTGAAATTTATATCAATTATAGTTGAGCAAATTTTGAGAAAAAAAATGTAATAAATTCGAAAATTTCCATAAGAAACAATGTAAATTTTCTAAAAATTCAGTCCTGTCTGAATGAAATAAATTTGTATTTGATGTCTTCCTCTGCTGGGAAAAAACCTACAAAATTATTGATAATATATAAGAAAAATCATTACCAAAATTAAATTGACCAGTTTCTAGCAGGAAATAAATCATTGAAATTTTTATTCTTATCACTAATTTAATTATTTAACGATTATAAATTTGATACAAACCGAAATTAAATTTATTTTCGTGACGATGCTTAATTAGATCTTGAATCATCTGTCGTATTAAAAAGCACTCTCAGAATTAATCGCAATCAATATTAGTCACGTCTTTTTCGGCGGTGACAATGAGTGTCGCGCGACGAAACGGCGCCCAAGTCTCGTTAAATTTAGCCCTCGGACCGCGCCGCCGCCGCCGCCGCCGAATTATAAGTCATCGGTCACATTTAATCCCTCAAATTCGCACACAACTTTCCTCCTCGCCACAAACCATTTGGGAAATCGACCAAATTTGCAGCCAACAAATTTTTATTTTGGCACAAAATATATAAATTCAAATGATTCAGCTTCGTTATTTGCGTGACCTAATTTTTTATATATTTATTTTTTGAGGAAAAGAGAGAAGAGGAATTTTTGACCAAAGTACTATCTATTCTTGGGTTTTGGATCAAGTTTCAATTTGCGTCAGACGCGTACATACACCGAAATTTACTTTTGGCTCTCTCGGCGTGCGCGGCCAGAATAATTCGCCGACCTTGATTGCAAAATGCATAGCGACTCTCAAAAGAATTAAAGAATCCTTGTGTTCCAAGGACAAAATTATCAAACACTGAAGTTTAATCCAGTTGCGAAAATAAAAATTAAAAAAGCGCAAAATATTGAGATGAAATAAATAGAGATGCAATTTTTTAGCTTCCTTAATATTAATTTTTTCATCTTTGAGTTTCATATTTTAACTTTATTAGATAATGAATTATTATAATTGCTTTAATAAAAACTTAATTTTTATCATTTCAACATCTAAATAAATCAAATGAATTTTGCCTTTTAAAACTGAATAAAATCTTTAAAAAGTAACCAGTAAGAAGCTTTAAATTTAAATATTTAAAATTTTTGTTCTTAAGAATCTTATGAAATTTAATTTTGCTGACTGAAATCTAATCTATTTATCAATGAAAACAAAAATCTTTCAGCCACAAAATAAAAGATAAAGATTTTTTTGCTATTCAGACGTTCAGTTTATTAAATTCTTGCCGGTTTTCCTGCCGTCCTTGCAGAGGTTGTTGAATGAAAGAGAAAAATCGTGGGCCGAAGCGCGTCTGCGGTGATCAGTCTCGTCCTGCTGACGAAATTTGCAAACCCCGCAGCTTGACAGGCCTCGGGAATATAGATGAGACAGCCGGTGTCTTTCTCTTCTTTCTTTTCGAATGGACAAAACGAAAAGATATTCACGCAGAGGTGCTTTGCTGGCGTCAAAGTGCCCGAAAGAAAATAGATTTGGCTCCGCGCGTTGTGCACAACAAAGCCGACGCTGCGCGAGTTGTCTTCGTAAACAGAGGCGTTTCGAAATGAGAGAGACTGACTGAAGTTCAAAATGGGACAATTTCTTATCACAAATTTGCTTCTTTTCACTTGTTAGTTAAAAAAATTACATCAGACTTTTCAGCTTCAATCAGCGTAAAATTATTTTAGAATTGATGAGGGAAATAAATTTATAAACGAAATTCTCATTCATGATAAATTTTTTGCCAAATTCTAGGATTAAAATTTGATAAAATTTATAATCTTTAAAAAATAATCGCTTTTTCTTTCAAAATATAGTGAAAAAATGAAAGTAAATGCAATTTTTTGATACATTATTTATAAAAAAATAAGCAGGTAGAATCTATAATTTTTACAATTTTAATTACTTCAGCACAAAATAAATTGTTCTATGAGATATATTTCCATAATATTTACTTAATTTAAAGAATAATATGCAATTATATAACATAAAATGTTATGTAATAATGAATTTGAAAAAAAAAAGAATTAGAAATACTGAATTTGATTTAATTAATTCATTTTAAAAACAAAAATCTCTAATGATTTTATTAATATTTTTAATTCTTTCAATTGCAATTTACAATTTTATTGTTCTTTTTCAAAATTTCCAGTCAAATTTAAAACCCCCGCCGCGTTTATACTTGTCTCTTGTGTGACGTCACACTCGGTCATTTAAGAGCTCCTGTTTTTTTTATTTCCTAATGTAACGATCAAATAAGAAGTATCGCGCAGCAGCTGCAGATAATTTGTCACCGTAGATGGCCCGGCGTGTCGCCGTTGGCCGCACACCCGCGCACAGAATGCTAATTCGGACGTGCCCCCTGCACCAACAAAATTATGATCGCGTTGTTTGTCTCTTTGTGAGCGAAATTTTTCCAAACGCCGATGATTAATTTTGCGGCCGAAAAAAGTGTCAAAGCTAAGCACAGGCCATTTTTCACGGCGCTGCTATTCTTGGTGATTGAGGCAGTCGAATTTGTGCTCCAACTCACGAACCTTGTCCAAGCTCAGAGCCATGGCCGCGCGCACAGACAGAATGTCCGACAAGAACTTCCACCTGAAATTTAATAATTTCAAATTTAAGCGTTTTTTTTTTAATATAATTGACTTCATATTTTTTTGTATAATAATAAAATTATAGAAAAAAAAATGTGCGAAAATTGGGGGAAATTTTAAAGGAATTATATAATTTTTAGAAGAAAATATGCAAATACCTATGCGTTCTCATAATGGAGAGGTGGTCCTGGTAGGCGAGGATGCAGCCTTGCTGAAAGTCAAACTGCTCCCTGGACTCTTTCAATTCATCCCTGAGCCTCAAAATCTCTCTGCGACACAAGACGAGGTCCGCGTGGCTCTGGTTCAACTCGGCCTTGCACGCCGAAAGTTTCAGTTCGGCGATTTCCAGCTGGTCTTTGGTGCGCTCGAATTTGTTGCGCGTCCTCTTCAGGCTCTCGGCCGTCGCTTGCAACTCTTGCTCCACGCTGAAGTCCATTTTAACAATGAAAATATAATATTCCAATTGATTCGACTCTAGTGAGGAGAAAAGGAAGTGCCGCAAAAGGAAAAGCGCTCCAAAAATGTTTAAGTCCCTCCTTTCGGGTTCAATGTACTTTATAGGCTCAGAAAATTTAATTAAATGGTTTTTGTCAAATCTTCTTTGGTTGACGAAAACATCAAATTTGAAGATTTTCTGGAATTTTGAAGAGAAAAAGTTGGCAATTTAACTTCTTGCTTCAAAAAACTGGAAAGAAATTTTTAAATAAATAAATCATTTGTGCAAAAATAATAATTCATTTCACATTATTTGAAATATCGCATTTTAAAGAAAAATTTATTTTATTAATTTACTCTCACTGATTATAAAACCTTTTTTATATTTATAGCTCAAATCAAATACACAGGAAGTCCAATTTTCTGATATAAAAAATATCCGTGTTTTTACTACTTAAAGCAAAATTGCACTGCGAGTCTGATTCTAGATAGAGCACGGCGAGAAAAAATTAATGTGCAATTTGCTCGCTATCAGTTCTTTTAGCATATTGTCCATATTGATGATGAGCCCCCGAGATAAGATTGTTGGCTCTTTGGACTAATACTAATTTGTGTAGTTTTTTTCCTTTTATCATCACATCGTTCATACTTCCTTGATTGGGCTTGCAAGTATATATGGATATTTGAAAATGTATACTAAAATTGTCATATCGCCAGATGGGGCTCAAGAGCTCTCCAGCGTGGTCAAATCGGAGTTGGCGGTAGGGGGTTTGTTTCAGTTTTTAGTTTTGCATAAGACTTTGTGGCGGTCGGATCAAACGTCAAAGTTTTTAGATTGTCACTTTCAAGTGCGTACATGTGTATTAATTAGATAAAACATAAAAGTGACACAGTGTCTCGCCCAGATAATGATCCTTTTGACGCCGAGAAATGGGAAACGCGAAGGATTTCAAAGTCGCCTCAAACCGGAAACTATTTTTTGGGTTTTGCGCTCTCTGCATTTTAATTATATACGTGAGCTTTGTTTTGGATTCTCCGATTTCCTTGCAACTTGCAGATCAAGAAACGGGTCAAATTTCCGATGAAGCCGATGATCCGAACAGCTTAGACTTTTATCAACCTGTTGTTGTTGATATTACTACAGAAGAAAGCATTAGAATTGTCACTATTGAAGCTCCTGACGAGCAGGTAAAAAATTTGTTTATATTATGTTAAATTTTTGTTATTAAAATTTATCTTTCCGAAGTAAAAATTTTATTCAAATATAAACAACTGAAATAATAGTATCCAATTAATGATATTAAAAACATTTTCTTCTAATTTTTAACAAAAAATGGAACCAAAATTATTTAAGAAAAAAATTCAGGTGATTATTCAATTTGTGTTTTTTTGCTTTCCCATTCAGAGGAACAAAACTGTGCGAGGTTTTGAGACTTTTGAGTGTCCAGATGGCCCGATTGTGTCGGTTGAGAACGGTGGCCGCTTGGGAAACAAAATTTGGGAGTACGCGTCCGCCTGGACGGTGGCCAAGTTGCTCAACCGCACCGCTTTTGTGCCGAAGGCGATTTTGGACGAACTGACGCTCCACTTCGACCGACTGACTTTCACCACTCCGCTGGAGGAAGTGGCCGAAAAGTGTCACATTGCGATGGAGCCCCCTGTGCAAAGGTCACAACTTTTTCCCTTGGAAACGCTCGACCTGAGATTCAAAGGGAGGAACATTTTGATTCCGGTTTACTCCATTTTGCTCGAATTGATTGTGCACCAAAGAGACGCTTTCCGGAGAGAATTCCGGTTCAACGATAAGATCATGCGGAATGTTGATAAAACTATTCAAAGTCTTGGAGGCGCAGGGAAAACTTTGATTGGAGTTCACGTGAGAAGGACGGATTTCAAGAATTATTTACCAAAAGCTTTCAAAACTCATCTCGTAGCCGCCAGTTATTTTAAGGTAGAATTTCATTTACCGATTTTTGAAGCCAAAGGGTTGTGGATTTCTTTGCCAAAAATCAGCTGAAAATTGCAAATAATTGGGATAGATTTTGGGAAGGAAAAAAATTAGAAAAAGTCAAATTGTTTCCCGGAAAAACGAAAAATGTTAGTTTCAAATTAAAATTTGAATTTCTCTGGTTCTCTTTGAGATAGAGAAATGCGGCTAGAACAAAAAATTCCTTTATACCTCATCTTGATCTCTGAAGACTTAAATGGTTCCGAGATGAAAGGTCAATGTCATTTTCTAGAGGTCACAGGTATAGATAAAATCGTAGAAAAAAATATACAATCTTTAATTGCAATAAAAATTTTGTTTTAAATTTTTTTGCTTGAATATATTGGGGGAGATTCAATAGACTTAGCTCTCCCGGGATATCTTTTATCCCGGGATAAATCCAAAAGGATAAAATTTAGACCACTGTCCAGGGTTAAATATTTTTTGTCCCGCCTTCAATTTTTTGTCCCCAAGTCATTGGGGGATATCTTTTCTCAGCCCCCTCTACGGGATAAATAATTATTTAACCCGCGCTAAAATCAAATGAGCTGGTAATTAAAAGATCGTCAACATGCTCGCAAACTTTTTAGATTTTGGCCAATTGCAATGAACAGAAAACTTTTTCAAATCAGAATTTTGTGAGGATCATGGAAATGAGGGAAAAATTGAAATCCAAAAATCTGTATGTAACTTAATTTAAAATTGCTTACTTATTTTGCTCAGAAATTTCTAAAGACCTCTTCATCAAAGCGAAATTATGCAAGGATTTTTTTCTTTTGAAATTTTTTGCACGTAAAATTTCTCAATTTCTCAAAAATTAAAATTCTCAAGCTTATTTTTTTATTTGTAGATAAATTAAATTCGATATTTTCTTTTAATTACACGTAACAAATAAAAATTAGTGAACGTGAAAATGTAAAAAAAAAAATTGCTTTTCTTTCATCTTAAGTGTTTCCCAAACATTTAAAGACCTTTTCGTCAAAGTTAATTTGAGCAAATAAATCTTTTTCTTATGGCTATCAAATCAATTATTGAACCAGTGGCTGCTACGGCTGCCGGCTGTCAAAAGTGCAACTGCAATGAACATGTGCAGGTGCTCATTTGAGGTACTCATATGAGCTGCTCATATGAGCTGCTCATATGAGCACCTCAAATGAGCACCTCATATGAGCTGCGATCATAACGATCATAACAATCACAGCGATCATTACGATCATTGCGTTCATAACGATCATAGCGATCATAACAATCACAGCGATCATATCGATCACAGCGATCATAACGAACATAATAATCACAGCGATCATAACGATCATAGCGATCACAGGGTTCATAACGATCATAACAATCACAGCGATCATAACAATCACAGCGATCATAACAATCACAGCGATCATAACAATCATAGCGATCATAACGATAATAGCGATCATAACGATCATAACAATCACAGCGATCATAAAGATCATAACGATCATAGCGATTATAACGATCACTGCGATCATAACGATCACAGCGATCATAACGATCATAACAATCACAGCGATCATAACGATCATTGCGAACATAGTGATCATAGCGATCTTAACGATCACAGTGATCGTAACGATCATAACAATCACAGCGATCATTACGATCATAGCGATCATAGTGATCATAACGAACGTAGCGATCAAAACGATCATTGCGATCATAGTGATCATAGCGATCTTAACGATCACAGCGATCATAACTATTATAAAAATCACAGCGATCATAACAATCATAGCGGTTATAACGATCATAGCGATCATAACGATCATAGCGATCATAACGATCATAGCGATCATAACGATCATAGCGATCATAACGATCATAGCGATCACAGCGATCATAACTATTATAACAATCACAGCGATCGTAACGATCATGACTATCATAACAATCACAGCGATCAAAACGATCATTGCGATCATAGTGATCATAGCGATCATAACGATCACAGCGATCATAACTATTATATTAATCACAGCGATCGTAACGATCATGACTATCATAACAATCACAGCGATCATAACGATCACAGCGATCATAACGAACATTACAACCACAGCGATCATAACGATCATTGCGATCATAGTGATCATAGCGATCAAAACGATCACAGCGATCATAACTATTATAACAATCACAGCGATCATAACAATCACAGCGATCATAACAATCATAGCGATTTATAACGATCATAGCGAGCATAGCGATCATAACGATCACAGCGATCATAACTATTATAACAATCACAGCGATCGTAACGAACATTACAACCACAGCGATCATAACGATCATAACAATCACAGCGATCATAACAATCATAGCGATAATAGCGATCACAGGGTTCATAACGATTATAACAATCACAGCGATCATAACAATCACAGCGATCATAACAATCATAACGATAATAGCGATCATAACGATCATAACAATCACAGCGATCATAAAGATCATAACGATCACTGCGATCATAACGATCACAGCGATCATAACGAACATTACAACCACAGCGATCATAACGATCATTGCGAACATAGTGATCATAGCGATCATAACGATCACAGCGATCATAACTATTATAACAATCACAGCGATCGTAACGATCATGACTATCATAACAATCACAGCGATCATAACGAACATTACAATCACAGCGATCATTGCGATCACAGCGATCATAACTATTATAACAATCACAGCGATCATAACGATCATAGCGATCATAACGATCATAGTGATCATAACGACCATAACGATCATAACGATCATAACCATTATAACAATCACAGCGACGATCGTAACGATCATGACTATCATAACAATCACAGCGATCATAACGGGTATTGCGATCGTAGGGATCATAGCGATCATAACGACCTAAAATGAGCTGCTCAAATTAGCACCTCAAATGAGCACCTCGTCGTTTTTTTTGTCGTTTTGTAGTCAACTTGGAGTCGTTTTCGACTCCCAAATGACAAAAAATCATTACCAATTGACTCCCAATCAACTCCCCAAACGACTCCCAAAATGCGCTAAAACACGCAAAGCACGTTCTCCCTTTATAATTAATTAATTATATACCACCTCGCTTAAACATCCCAATAATTTTACCATCAATAAGCCGTCAACTATTTCGACTGTTGAACCAGCTGACCTTGCTGTCAATTTTGAAACAAAAAGGTCAGCCGCTAGTAATAAAAAAAATAAAAAAATAAAAGTCAAAAATTTTCTTCACATTGTCTGAGTGTTCAATGCAGTTGCACTTCTGACAGCCGGCAGCCGTAGCCAGCCACTGGTTCAATACTTGATTTGATAGCCATAAGAAAAAGATTTATTTGCCCAAATTAACTTTGACGAAAAGGTCTTTAAATGTTTGGGAAACACTTAAGATGAAAGAAAAGCAATTTTTTTTTTTTTACTTTTTCACGTTCACTAATTTTTTCCTTTTTAATTTGTTACGTGTAATTAAAAGAAAATAGCGAATTTAATTTATCCACAAATAAAAAAATAAGGTTGAGCTTTTTAATTTTTCAGAGTTGAGAAATTTTACGTGCAAAAAATTTCAAAAGAAAAAAATCCTTGCATAATTTCGCTTTGATGAAGAGGTCTTCAGAAATTTCTGAGCAAAATAAATAAACAATTTTAAATTAAGTTAGATACAGAATTTTGTGTTAGCTTTGGATTTCAATTTTGCCCTCATTTCCATGATCCTCACAAAATTCTGATATGAAAAAGTTTTTTGTTCATTGCAATTGGCCAAAATCTAAAAAGTTTTCGAGCATGTTGACGACCTTATATTTACCAGCTGATTTGATTTTAGCGCGGGTTAAATATGTATCCCGTAGAGGGGGCTGAGAAAAGATATCCCCCAATGACTTGGGGACAAAAAATTGAAGGCGGGACAAAAAATATTTAACCCTGGACAGTGGTCTAAATTTTATCCCCTTTGTATTTATCCCGGGATAAAAGATATCCCAAGAGAGCTAAGTCTATTGAATCTCCCCCATTAAAAATACAGAATGATAAATTGTTGTTGTTGTATTGTAAATCTGATTTTATAATGAAATCCACAACTTCTTGCCAATCGATGCTTTGGCTTGAATGCGATTTTTTTTAAATATTTTTCATTTTGCTGATATTGCATAATTCAGAAAGCGATGCAGTGGTACCGAAATGAGATTTCTGGTCCGTTGCTCTTCCTGATTGTGACCGACGACGTGGATTGGTGCAGACAACACCTTCTGGGCAGAGGCGATGTGAAAATCGCCACCAAAAAGCCGGCGCACGACCTTGCGCTGATGGGCGTCTGCAACCACACCATCATCGACTACGGCACGTTCGGATACTCGGGAGCGTTTTTCTCCAAAGGACACTCAATATCCCTCGACGTGGACAAACTTTTCGCTGAAACAATGGCCAAGGAGGCCGCGTGGACAATTTTTAGTATTCAAAACTTGAAAGAGGTCAAGTTTGAGTCCGCTAAAAAGCTGAAAAAACCTGTCAGTTAAGTGTTTTATTAAGACAGTGATTATTTATTTTATTTAAAATAATAAAAGTGTGTATTTATAATTCTTAAAATTAAAATTGCCATGGCCCGTTAGTTGTTAATAATCTTTTCATGTGACCAAATTGTACACTTATTTATAAAAAATTACAACGAAAAATAATTCATCCTCAATTAACATAAAAACTATTATTGAAAAAGTCCAGTTTATTACAAATTTCATGATTTTCTTATACATCTTGAACAGTTTCCAGTATATTATAATTAAATTAGAATGATCCAACGGACTTATGACTCTAATAATAATAATAGAAATTTGCTGACGTTTTCATTCCTTTTATTTTCTGTTTGCTGGCAAAACAAGGTCACTTAAAATGCTCTGCCGACAAAAGAAGGCAGAGAAAAACTGTAAACCTTTCTTTATTGAAGGAAGATAAAGTTAGACGGGCCTACACATGGGTAAGCTGTATTATTTGCAAAAATTTCAATTTTTTTTATAAATTTTCATCATCTGCTGCAGTTTTTTCTAGATTAAGATCTTGTGATAATGGCGAGCCGAGTTTCCATTTTTTTATGCTCATTGGTTGCAGCATATTTTGTTCTACTTCTGTTTTATCTCCAATGTTCAAACTCACAGAATGAGGTAAAGTTAACACTTTTTATATGAAACGAAAATAAATAATTATTTTCCTAGCAAAATTTCGAGTGCCCTAATAGACCGATCGTGACCGTTTTGGACGGAGGTCGTTTGGGCAACAAAATCTGGGAATACGCGTCCGCCTGGAGCTTGGCCCGGACGCTCAACCGCACAGCCTACGTCCCAATGGATCTTCTGAACAATTTGCACGAAGTGTTCGAAAATCTGAGTTTCACAACTCCGTTTGAGGATTTTGTCGAGAGGTGCAACTTTCAAATGGGAAATTCTCCTATTCGCAAAAGTGAACTTCCTCACACGGAAAGCATCGAGCTGATATTTGAAGGGCGCGACATCGTTTTGGCAAAATACATCGCCCTGTACGAATTACTCGCTCCGCACAGAGACGAATTCCGAAATGAGTTCCGCTTTAAGCCGGAAATAATGGCTTCTGTTCGAAAAACCATCAAAAATTTGGGTGGACAAGGCAAAACCCTGATCGGAATACACGTGAGGAGAACCGATTATGCCGAGTACCTTACGATGAAAAAAAATTCCAGTCTCGTCGATCCAGATTATTTCAAGGTTTTCAAAGACCCGCTCTGGTGATTTTTTATTGTTCTTTATTTAGAAAGATCGCTTAATTTCGTGTGAAGATTCCAAATCGTTGCGTTTGCTATCACAAAAAACCTAATTCAAGAAAAAAAAATGAGAATTGGGTTGCAGGGGTTTTTACGTCTGTTTGGTCAAATGCTGAAGTTTTTTAAACAAAATGACGATACAATACCTAAAATCAATTCAAAATATTTTTTCGTGAGAATCCCTTATTTAGGAATATTTTATGATAGCGACGCAATTGTTTGACATTTTCATTGTTTTATTTTATTATTTTTTCTTCCAACTCAAAAGTTTTGCGATCTTTCTAAATAAAAAGCAATAACAATCACCGGAATGGGTATTTTTTTTAACATATGAAAAAAACAAGACGAAGTATAATTGAAAAATTCTAGAATGCGATGCGGTGGTACCAAAACAAGCTCAGCGGTCCGCTGCTTTTTTTGATCGTGAGCGACGATCCACTGTGGTGCAAGGAAAACCTCTTGGGAGAGAAGGACGTGAAAATCGCCTCAAAATCTCCAAGCCACGACCTTGCTTTGATGAGCGTCTGCAATCACACCATCATCGACTACGGGACCTTTGGGATTTCAGGCGCTTTTCTTTCCAAAGGTCACTCCATAACTCTCGGTGTTTCCAAATCTTTCGCCGAAATCGCGACCAGAGAGTTGGGTTGGACTGTTTTTAGTACTGAGACATTGAATGAAGTTGAAGTGAGCCTGTAGAAAAATTTAATGATATAAAAATATTTAAAAGTGAAGTCAAAAGAAATATTTTAACAATTAAATTAATTAATTTTCCTAGGCACTTGAAAATACAGCAAAGAAGAATAAATCTATAGGATTTTTGTTTTAAATAATTTCTTTCCGTTTTGGCTTTATTGCCTTTATTTGAGATGTGCAAATAAAATCTCCTATCTATTTGCAAAATATTTTTTCAATGCAGCTCAATAAAGTTAAATTGCTATGGATTGGCATCGGATCAACATGCACGGGCCGTTGCTCATGCTGGTGGTCAGCAATGACGTCAAATGGTGCGAGAAAAACCTCCTGGGAAAATCGCATCAAAATCTCTGGCTCTGCTGAATGTTGCAATCACACCATCATCGGCCGCGGCTCTTTCTGCTTCAATTCATACGCGAATTTTATATTAAGTTCTGCTTAATTTCAAACAATATCAAAATGAAATCTATAAACTGTAAAAGAAAAACATCTGAAAACTTCGTCAAAAAGTGATTAATTGGAGCAAAGAGCTTACAAAATTTTGCTTTGGCTTTTATTAAATAATGTAGTAATTGTATAAATTTTATTTTGCTTTGAATTATTTGAAATTAAGAGACCAAAAATGCACAAGTATATAAAATTCAATTTTAAAATGAATTTTATTAATGTAAATTCAAACAACTTTACACATCACAGCCATATTATTGTGTCAATACTGGAATCAAGTGGGAATCCCCATCACCCTGAGCAGCTCGAAAACGAATCCCATGAAAAGAATGCCCAGAAAGTCACCCGTGGCAGTCATGTATGGGATGCAATTGTTGTCAGGATCTTTTCCGCGGGTCCAGAAAAAGTGCGTCAGAACGCTGGCCAGGTAAATCACGATGCTGACCTACATAATCGCAGAAATAGAAATGAATTAATTGCTTAAAAAAAAAACAAGATTGAAAAATACCTGAATGAAAACGGCGATCAGGTAAAAAGCGAGGAACACGGCGCTGAGATTTGTGCCGTGCTTTTCAGCGAAACTGATTGTGAAGGCAAAAATCAAGTGGCCAGGAATCACCAGAGCCATCAGAACTCGCGCCGTTCGCGAAAGTTGCACTGAAAGAAGTTTTTAGAAAATTCTTGCTAGTTTTGTTCACAATCATTAATTCTTTCATTTAAATACTAATTTGTTTTTCAATATTTAGGATGAATAAATAATAAGAAATTACGTTTTGAAAAGAAGACAGTTATGGGGCTGAGACAAATCCGCATTCCCGTCGGAAGGGCGCCAATTTTGGCACACTGATGAAGATAAGTAGACATTTTGCTCGCCTGAATGGCCACAAGGTTGCCAGCAACCCCGTTTACAACCGGCTGGAAAATCGCAACGTCTTTCGATCGAGCCACAATTATGTCCAAAATTAATCCGGCACACCTAAAATTTATATTATAAGAAATAAATTGATCTGAATAAATTATTTAAAATGGAATATTAAAATAATATTTCGATAAAATTAAAATGAAATAAAACTATTTAATTTCTTACACTTGGATGAGCATTGCAACTATTATGGGTGTCCATCCGTGGAAAAGAACTTCTCTTGTGCTCTCATATCGCTTCGCCACAATTACCAGAGGCGGCAGGGTTAAGAGAAGAGCGGCGCAAATTACCGGAAAAACCCAGGCGTCCGTTTCTAATTGAGATTTAATTGATAGCAAATTTTAATTAACTAATTATTGCGTACCAAGAATTTGATAAAACGCTGATGCAGAGATGGACAGAATGGTAAGGGCCGTCATGTCCCCGAGGGCCCCTGCGATGGGGGTCGCTATGTTGTCGGGGTTCAAGTGCCACATTTTTGACAAAAGTATCACACTGGCCGTAATCGATCCTAAAAAATAATTAAAATCAAAATGGTGCGTACCGTTTTCAGGGTATATTTCAATTAAAATTATTTAATAATTTTGCCAAATTTTTGCATACATGGGCAGAGCGCACTTTGCGCTCTGCGATCTGCGCTCGCGCTCTGCGCTCATGAGCGCGAGCGCGGAGCGCGATCGCACGATTTTCAAAATCGTGAGCGCGAGCGCAGAGCGCGAGCGCATTGGTCGCTGAGCGCAGCGCTCAATTGCGCTCATTTTGCGCTCAAACCAAGAGTAAAAATTCCCCAATTTGATCAAAAATTGTAATGAAAAACAGTGTTTTTATACCAAAAACTTAAAACTGATCTTACTGATCCCAATTTTGGTGATTAAACTTCAACTTTATCATTTCCAATTGCCGATGTATTTTTTGTTATATTAAAAAATTGTCTAAAAAGTCGCACTTTTTCCTCGGATAAAAATATTTTTGAGCGCAACGCGTGAGCGCAAGACTTTTTAAAAATTTGAGCGCGAGCGCAGAGCGCGAGCGCAACATTTTCAAAATCTTGATCGCGAGCGCAGAGCGCGAGCGCACTGTTGCCAGTGATCGCGAGCGCGAGCGCGAGCGCAAAATTGTTGAGCGCACCCATGTATGAATTTTTGTTCACATTTCATAGCACCAATAAGTTTGAGTTTCAATACAAAATGTGAAAATTAGTAAAAACAATAATTTGAGAAATTTATTTAGAAGTTGAAGCACTTCAAAACTTGATAATCTTAAAATAATCCACAAATTTGAAATTTTGGAGAAAAAAGTTTTACAATTATTTTGATTATTACTTCTAAATTTAATCATTCTAATTTTTAATTTATTGATTTCCTTATTATTTTAAAATCATTTTCATTTGAACTTTACCTAGAATTAAACTTGCAAGTGAAGCCGTGACCATTCCACACGCGCTAAGCAGAAGTAAATGGTTCCAATTTACTGCCTGCGTCAACTCGATGTCGAACACAAAAGCGACGACGGCCGCCAAAAGTCCGACCAAAATGGATTGCACCTAATTAAAAAAACCTTAGATGTCGTTAATTCCGATCAAAAATAATTTACCTGCAGCAAAGCCATGTTGCCGAAAACAAGGTCAATTTTGCCCTTGCGAGTGTCCAGGTGTCCCGTGTTTGCTGCCGTGGACATGCGGGACGCCAGGGTCATCTCGAGGTTTCCTTTGAGGCCGAGAAGTGGAGGAACCAAAATCAGCACTTCTGGGAGTTGCTCAAAAACCGTCCAGTGCTTTAATTCAAAGGTTAATTGAAATTAAAAATTTCTACTGAAAAATTATCAGGCTTTAAAAAAATAAAAAAAGCATGAAGTTGTTTAATGTTTTAATAATGCCTGGATCATAAATTAAAGAATTTCTCCCTTGTTCATTTAATTTTTGATTTCCATAAATTCTTCTCTCTTTAGTTTTATAAAATTAAAGTTTATTTTAAAAGAAAACTTGCAGCAAACTGCATAAATTTAGTTGAAAAATTTTATGCATAATTCTTGTGTTAAAAACCTGGACAATGTTGAGCAAAACGCCGGCGCCGACCATGCCCATCCCTGCTATGAAAAATGGGACGACTGTCTGCGCAAAAATCTTCCTGTGCGATTCAAGAATGATTCCTGAAGGTTCATTTTCGTCCTCTTCTGGAGGGACCAATTCTGCCTGAGAAGAGCAGGTCGAAGTTTCGAGCCACGGTTCGGGCTTTTCTTCCAACTTGACCTCCACCTTGACCCCGTCTGACTCATCCAGCTCAAGGGTTGCTGGGGTCAAAAACACCTCGTCTTTGCCTTCCATTATTGTACTGGGAATTTTTTTAATAATTAATAAAAAAAAGAAGTTTTTCAAATTTTTCTATTGGCATAAACAAGTCTTTTTGTACAGATAAAATTATATAATAAAAAAAATTTAGAAAATATTACATTGATGACGATTAAAAGAACCAAACAATCAAAATATGACGGAAATATTTATAATTAGTTTCTGGAAACAAAAATATTCTAAAATTAATAATTTCTTGGAGATAAAAAATTAATTGCTTTTCTTACGCTTTTAGCAAGAAGTGCAGGCATCAAATTTTGGCACTGCGTCTGCGGTTACGTCTGCTCTTCCTTCTAGAAATCACAATAATGACACAATATCTTACACCTTGGCGATTACAAAGACTTTTTAATTAAAGAAAATTAAAAAAGAAATGAATTATGATGATCCGTATCGCAGTAATCTCTGTTTTCATGGCAAAAGTCTGCCACCTGTCTTGAGAGGTGAGCTAAGGAAATCGCAATTATTTTTTGTTGATAGCACGTGCGCGGCGATTATACGCAATTGTCCAATCAGGAAGCTTGATTTGGTTGGTCATGTGAGCAACAATTATTTCAAACTGCGCAAATCTCATTTCGTGGAAAGGATTTTCTTGAAATTTAAAACCAAATATTCAAAATATATTTGGCGTTGATTTCAATATTTAATTGTAGTCAATTTGGGTTTGTTTTATTTTAATTAAAGACTAGAAAAATTCCATTTCACTTGATCGCTGCAATCTGCCAAGGCCAAAAAGATTAATCAAAAGCTTAAGTCCAATTAATTATACAAATTATTTTGATAAAAAAAAAAACACGGATATGAATATGGAGGGTATATGATGTAATCCCCTTTAAAAATCAAAGTGTTATCTTAAAATTAGGCAACGTGTGCAGTTTTCTTTTGTCTTTTTAATTAATATTTGTAGGAACTCGAACTTAATTTTAAAACCAATCAAATAAGTTTGCAAAAATCTTTACCATTCAATAAATATTCTAATATTTGAGATTCAATCTTCGTGATTTTGTTTAAATATTGATTTTTTTTTCTGAAAAGATTTTAAATGTACCGAGTATAAAAAATTAATTATCTTCAAATATTTGACACCTTGATATGTTGATTTTGTTTAATGTGAATGTGATATCACTGATACTGTCTTTTGCTAGAACGTTTAATTTTTTTTCATTTTAATCATACCTTCCCCTAATAAATCATATGAATTATTCATTCACGCTTATCAACAAGTTTCAAGTGTTTCTTGACGCACGTCAATGATACGCAGTGATGTTTGCAATGCACGCAGTCTTCAAAAAGAAAGCTGACCATCTTTAATTAATCTTTTATCACAAAAGTCTGCTGAACCTTAAACGCCTTTCATGAGATTTTATTACATAAGACACAGATGTCTCCGTTAACTCTAAAATTCAAGATCTTCAAATCTGCGGTGGAAGTTCGAAGCTTTTTTACTGCCGGAACTCTTCCAATTGAACAATTTTCCCAAAGGACGATTTCGTTCTGAGGAAATTAGAAATTATCTCATTTTTAATTTAATTTTTGCGCTTTACTTTTGAGATCAAGGCATTCCTCCTTCGTCGGTTGGCACGTTGAACAGCCTGAGCAGTTCGAAAACGAGTCCCATGAACAAGATTCCCAAAAAGTCGCCGACCGCCGTCATGTACGGAATGCAATTGTTGTCCGGGTCTCTTTTGCGCGTCCAGAAAAAGTGAGTCAGAACACTGGCGATGTAGATAATGATGCCCACCTGCGCAGAAAATTAAAGTTTCACAACTATGCTGAAAATTATTTCTAATAAAATTGAACAAATAAACAACAATGAATTCTTTGAAACAAGTCAAATACTGTGAGTCACATTTTTTACTCACGATCAGGGCTTAAAAGATCACAAATCGTCTCGTTTTTTTAATTGCCACCAATAAAAACCAAACAAAAATACCTGGATAAACACGGCGACGATGTAGAGCAAAACAAAGACCCAGTGGAGACCACCGTCGTGCCTCTTCACAAGGCTGATGGTGTAGGCAAACAACAGGTGACCCGGAATCACCAGAAACATCAGAACACGTGCCGTCCTCGACAATTGATCTGAAAATTTAAAACAAAAATACATTTAATGAAAATATCCGGAATGGGTTATGAAATTATTAAGGCTTTTGTTAACTTTAATTTGTTTAGTAAAACTAATTTATTCAAATTGAAACCAATTAATGTCAAATTTTCTCTCAAATAAGTGAACCAAATAAGCAAAATAAACTGTATCAACTGCTTATAAATGATCAAAATGGTCTCTCCGCGATTTTTGTTTGGTCAAAAACGCTACCCGATTTAAATTTTCACACAAAATGTTTAAAAGTTTTTATAATTAATGTGAATTTTGATACAATTTCACAACTTTATTTAGTTTTAGAAATGAAAATGATCAATTTAATAAAACAGAAAATGATTGAAAAAAAAGCAATTTGTACAAAAATTAGTTCAATGGAAGTAATTTGAGGCCAATCTTGCTTTCCTTTTTTCAAGGAAAACTGTCAAGTTATTTTCTTTTTGACACTGTCAGATTTGTTACTATTTGGAAGGCTCGACGACGTTTGACGCCGCAAATCAACTCACTCAGATAGCACCGAGATAATTTCACGGCCAAAAAACGCTTGACCTTTCCTTACAATTCAAATTTATGCTTCACCGAGAGCTTCCGAGTCACGCAGGTTGCCTGCATTAAAATATTGTAGTGAATGAAAATGTATTTTTCTTTTCTTAAATTTTTTCTCCATTTTTTTTTTTTAGCAGAAACGTATTTTCTTACAAAATTCTATTGAGAATTGCGGGAATTTGTACAAAGTATTGTCAAGCATTTTTAATTTAAAAGATGAATTCATTTGAGTTCATTTTCTGCAGATTTTTTTTTTTACAAAAGAGTCAAAAATTAGCTTTTTTTCTTTGAGAAATGAAAATAAAGTTGTTTTATGTCTCACATATTTTAAATCAGAATTTCGTAAAATATAGCGTCAGAATTTACTTACGAACTAATTAAAATTTTTTTAATACTTTTTCCACTCTTCCTTAATTTTATGACATTTTTTCTGTACTCACTATTTGAGAAAAAGACGGTGATCGGACTGAGACAGATGCGCATGCCGGTGGGCAGAGTTCCCATCTGGGCCACCTGGTGCAGGTACGTGGACATTTTGCTGGCCTGAATGGCCACCAAGTTGCCAGCGACGCCGTTGACCGCCGGCTGGAAAATCGCCACGCCCGGCGAACGCGTCGTCACTTGATCCAAAATCAACCCTGCCGAACTGGATTCAGAAAATTATTCAAAATTTTCACAATAAACTATGAAAGAAGCGAAACAATGTCCATAAAATTCAAAGTTGATTTAACAATTTTCTGTTACAAAATTGAATTTAACGAAAGGAAAAGAGATGATTAAAGGAAAAAGATGAAACTCACACTTGAATGATCATGGCGACGATTATGGGCACCCATCCGTGGTAAAGGACATCTTTGGTGAATTTATTTCTCCGGGCGAACCAGAAGAAAAACGGCAGCAGGAAAATGAACACGCCGCAGATCACGGGAAACAACCACGAGGTGGTCTCTGCGTAAAATAAAGAGTAAAAATTTTATCCTTCCTTTTCACTGCAAAACGAACCGAGGATGCTGTAGAAGAGGGTGGCGGTCAGCGAGAGAATGACCAGGGCCGTGATGTCCCCGAGAGCGCCGGCGATCGGGGTCGCGATGTTGTCCGGGTTCACTTTGCACATTTGCGACAGGACAATCACACTTGACGTAATGAAACCTAAGCGGAAAAAGTCAGTTGTTATCTAGAAGGAGATTAATTATTCGGCACCATACACAATTAAGGCCAAGTTTCTATCAAATTCAATGAAATCAAATTCTAGAAAATGGACAAAATTTGTAAAATTTTCATGCCAAAGTTAAAAATTCAGCAAAATGTTATGATGAAATAGGCGAATTTAAAGGGAAAAAATATTTTCCCAAGCAATATATCTTCATAATTGGTATCTTTGAGAGCAAAAGGTAAATAACTTGATGGAAAAAACTACAAATTTACCTCAAAATTGTTGATTAAGGTTAACAAGAAGAGACTTATCTTAAAATAGGTAATTAATAGGTATTAATCATTAATCTACTGACTAAATTGTTGATTTTTCAACAAATCGGTGGTGTAAGATGATTCTAGAACATTCAATTTTAATTTAAAAAATCCTTTTTTTGCTGTATGTAGTACAAAGAATACGTTATAATCAAGATTATGCTTTCTTTTTGTTATTAAATTATAAAGAAAAAATTTTTTAATGACATTTTACTTTGCTTGGGAGAGAATTAAAAATAATTAAAAAAAAATTATATCCAGAAATACTTATGAAATTGTTAATTAATCAAAATTCTATAGGAATCATTTTTTGTACCTAAAATGAGACTGGCCAGCGAGGCGGTGACGATTCCGCACGCGCACAGCAGCAGCAGATGGTTCAGGACGAACTTTTGGGTCATCGCCAGGTCCATGCAAAAGGCCACGACGGCTGCCAAAAGGCCGACCACAATCGCTTGCACCTTGAGTGGGGGGATTAGTCTGATGACAATCTCCATTGATTTATGGCTACTTGCAACAGGGACATGTTTCCCGAGACCAGCTGGATTTTGCCCTTTGTCGTGTCCATGAGGCCCAGGTTGGCCGCCGTGGACAGTCGCGAGGCCAGGGTCATCTCCAGGTTGCCCTTGAGGCCCAGAAGGGCAGGCACAAGCACGAACGTCTCAGGCAGTTCTTCGAAAACGCTCCAGTACTGAGAAAAGGTCAAAATTAATATAGAAAAATATAATAAAAATTGTTGACACGAGGCAAGTTTTTATCTTGTCACGATCGCTTGTGAATCTTTTAATCCCCGAGATTAAAGAGAAAACATCAAAGGCACGTTTCAATGAAAAGAAAATGATATAAAAAAAAATCAATTTTAAATCAACTCTCAGGTGTTCAATATCAAAGTACACGTTTCAGAATCATGATTGAAATCAATTGAATCCGGATTTAACTAATTAAATTCAGAATCATGTGTTGCAATTAAAGCAGAAACATAAAATTATTCATTTAGAATTTAAAAAAATAATTGGAAAAATTTATCTTACTGAATTTACATTTTTTTTTTAAATTATGAGCCTTGGTTAATTATTATTTATTTTATTGTAAATAAACAAATTACACAATTTGTTTCAAGAATTTTTATTTTGTTTGTTTGTTTATTGATTATGACTTTAAATCTTTGCAAAATTATTTACTTTGAATTTTAAATATCAAAGGTTTTAAAATTTTATCTACTTTTATTAGTGATAAAATTAAGTCTTTCTTTAAAATCCAGTTTTTCATCTACCAAAATGAATTTCAAAATTCCGAATTCCATTTCAATTTTAATGAATGTGAAAAAAATGACTCCTTTAAAAGAATCTTCTTCTTACTTAGAACCAATGACTTTTTTTGCCAAATTTTATTTCACAAGCCAAATTTGATGTGAAAATATATTTATTTTGTTAATTTTGATCTTACCTGGACCATGTCCAAATAAACGCCGGCGCCGACCATGCCCATTCCGGCGACTATAAACGGGAGCACGACCTGTCCCAATATTTTCCTGTGCGACTCTTCGATGGGCCTTCCGCCCTCGCCTGTTGAAGAACCCTCGGCACTTTCTCCCCCATCGTCCGAGGGCGGCACCAGTTCTTCCTGGGACGAGCAAAGGCTGCTGCCGCTGGGAGGCTCGATTGCGGGCAGCAGGTCCGGTTTTTCGAACGCAAGGTCCAAAATGACGGGGGTCAAAATGACGCCGTCGTTCAGGCAGCCTTGCTCGTTCATCTCTTTCGGGCCCATCTTGCTAAAATCAATCGAAATTTTAATTAATTTATGATGCTCAGGTGAAAAAGTTTCTTTTTATAACAAAAGTGGACTTTTTACTCTCAGATTTTAGAATTCCTTCCTGTTATTTTAGGTTTTTTTTTATCAAATTTTATCCCAGTAAAAAAAATTGAGATTATTGCATTTTCTAGTTTTTTTGTTTGTTTTGCCCGTTTTGTCATATTGAAGAAAAAAGTTAAATGCCGATAAAATTAATTAAAGTTTTTAAATTACAATTAAATATTATTTTAATTTTGACGCAAAAAATTTCAATTTTTTTACTAATTGAAGTGTTGAAATTTTTAGAAATTGCTAAAACAATATAATATTCATGAACTTTTTTACTGGCAGATTTTAATTTCTTAAATATGAATAAATAAAAATTTTAATTAGAAAAATACCGAGTCTCTATTTTAAGAATTAATCAAATTGTCAATTAGGATTAATTAGAGGACAGAGTTTTGAGACTCACCATGTGGGAGACGTGCCAAATTAGGTGCTACATGTAGAATCGGCGGTGTGCGAATGCCGCGTGTTGATCAAAAGGTGGCACGCATTTCTGGCATGAATGCTTCGAAAATCGGCCAATCGCAAGGCTGACGCGATAACAAAACCAAGCCTACGTTTAATTTTACAGAAAGTGACGTCCCAAGCAAAACCTATCCCAAATAACCTCGCTAATCTCGGAAAATAATATATATAAAATTTTGATCGATGAGCCACAAGTCGGCCAGATAATAAAACGCACTGCAACACATGATTTAATCAAACAAGAAGAAAGTTCATAATAATTATATCAACTTAAGGAGTGGCGCCTTTTTTCATTTGTTGCTAACTTATTACATTGTAAATCATTTATAATTTCATTATTTTGTGTTAATTAAACACGCGGTATCTTCGGAATTTAATCAGTGATTGTTATCAAACTGTTTCTCAGTTCATTCTTCTCCACATTTTACTCAATATTTGATCAATAATTGATCTCAAACTCTTACATTTTGTCTCAAGAGATCGTCCGAAATAAAACAGCAAGGTTTTAATGGAATAAAATTAATTTGTGCTAAAATTATTATTTTTGGATGAATAAATAAGTTTTGGTTCTACTTCAGTAATAAAAATAGATAAATCTTATCTAATCTAATTTTGATATCCTTAAAATTCAAAAATTTTTTAAATAAGGAAATGAATGATGAGAAAAATTATTGAAATCAATTCCTTTCCTCCAAGTTTAATTTCATTTAAATACTTTTGTTTCAAACACGTGTTGTTTGGTGTGACCTGGATATATTGTATAGGAAATTTTACTATTTTACGCATCCCATCGAGTTGAATGAAAATATTTTCCTTGTGAGTGACGCACATGGTTCAGATTACCGTCCGGTGAGACATTTTCTCACGGAGGTTCTGCAAAATTGACGTAATTGAATTGCGACTCGGCGCCGGCTTGAATCATAAAAATTGATTGCCTCAGAAGTGGTAAACAACTTTTGTTTTGAAAAAAAAACCATTGTGAACGCAAAAAGTAAACAAACTTCAGAGGCAATTTTGTATTTTCACAGGAATTTGCGCTAAAAGAAAGATATTCTGCGTAAAATTGAAAAATTAAAGAGAAACAAATATTAATTATTATGCTTGTGTGTCATTATAAAAAAATCCAAACAAACTTTGTTATTTTTATTTCAGAATTCAAGGTTTTGCAGTTTAAAAGAAACAAATTTTTGTATTTTTTTTTTTTCAATTTATTCAGACCTTCCTAATTGTTATAATCCTGCACAGAATTTCGATCAACAATGACTTCATTGTTTACAAATGATTTTCTTGTATGAATAGCCGTGGTCGTAATTCACTGTATTTTATATAAAAAGTTCATTTCAATTTTATATAATTTAATTCTACTTATCTTTTCTAAAAAAAGAGAAAATTTTACCACTGCTTGCACCAGACATAATTTCTTTTCGCGAGATGAGAAAGGCCTCAAGTGCAATTTCATACACTGTTTAAAAAGACAAATGTTTTTTTAATTTATTTTTTTTTTAACCTACAATTTTTATGATGATTATTTATACTCGGTGGCACTTAGTGTGAATCGCAACGGCTGCAAACTAAATGTTTCACAACCAAAATTATAAATCAGAAGTGCACTAATCATTTCTGTTTGATCAAAAATCTAATCATTTTCAACTATCAAAGAAAAGCAGCTCTGGTAAGAGGGAAATTTTCTCTCTCAAAAGACACTGAATATGAGTTTTTTAAATGAGCCCTTTTTTAATGAAAGACTTGATTTGAGCACAAAAAGTTGGTAGTGTCTTTTTGTGGAAAATTTACCTCAAAAACCTAAAGGCGAACTTCAATGTTTAATTAATATGTTTTATTGCCTAAGGTACTTAGTCAGTAAGTCTTCAGCTTATTCAATTAGTGAATTATGCAGCCCTAATTGTCACTTGCGTGTATTTTAAATAATGTTTTCAGGAAACTGAGCTATATTTACAAATTATCCGTTTGGTGTAAAGCCAAGGAGCACAAAGATTGATGTTTAAATTTAATTCTGAAATAATTTAAATACTTAGGATTTTAATAAAATTAATAAAAATTAAACATTTTGTCTCCTCGGCTTGAAATCAAACAACTCTTGATGTGTAAAATTCCACTGCGGAAAATAGGCGACGCTTTTCTTGTAATTATTTTTGGTGGGTTTTTTTCGTGTGTGATCACAGTATGAGAATCAAGTTCGGGGTTGATCATGCGGCCAGGGGCAGGTCGTTGGGGCTGGCGGTGGCGTTGCCGAGGCGTCGGTAGAACTTGTACAAGTACGTGGGCATGGCTTGGCAACCCTTCTGGCGGAGCAGCGCGTTCACCTGGTCGATCGCCGCGTCCAGGATGCGGTGCACCTTCTCCGGAAACGGGTCCCTGAGGAAAACAAGCGCCGCTACATCAGCTCGGTAATTGACCCGACAAGCCCCGACAGGCCCAAATTGAATCAGACAAAAATGGCAACTCCGTTTTTCAACCCCCGGAAAGTGCGGCGAATGAAACTTTTCCTCGCTGGAAATGCTTCATTTTAGTAATTAAAGTTCAATAAAACTTTTATTAAAAATTGAAAATTGAGGATAATTATATAAGTTATAAGAAGAAAATGCAGGAAAGAAATAAAAAAAAGTTAATAAATTTGATTATTTCTTAGGAAAAGTTTTAAAATGTTATTTAAATATTTTTCCCGGAATTAGGTTTTCTTATGATTGTGACGCAACGGTATGAAATTTTCGCATTGGTTTTTTACAAGATCAACCCAAAATTTATTGATCTTTCTAAATAAAAAAAATGATAAACATTCACCTGAGTGGGTCTTTAAATAATTATAATGTTGTTTTTTTTTTAAACAATTCTTTGCTCATACTCACTTGATTTCAAACATCAATTGTTGTGTTGACGGCCTTCGGAAGGGTCCGTCGATGTGGCTGACGACGCAGGTTAGTCGCTGGTCGTCGACCGGGAACTTGAGGAAGTGCAGGATATTCTTCAAATGCGTGATTGGCTCGTTTTTCAGCAGCTCGTAATGCAAAACCATCGCGTCTCGCGAGTACACGATCCACGTGGCCGCCAGTTCGCGCCAAACCTCCGCCAGACGAGACGCAAACGTCTCCCATTCTGAAAAGAAAAATTGAATTGTGAAATTGAATAAATCAATTTTAATTTCATAAAAAGATAGCCCAGTTGAAATTTTAACTTTATTTTGAAAAAATATTAAAAAAATTATATGAATGCTGAAAAAATTGAAGAAATATGTTTTAATTCTTTCTATCAGTATTGAATTGATAAAGATTAATTTAAATTATCAAGTTTCTCTCCAATTTACATTTAAATTTAAACACAATATTTTGCTAAAACTGTTTGAATTGTGATCTTTACCAAACCTCAACTGCAAAATTTTGTTTTTTTTTCTAAAGTTTTAAAACCTTTTTTATCTATAAATAATTTTAATTAAAGATAAGCGAATTTTGATTGATGCCCTTGATTTTCCGCACGTGGCATCTTTTTCTTTTGTTTTGTTTTTCTATTCTCTCTCTTGGCACTTTGTACTTTAAGGTCGGACGTTGTGCGCCCACCACCCCATGCACACGCCGCATTAACCCCATCGCGATCGATTGGCACCCCCCGGAGGCGCCTAGTTCGCGCCCCTTCACTCTCTCTCTATGCAATAAACGCAGACCGCCGGACACGCTTCGCACGCCAAATCACATCTGATGATTTAAACTCGCTCGTGGCCTCTATAAACGCTTTAATTGCTCTAGTTTCTACAAAAATTGGAACGTTGCCGTTGTTTATTGTAAATTTAATTTAATAATTAAATTAAAAAAACTCCTTTATAATTGAGTTTTAAATTTTTTAATTAGAGCAAGGCAAGTTTAAAATTAGAAATAATTACAATAATTTTCTTTAGATTTAAATTGGAATTGAAAGAAAGAAATATTTATTTTATAATTTTGAAAATATAGATGAAAACATGCTTCACTTTTCAACGTTAAATTGCTGTATTGGATAAATTAAAATTAAAAAAAAATTTAATTTGAATTACCTGGGCCTCTGAAGCTGTCGTAAGGCGCGAAGCCTGTGTGTCCGCCGTAGAGAAAATTCCTGTAGGAAACGATGGCCTCGTAGGGGTTGCGTAAGAGCAGCACACCCCTGCCCTTGAAAAGGGTGAGCTCGGCACGTTTTTGCTCGGCCGTCGGCGGCACCATTCCCGCCAACGCGAATCCGTGCGTTTTCTGCACCGACGTGCAACCACAATCGGGCGGCATCACTTCACCGTAAAACCCTAAAACAAGTCAAATTAAAATGCAACAAAATTTATTAATTATTAAATTAAATTTAAAACTTTTTTAAAATATTAATTTTTCATCTTCTCAAGGGACAAAATTAGTTTAAAATTAGAGAAATTGATCTAAATTTAAAAATTTAAAATTATTAGTAATTTTTTAATTCCTTTATCTTGATTTTTTTTTTATCAAGTATTTAAAATTTTCTCATTTTTTTTTTTTTAAATTTCACCTCTTGTGAGGATTTGTCGGTCGGTGTAGACGCTGCCGGTGAAGACCCCTGACGAGGTCTCCATGAGGTACCTGACCCAAGTGTTGCCGCTGCCTGGAAACGAGACCAGCGCCACCATGGGCAGCGACTTCTTTTCCACAAAGTGGACGCCGTAGTGACCGCAGTCGACCGAGTTGGGCCACGGGATGAAAGTTCGCCGGTGCACGTCCAGCTTGAGCCCTGAAACCACCACAAAGCGGGCATGCCGTTCAGCGCGGGCCACAATTCTATGCCGACAAAACATCAGGGTGGAAATTTATAATTTTAAACGGCAGGATATTTCTAAATTTTCTTGAAATTAAATTCGATTTCGAACAAAATATGGGATTTATTATAATTATTTTCAAATATATCAGGCGTATTTTCTATTATAAAATAATTTTAAATTTTAACAATTTGCGACGAAAAACTTGATCAAATTTTTTAATGTTATCTTTTACCTTAAAAAATTATTTAAATTTTTACAGTAAAACCCATGGTAGTGAATATTTTTTGTATATTTTCAATTTTTCCCTTATCTTTTGAATTAACAGTGTCAAATTATTTCCTACATTTCCCGCCATTTTCGGTTTCCATGGTGAACAAATTTATTCAAACGGAATTAATATTTAAACTGGTTTTAAACGGTTGCTGGAAAACAAAAGCCGTGATATGGCGATGGGTGTTTCCCATAAATTTTATCTCGCAGCGAGGGCGGCACGAATTTGCAGTTGGGGCGCGTTTTTTTCTCCTTCAGAGGTCGCGTGTCATTCATCAGATATGAAATTTGTGCGCCACGCGAGACCCACATTCTGCGGGACCGCGAGGCGTTGCCTTTGCTCGCAAGAATAAAGAAAGGCCGCCGTGCATTAAAAGTGCGCTCTTTCGTTGCTAATTTGCATCCGTTCCAGATCAATATCGTCCGCTAGGCCGACAAAAGAAAAGGGGAGAATAAAAATCAAATGCTCGCTGTGCCATTGCATTTTTTTTTTCAAGTGATGCATAAAGCTAAGGCAATTTTCCAGAAAGTCTTTCCGGAGAACAATGGAACCAAACTACCAGGGGAAGTGTAAAATAATGAAAAATTACAATAGAAAAAATTTAATTTTCCAATTTTTTTGAATTATTTTCTATTAACTATAGAATTCAAATTTTAATAGTTTTGTAGTTTGAAAATTATTTAAATATTGAATCATAGGGGTAAAAATACATTTTACTGTTAAATGCCTTGATTGGTTAAAATTAATTCTATAGATTTGAAAAGTTCAATCCTTACAAAAAAAGCTTTACTTGAGATTTTTTGCTAAAAGATACTTATGACTCTAGTTTTAGCTTAAAAATTCAAACTTGGAGAAATATGAGACTTCATTCACCCGTTTCTATAAATTATGCATTCAAAATTATAAATTGTTCAGTTAGTTTTTTTTACATAATATTTCATGATTCAAAAAATATCCTATAGAATTTATTATTTTTTCACTTCCCTCCTAAACATTTACTTTTTGTTCCCGTCTATGGTAAATTACAATCAGCTCTTGCATGCTGGAAAACTGTGTTCGTTCAGCCTGTAACGAGCGGCGCCGCAACTGGCGCCACACTTGTGTCAACCCGGTTGCATACTTTACCTGACTGCGCCTTTTTCAGCATCTCCTGGTCCTTGAGCACCGCCGTGGCCTCAGCCGGCTCGACCGGAATGCCCTCGACCTTATCCACACTTCCGTCCACAGTTTCTCGAACCCTTCAAAAACAAAATCAACACTTCAGCTCACGGAAAATGATTCCCTCCCAATCATGCTTTTTTTCGTGTGGTAAATTCTTGTATTACTTACGTTTGGAGAAGAACCGGGTCGGTGTGGATGCGGCGGTTGTACCTTCGGACGGCGCGCAACATCGAGTCCTCGATGTCCGGCGTCACCAACAACAGCATCAACATGCCTAGAACGGTGGCCGTCATCATCAGGAACAACTGCATCATCTTCAGGAACGGACTCATGGCGCCGACAATGGGTTGGTGGAGCACTGGGGTGACTGAAAAATTAATAGGAAAAAAATTTTATTTTGATTCAAAATTAATAAATAAAAAATTAATAAAATATCATCTAAGTAATTTGCAAAAATATTTAATGGGGGAGATTCAATAGACTTAATGGCTCTCCCAGGATAAAAGATATCCCGGGATAAATCCAAAAGGATAAAATTTAGACCACTTTCTCGGGTTAAATATTTTTTGTCGCGCCTTAAATTTTTTCTCCCCAAGTCATTGGGGGATATCTTTTCTCAGCCCCCTCTACAGGATAAATATTTAACCCGCGCTAAAATCAAATCAGCTGGTAATTAAAAGGTCGTCAACATGCTCGCAAACTTTTTAGATTTTGGCCAATTGCTGTGAACAAAAAATTTTAAAATCAGAATTTTGTGAGGATCATGGAAATGAGGGCAAAATTGAAATCCAAAGCTAACAAAAAGATCTGTATCTAACTTAATTTAAAATTAATTATTTATTTTGCTCAGAAATTTCTAAAGACATCTTCATCAAAGCGAAATTATGCAAGGATTTTTTTCGGGCGGTCTCGAGCGACCTCGGGCGGCCGCGATCGACCTCGGGCGGCCGCGATCGACCTCGGGCGGCCGCGATCGACCTCGGGCGGTCACGAGTAGTCAAGTTGGAGTCGCTTGTAGTCGTTTTGTAGTGAACTTGTAGTCAAGTTGGAGTCGCTTGTAGTCGTTTTGTAGTGAACTTGTAGTCAAGTTGGAGTCGCTTGTAGTCGTTTTGTAGTGAACTTGTAGTCAAGTTGGAGTCGCTTGTAGTCGTTTTGTAGTGAACTTGTAGTCAAGTTGGAGTCGTTTGTAGTCATTTTGTAGTGAATTTGTAGTCAACTTGGAGTCGTTTGTAGTCGTTTTGTAGTGAATTTGTAGTCATCTTGGAGTCGGGACAAAAAATATTTAACCCGAGACAGTGGTCTAAATTTTATCCCTTTGGATTTATCCCGGGATATCTTTTATCCCGGGAGAGCTAAGTCTATTGAATTTCCCCAATATTTCTAAAAAAAAAAAATTACAAATTTTATCTTTAATACATATTTTATTTGTTTATTTTATAAATAGTTGGGTGAAAATAGGAAAGTTTCAGTTATTTTCCATTTTACAGAAATAATTCAGTCTTAAAATCCACAGAAATTTTATTCAATAAATATCTTAATAATTGATTAATTTATAAATACTCATCCAAGATTCTAAAATTAAATGTTTGTGCTCTGGATATATTTGCTACTGATCCGTGTATTCCGCTTTTGTTTTTCCACCTGCATTGGAACGCGATGCACGGGAACACAATTAATGCAAATGCGCGGAGCTGGCGCGAGAATAACTAGAGAGCATTAAAGTCATAATTTATGGCCGTTCGTCTGCAACACTGAGCTTGGAATAAAAGCACAATTTTATCTTTGTTTCGCAGCGTTGAATTTATTCATCGCCATGTTTTCCAACGGTTTAACAAATTTGCGTCATGTCATAGCAGAAGGGAATTCTTTTCAATTAAAACTTTTTCAAGTTCTTTGGTTTTTTCATGTTGGAAATTTTTTCAATTGCTATTTTTGCTGACAAAATTTGATTTTAAATTAAAATTTTCAGTCAAAACTGGTGATCAAACATGAAAAATTTCTAAAATTGCTTAGTTTTATTCAAATCAGGCAATTTTACATCTTTAGGTAATTATCAAAACTCATTTTTAATTTCAAATTAGGGATTTATTAGTAAATTTCATTGCAATTCAAACATAACAAAAGATGATCACATATTTTTCCCACTTTTATTTACAACATTTCATTTATGAACAAATTTAATTTATGCAAATTTTTTTGCCACAAACGGGTCTGAAAAAAATATGCAAATTTTTGTTAATAAGTCGTTTGCAGTCGGCGGTCGTTTTCGCCCCAAATTGTGCCTCCGCAGAAGAACTCGCGAATTGGCCAAGTGATTTTTATTCAGCGAGGGCACGCAAGAATTGAGCAAGTTTGGAAAAGACCATCAAGTTTTACGTCTCGCGCGGAGCGAAATTAGACTCGGGCCGAGGGGAGGCCCAATTGGTGCGGCGCTCGCAGAATTATCGCTCCTCGGGGCGACTCTTCCAATCTGTGTTGTTTTTCCGCCGCCGAGCGAGCGGGTTTAAAATTTAACTTGGTGCGAGAGAAACTTCGAAACGCTTTAGCAACACAAATAAAACTCGCGCGTTTGTGAGGAAAACCTAATTGGCTCGCGGGGTATTTTACAGAAGCTATATAGCTTCATTTTGAAAAGAAGCCTGAATCTTAAAGTAAAATGTTTAAATCGCTCTTTAGATTGAAAGTTTTTATAAAGGTTTTGTTTGTTACAAAATAAACCTCAGAAATGAGCATAGTTAATGTGATACAAAAAGTGGAATTGAACTATTTTCTTTGATAATTATAAACGTTTGTTCAATTTCAACAATTTTGTAAATTAATTATGTGGTTAAAATTGAAGAAACCTCAGATTATTTCTTTGCAGGATTCCTGTTATAAGATGATTAATTGAAATTTACTTGATGTTTTTTTATTAAATTACAATTTAGATTATTTTATCTAAACGATTTTTTAATTTAAAAGAAGCAGTAGAAATTTAAATTCCATTATTATTGAGAGTTGTCGTTAAAAATCGATGAAGTCCGCATTTCCAAGCATTTGGTGAAATATGAAATTGTTTGTGAAATTTTTATGGCAGATTTTTAGATTACGTAATTGTGTCAGCATGTCAGTTTTTATAATTGTTTATTTCAGAATAAATTTGAACAAAAATCAATAAAACTCTCATTATAAATGAATTTATAATTGATTATTTTGAAATAATTTCTTTAGTGAAACATAATGTGCAGGGGCTCTAGAGGGGGTTTTAGCTAAAAAAAGGCCCAATTAATTTTGATAATTATTATTTGTTACAAATTTTCAATACTTTGCAGTTGTAATTTTTCAAGGAAACATCACAATAAATTGCTTTTTTTATAAAAAGTTTCAAAATATTCAATTTTTTTTAAATTTCATTTAATTTAAATCCTATAAAAAACACATTTTTATTTATTAGAATTTGAAGGCAATTTAAATTATAACTTTGATTTCATTGTTGTGCTTAAAAGTAGCTAAATTTTGCTTGTCGTGCCAAAGCAACATTTTTTTTATTGTGCCCACACGGAGAGGGACTAGGTTGGCGGAGTGGCGCGATTGTTCTCGTCTGAATATGAATATGTACTCGATGTGGTCGTTAAAAGTGCATTTAGGGGCGCGACAATGAGCGAAACAAACAAACAAACGCCAAGATAGGAAGGATAGTTTCGAGTTATGACGGCGGCAGCGCAATAAAAATACACGCCGGTCCAAGCGTTGCTTACTAATGTGGAGGGCTGCTCGGCTGGTTGTACTCGCGGCCAGGCAGGCTATACTGCAGTGCGGAACCGACGAGTCGGTTGCCTGCCACCAGGCGCACCCTCAAATCGCCCGCCCGCCCGCCGACGTCTCGCTCCTGCCAAATGACGCACTTTGCCGTCGTAATTCGCGACTTATTTCGCCGCAATTAAATGCTAATGAGACGGACAGCTTTTGAGAAATCCCAGCTGATTAGCAATCTGAATAAGAAGAAATTTTAATTGGAAGAAAAAAGGGTTAGTTTAGTTTTGTTTGTACTTATAAACAAATAAACAAATTGAAATTTATATTTGTTAAAAATTAGCTGAAAATTTTTAAAGTTAACTTTTGATTTTAAAGCGGAAAAATGAAACAAGCAAGTTTGCAATAAAGCTGAATTATTATTTGTTCTTTTCAAATTAAATATTATGTTCATCAAAATCAAATTCAACTTTTGGAATTTGAATGTTTTTCAAAATTTTTTGAAATTTCCACCAGGAACTTAAATTTACAGAGTTTATAATGTTCTTTTAAACCTACTCTTAAGTTAACCAAACTTCCAGAAAGTTTTTAAAAATCAACAGGGCTGAAAAATTTATAAGATCAATTATTTTTTTCTAAGCTTCAAATTGACCTTAATCAATTAAATCTTCCCAATTCATGAAGTTTCAATACATTAAATACTAAAACCAGGCCCAAACCTTGTAAAATGGCTACAAAATTTCAAAGATTTTAACTTTATGCGTTTCCGCGATTATCAATCCAGACAGGCCATTTTGATCATTTTTTGCAACCGATGATTCAATCCTGGCGCTTCCGAACAACTTTTAAAGAGGTGGATTGATTAAAAGAACTGGATTTTCATGAAAATTGGCGAAAAATTGAATTCATTTGTGATATTTTAAGGAAAACTTTGTTTGATGGAAAGTTTGGATTTTTTGTTTAGTAAACTTCAATTTTTACTCAAAAATGATTCATAACAATAAATTTTAGAACATTTTATTATTGATAACTTCATATTTGAATATCTAAGAAATAAAAAATTGTAAAAAGATATGAAACTGCTCAATTATTAAAATACATCTCTATTTATATTACATATTTCGCAAGTTAAATAACAGGGGAGTTTTCATCTAACACATAAAACGGGAAAGAAGTAATTAGAAAGTAGGTTGATTACACCTCAGTGCGGCGTAGCAATAAAAGCCGCCCTCAATTGTGAATGGCGCGTAGATGGCACAGAGAACAGGATAATCAAATTGTAAAAAGCCATAGTAAAGATATGATGTTTCTAATGCCCATCTTTTATTTCTCTCTCATTGTATTTATCTCGAGTATGGTCTCTCTTCTTATAAAGTTACAAAAGAAGAAAAGATTACGTAAGAAAATATTCTTTCTTTATATATAAATTCGCGAGTCTCATTGAAAAGAGCAAGCGAAATCGATCAGCGGAGAATTGGCCGCTCTCATCAAAGTTCAAAACTGTTTTGGCCCATTTTACGACGACGTCTGCTCTGTCTGTTGTTTTTGCGGCCGTAACAGATAAAGCTGCGCTGATCGTGACACGAACGGAGCCTCTGCCAAAATAAAATTCCCCGGCGGCGCCACGCCATCCGCGCCGTGTTTTTCCGCGTCAAAGCCGGCTTGGCAGGTGCGGAAAGGTGACACAAAGTCGTACATTCATAATGAGTGTATCCGAAAGTCTGAGCTGGTGTTGGTAAAAAAGTCAAAGGCCAAAAGAATTTGGCAAGAATAAATTAAAAATTTTCAATTCCGAATGTTTCATCACAGAAGACTGTCAAATTTTGATCGCTCAATGGAGCACTTGTATTGAACTTTGGTTTGAAAAGTAAATTTTAAGCCCTGTTAAATTATATAACAATAAATTTAGAGTAGTTAAATTAAATTTATAAATTATGGTATCTCCTATAATAATTTATTTCCTTTACAATTACAATACAGAAATAGTGTTCAATAAAGTCAATGCTCAAATTTTAATGTAACTTAAAAATTTAAATTTGGGTCGTTTCAGGAATGAAAACCATTGTTACAACAATGATGTGATTCATTTTAAGTATTTAAAATCCTAAAATACATACGAATTATTTTGTTTAAAAAATTGCTAGTTTTCCAATTCTATTATTTCACGCTTAAACTTATCTAGGGAACTATTATTCGTAAGGTCAAAATAAGTTTCTACAACAAAAGAAACCAATTTTTATCCCATTATTTAAAAAAAAAAAAAAAAAAAAAAAATTGAGTTTGTCATTACCATTTGTTTACAGACTTGATTTGAATATGTCAAAAAAGGTGTTTTACTATTTTTATTTTAAACAAAGTTTTAATTTAAATCTTAGTTTGAATTTAATAAAACTTTACTTTTTAAATTATCATGTGATTGTAGCACCAAATGATTAAATTTATAAAAGAATTTTTCAATTAATTTTATTTTTATTTTTAAAATGAAAATAAAAACATTTTGATTTTTGTTATTGAAATTTAAAGACCAAAATTTAAAATAAAATACAATTTCTAGTTTTGTTCCTTTTAGATGGGGACGCAGCAATTAAAATGAAGGTTTCAATAAAAATTCAAACTAATTGCCATGCAGATTTGAAATTAAATTGATTAACTAAAGCACAATTTGAAATTGTACCTCATTTTTTTGTCATATAAAAGTAAATTTTGATACCTTTATATTTTAATTGATCAATTTCAATATAAAGTGATTTTTTTGATAAAATTTTTATTAAAAAATTACCAAGGATGGGCAGGCGGCGGTGGCGAGGCGGTGCAGGTTGCGTTCGCAGGGCCGTCGGCTCGCATGAGGGGGTTGCTCTGGCTGGAGCGCACGTGGTGGTGCCGCACTGAGCGTTACATTTCCACTGCACCCCGCGCGAGAGCACCGCAACCCCCAGCTGACGCGCCGCCGCCACCCCCCGCCCTCCCTCCCTCCCTCTCGTCTGCCGCGACCACCCCTATCGATTCTTTCTTCTTCGCCCCCTCACCGCGATTTCCTTCTTCCGCGGTTCCCTCCCTCAAAAGGGGCCGTCGTGACCCAGGTCATTCGCTCACCACCCCCCGCGCGCTCTTTTGATAGATCTCTTTCTGTCGATTCTGTTCGCAGACGCGGCGTGACAAACGATGCCTCTTTGCCGCCTCAAAACTTATTCGCCGCGATGATGCCCTAAAAATGTCCGGTCGGTTTTTTTTTCTTTTGTGCAAGACAAAAAAAAAATTGGCAAGCAGAGAATACATAAGTTAAAAAAAATCCCAAAACTCTTAATTTGCCATTTTAATCATTTACTTTATTTTCTTCATTTCCAAAACAATAATAATAATATTAATTTAATACATAAATCATTAAAATTAGTAGCTTAGAGTTATTAAATTGCTTTATGATAAAAATTTAATGGAAAATTAAATTTTCGTCAAAAACACTTTGGGAATATTTTTAATGCATTCTTGCAAAAATTAATAAATTGTCAAAAATATTTACACAGCTATAAATTTCCAATAATTGTATGTATGTTATTTTACTATGCCACTATAAGGTGTCCTTTTATGATTGTTGAATAAACTTGGGATGGGTTATTTTAATCAGAAACTGGTGACTGTAAAAATGAAAATTATAAATTTAATACCTATGAAAGCATTTTTTGTTCATAATTATTTTTTTAATCATTAAAATTATCCCGTTTCATATTATTCTAAAATTTAGTTTATTATATTTTAAATTGAGATGCATTTAAATATGCGACAAAAAGAACGTAGAAAGTCGCGGAAAGTTCATTATCTAAACAATGCAATAAATTATTAAATAATTTAAAATTCCTAAAATTCAATCACCTTTTATTTTGCTTTTATTTAACTGAATTTAATTTTTTTTCTCATAAAAATTCGTAGTAAATTATTCAGTGAGTCGTGAAATGTCGTAAATCTAACAGTCTCATACTATATTTTTAATATAATCAATGAATCACAAATGTAATATAAAAGATTCACACGCATTTCGCGCCACCTTTCAAATCGGTGGCGGCGCTGGCGTCGCCCATATGAGCGATTCAAAAAGGCGCGATCGTTCATCGATGGCGGCGGCCGGTTAGTCGTTTTCGTCAGAATTCTCCTTCTTCGGCGGCCGAATCGACCGAAGCACGTGCCGAACCGCGTCAGGCCGACTTGCATGTGATTCAGGGACAATCGAGCAGCACCGAATTCTGGTCAAAATGAGTTTTACGCTGAAGAGAAAGCGCCGGAGCAAAACCACACCCGACAAAGGCATGTTTTTTGACGGTTGAAAACAATAACAAAAACGCAGATTTAGATAAAAATAGGGCGGAAATTAAGAGTTTTTGAATTAAAAAATCTATTATTTGATCAGGAAAATTTTGATAAATAAATAAATAATTCTTAAAAAAAGCTGGATTTTGTTCAATGGATATGTACTTTTTTTATTTGTGTCACTAGTGTTTTGTATCTTTCATAAATTAATTCTTCATATTAACTTTAAATAATACTTTAATATTGTATTTGCAGAATCAAATCCGGACATGGACAGAGATGAAAACGACAATGCGGACACAGAAGATGGTAAAGAGAGCGATGACACTTTTCAGGGATTGTTTGTAAGATTTTTAATTTACAAAATTGTTCTTTGTATTAAATACTCATTTTTACCCGCAGAGAAAACGGAAACGGCGCAACAGCAATGTTGTGACCGAATCGTCAAGCGTCGCCCCGCACGTCAAGGAACCCGAACCCGAAAACAAAAAATCGAAGCGTCTCTCCCTCGCCTCACTCTTCACCACGCCCAAAAAGCCAGTCCTGAAAATCGGAGCGTCCCTTCAGGTACAAAATGTTTCAAACAAATAATAATTTTTTCAAATTTCTGAATTGCTTCCAGGGTTCCTCTGGCAAGTCGGATTTGGATGAGCCGATCGTGCGCAAGAGCCTCCTGCGTCGCTCCTGCAGCATCCTGCGTCCCTCGATGGGCCCGCCGCCGGTGCCCTCGGCACCGGTCAAGGTCACCACCCCGCAGAGGCAGCGGCTGACCCGCAGCTGGAGCCAGTCGGTGGCTTGCCTGAGCAGCTCGCTGACCACGACCGAGGTCAAACGCCAGGAGGCCATTTACGAGTTGTACATCGGCGAGCACGGAATGGTGCAGGACCTCGAGTTGATCAAGACAACATACCGCAATTCCCTGCTGCAACTCAACATTCTGACCGAGGAGGAGACCGAGTGCATCTTTGGCGACCTCGACGCCCTCCTGCAGCTGCACTCGAACCTTCGCGACAAATTGCAGGCCGTCCGAGAGACCAGTGGGGTCATCCGGACGGTCGGACACGTCCTTTTGCAATGGGTCAGTTTCATAAATTAAAATAATCATAAAAATTGCAAATTAATATGATCTGTTTTGAAAATTATAATTTAAAAAAACTCAATTTGAAAGGAAAAAAGACAATCAATTTAATTTACTTCAATTGATTAAAATCAATGCATAATTTATTTATTAATTTTTTGTAAAGGTTTTGTTTTTTATTTATACAAAATTAAATCCATTCTTTGAAAAATTGATTAGATTTATTTATAAAGTACTCATCTATAGTAAAAAATTAATGATTTATTTATTATTGTTATTTCAATTTTCAGGTTCCGGGTTTGGAATGTTACATGAGTTATTGTTCAAGACACGTCAAGGCCAAGGCTGTTTTGGACGAAAAGAAGGACAAAAATAAACGCTTTCAAGATTTTCTCCAGAGGTGCCTTGACTCTCCCTTCAGCAGGAAATTAGACCTCTGGACCTTCCTTGGTAAAATAAACAGATATTGTATTGACTTATAATTTTATAAACTTCCCATTTCAGATTTTCCTCGCAATCGCATCGTCAAGTACCCGATTCTGATTGGCGAGATTTTGAAGCACACCCCTGCAACCCATCCGGACAGGACGATCCTCCCTCAGGTGACTCCTCTGCTCAACGCTCTCCTCCACAAAGTGGACAAGGCCATGGGCATGGCCGAATGCAAACACACCCTCTCCCGTCTTGTCTGGAACCCTGAAGTCAAAACCCCAGAATGTGACTTGCTAGAGTCAGCCACTGCCGTTTTGTGCGAGGGGGACCTTCGAGACCAGCGCGGAACCAAATTGCACTGTCTGTTGTTTGACGTGGGCTTCTTGGTGACCAGGGCAGTCAAGCAGACTGACAAACTGACAGTCCTGTGGCCTCTGATACCAGCAGCTGAACTTGAAACTGATGAAATTGAACCTCTTCGAAATAGCCGCAATTGTGAGTTGGAGTTAAAAACGGTCCGATTAAAAATTTAAAGAAAAAATACCTTATTAAATTCAATTAGAGACTTTTATAATTCCAAAAAAATGGAATAAGTTCCGATTAATATTGAGTGCTTTGATACACAAAATTCAATTTGAATTAGTTGAATTTATTGTGCTATTTTTTCTTCACAATTATTATAAATTGCATTAAATTTCCAAAATGTAAGAAATTGGAATGGCAAAATTTAAATTACAGTTTAGATTTAGATGTTATTTTGAACAATTTTGAAGGAGAGCAAAATAAGAATAAGTTAAATTAATGTCCCTGTTGTCTTTTTGAAAATTTAAAAATCAGGCTAATTTATCATAATTTAAATTCAAATAATTTATTTTTCTCATTTGTTTTCTTTACTGTAATTTTAATATATAAATTAAACTTTTTGGCAATGATTTGATCAATTTTATCTTCTTTTCAGCTAACCGGTGTTTCAAAGTGACCTCAGCCGACTCATCCGCAAATGTTTGTCACCTCTTCACGACGACGGATGAGCATTCCAAAAAGCGGTGGATGGACACCATCAAGCAGGTGCTGCAGTCCACCCTGCAGGCTCAAAACACGGCCACGCAGCGGCCTCTCGAGGCGGCCGTCAAGCGGCGCAGCATCCAGACGCACCGGCGCAGCATCAGCGACCAGGCGCTGGTGACCTCCTCGCCCGTCAAATGAAGGCAGGAAAAGTGCTAATCAATGTGGACCTTGGCAGGGAAATTTAAACACCACCAGGGCACGGCCTAATTGAATCATTGTATGCAAATTATTCGAAAGAAAAGACAATACAGGTTGTTTATGATCGAGGTTGGTTTTATCTCTGTAGGTTGTGTTGCAGAAATTGGGTTAGTGCAAAAAATTTAAAAACTATTTTTCCGATCAATAAAAAAAAATTGTGATCCCTGCGATCTTGAAGTCAAAATTATTTTGCCCAGTCTCTCGAATAATGTAATTTTTATTGACTCCGGGCCTTGCATGGTTGAAATTTTACAGGAACTCAATCTCGGCAAGACTTGGTGTAAGGCCTCAGAAGCTGCTTGTTTGTCAATTTTTTTCTCTACTAAATTAAGGCTTATTTTAATAAATTGATATTATATTTTTGGTCAAATACTGTTCAGCCTATAATTAAGTAATTAGTTTTTACTTCTGTTGCCCCATTTGAGGCGGCAACATCAAGCTCCCCCAAGTCTTTCTGTTTGTAAAAATATCTCTACGGATATTACATTAATTAAATGTCTCTTATTCTTCTGTCTCGCAACGTCTTTTTGCACATGATGTAAATTTATTTCATTCTGTCGCAGTCGCTTTCGTTTCTGTACAAAATTATTTGGATGCTGCCTAATGAAAATTAAGACTATGCAGAGGAATTTTGCTGGTTGGCAAAAATGTTGTGAATAAACAAATTTTGAAATGTAGTACAATGTTTTAACATTTTAGTATTAGGAATTGTTACCATCTTTTCTAACAATAAATAAGACAAAATAATTAAAAGGATTTAACGAATTTTCGTAATACTGTATCCTTACTGGCTGCTGAATATCAAAACTTTTTCTTTAGAGAAATGAAATTTTTTAAGTACTTTCAGAATCAAAACTATTGAAACTAGAAATATTAAATCTTGATTGTTTTTAACTCTTTGTTTAAAACATGATTTTTTTCTAAACATTTAATGTAAAAAGCATTGAACTGGCAGGAAATATATATTTGCAAGGAGTCAAGGTTCGCTGGCGTGTGGGGCGCGCAACAAAAGAGTGAAAAACAAAACCTTCGCAAACAATCATTGGCAGATTACCAGCCTCGTCGGTTTATTGAAAGGGCTTTTTGTTGGTTCGTTGGGATGCGCGCGGGAAATTGTGCCACTTTTAATGTCACACCACGTGGGCCTTGAGTGGAGGACTGCGATGTCTTCAATAAAGAAACCTTTGGACTCGGCTCACAACTTTAGCACACACGTCAAAGAAACAAGGAAATAATAAAAGTAATAATTATGTAACAAACTTAACACTTTCTTTTTGAAAATTAAAATATTATACTTATTAAAATTAAGTCAAAATTCAAAATTATGTTATATTTTAAGCAAATTTAATATAACTAAAAAAAAAATCGTTGAATCTTCCTTAAAAATAATTTGAAAATTGATTGCATTAAAAAACTTACTTTGGGAATTACAATTTATTTCCCCCGACGCTCACGTACTCTCTGTACACACAATACGTGTTCATATGCATGTCTTTTAAGTACATAAGGCGTCGTTTATTTTTATAACACATCTGCATCCCTCGCTTGTGTACCGAGAAATAAAGTGAATTAATGAAATGCCACTGGAGGTCATAAATCGTTACATAATCGATCGACGACGAGCGAAAACCTTCTTTCATTCAACACATTTGTATATATTATCAAGAGAGAGAGAGGAAAATAAATATAAAATGCATTTATGTAATGCAACGGTCGTGTGTTATAATTCTCTCCGATCTACTTATTTTAAACGGAAAAAGTCGAACCAGGAAAGGCTGCAAGTAAAATAAAAAACATACATTTAAACTGATCTTATCTAAACCAGTTATTATTGTCAGACAATATTGTGGAGTGGCTGAATTAAATGAATCTAATTCTGAAAAAGCAAAGGAAGAAATTATTAGAAATTTATAATCAATTAATTAAAATTGATTATTAAATTTAAAAAATCTTTTATTAAACAATAATTTTTTTCATCAGTTTAAAATCAATCAAAATAATTAAAAAGAAATTTATTGAATCATTTAATTTAAGATCTTTCCAAATTGTTTAACAATAAACCAAAAACTCTCACTTGCTTTGTATATTTTCGAGTGAATGGACACTAATCATATTCAGCTTCTACTATTTTTTTTCGCTACCGGCTCGTTTGCCGACCTCAAGTTCACGCCGATTTTTACTATCGACCTTTACCTTGCTCAGCCGCGCGCTGAATTATTTCTGCGGCCCGCCGGAATGTATATCGTAAAATCGCCTTTCCTCATCTCTAACTTGGCACTCATTTGTGTTTGACCCGCGCGTATTAAATTATTGTATCGGCACGTTTTATAAAGTAGCGATTTCCCTTCGATTGAGTCCTTGAACCAAATGGAAAATTCGATTGTCTTATCTTCCTCGTTTCCTTGCAAATAATTGGCAGGTTATAAATTATCTGTAAATTATTGTTTTTTTGTTCTCCCAAAGCATTGACCTTTGGAGCAATTTTTTGCACATACGTTAAATTTACTCTCTCTTTCGGAACAATTTTGTGGTTCATTTGAGCTCCGGCCAAAATTTTGCGGTCGGTCTCGATTTAAGGCGTGTCGGCAACTTTTATGGACTCTTTATTAACGTAGCCAACAAAAATAAGATCAAGTTTTGGCCATTATAAGATATCAATTGGAAATTTCAACCTTCATTTTCGATTTCATTATTTTGTAGTTATTTACGCTTTTCATCCTATCATGGCAAACGCAGACACGTGCATTTGCTTACAAGCAACACGAAAATAAAATTATATTATTAAATTGCGGTTACCCTAGCCCAGGGTATTATTTATTAGTTTTGTTTTTCTTATTCTGAGAAGTGAAAAATTGTATAAAGATGTTTAAAATTGCTCACAACATTGCAGGTTTCGTCATTCTGATTTAAAATTATTGGAAGTAAAATATATTTCAGGACTTTAAATGATAACATAATTTTCAAGTTTTTTGAGCTATTTTGAGCCATTCTTCAATTCAACCTGGATTACTTTGGGCCTTAAAAAATATAATAAAAATAATATATCTTTTCAATCTTTAATCCGCTTTAATCTTTAAAATAGCCAAGGTTGCAAATTCCCATTCAAAAGAAACGAAAGAGTAAAGAATATTATAGTCTAGATTGTCCTTTCACCAAAAATAAGTTGTTTGAGTCTGTGTCTAGGCTGACCTCGAGGTCGCGAGAGCATCCCCGCGTCTGTGGCGCGGTGAATCAGCTCTTGTCTTGAGAGGCACCTGCGCGCGCGATTTATTCCGGCAGGTCGCGGCTGCCGCGAGTTGAAAGGGGGGAGGCGGCCTGGCCACAGCGGCCGCCGCTCTCGGCAGTCGATCGAGCGAGTGTCGTGGTGCTGGTCGCCGCGCTCGCCTCCACCTGCACACACCCGACCGACCGTGGCCGCCGGCCGCCCCCAGCCGCCCCAAAAATGACCGTGTCCTATTCCTGTGAAGTGGCCAACGCGTCCAGTTTCGGCTGCTTCTGGCGAATCCTCCTCAAGTGAGTACAAAATGAGACGAATTCCTCAAACACAATAGTTTATAGGCAGTAAAAAAATGGTGTTTTTTATTTCAATTAAAAAAATCGTGCAATTTTCTTAAATGAAATATTTAGCTGTGTATTTATGATACACTGTAAATAATTGTAAGTAATTTTAAATATTTTATGATAAAATATTTATTAAATTTAATTAAAATTATATTCATTCCAGTCAATGTTTCTAGATTGAATATAAATGAAGTTGAAATTAATATCTAAATTAATTATTATATTATTTTGGTCTTTTTTCTTTCAAAATTAAACTGAGGTTAAGATTTCTTTGATAATATACTGCGTTCATTGAAATCTCCGCAAGGGGTGATTAAAATTCAACTCACGTGGAGAAAATTTGCTTTTGAAAAACTTCCAGTTGGTTCACTTCTCTCCAAAGCAGTTCTAATCTCTGCTAGTGGCTGCGATTATCTTGAAAAGTGTTTCTCGTGTTTCTAAGATCTATGCAAGTGATGTTTTGTTTGTAAACTCAGTGATTAAAAACGAGTTGAGGCTCCCTTTCGGTTGTCGCCCTGCAATCAGTGCTTTTGAGTTTTCCACAAGAGCACACACAGAATTTGTCACGTCCAAAACTAGAGAAAAATTATCAACCAAAATGTATCTTTGGGTTGGGGAGTTATTTTGGGAAGAGATTTGTTACGTAACGATTAAAAAATAGAGATTGGGCTTCATTTTAAATTTTTACATAATTGTTGTTTTCTGTAGAGCATTGAAACCTCCTAATTTTCGAGCTCACAATTCACAATGAAAGTAGCAAATTTAAATTTTTTATTATATTTTATTTTCAGAAATCCATTCTAAATTTCTTACTTTAAAAATATAATTTATACAAAAGGAAAAAACTCCTTAATCCTCTAAATGACGGCGCATGACTTGAGTTCCAAATGAGATAAAGTATTACAGCGTCGTTTTTCGCGACCTTTCCCAGATCATGCGTGCGCATTCATTAACCTTACACATACCGCTCGCAACACAATAACATATGCAAATCCCGTCTCGGAAGATTAAAACAAGTGTAGAAACAAATTGCCACAATTTTAGTCCATTGTTACGGTTGGTGGATTTTAATCTCCTATAATCGGCCAAGCAAGGCGTTGAAGTGAACAATGAGTTCAGGGGTGACTTTTTGCAACATCAAGTCGTTTTTTTCTGACAAAACCAAACCTTTACACTAAATAATCATTCAGGCATTAATATAATTTGAAACTAGGGAATGAAGAAAATTAAAATCAATATTTTTTTAGAAACATTAATACAAAACACCATGATTTATTAAATTTACTTTTTTGTAATTAATTTTCAGAAAACCTTATTTTTAAATTTATTATCTAGTCGGTTTGAAGGAATTTAGTTAATATTTTAGTAAAAACGGTAAAAACCTTCTCTTTTGAGTATTGTATAAGAGTGAGAGTTGTTATACATTGTTACAAAATATAAAATCCTCGTCTGACTCATTTTTTTTCGAATTACACGTATTTGATTTTCTTTTTTTATTGATTTCCCGATAGACTTGCCAGGCCACTTTGAATGCGAACTGCGTTGCCACTGTTTATTTGTTTGCACGCATTTACCATTATTTTTAGTACGAGGCTCATTCACACGTCGTTCGAAAGGCCGATATACCTAATTTGCCACATTATTTCCGTTGCGTTTAACTGTACAGAATGTATTGCTCCGCGAAGAGCTAATCGGAATAAGAGAGCGAAGAAAAAGGGAAATAGAAAATAAAATTTTACTTTAAAGAATATATTTTTTAGCTCGTGTGACGTAAAAATTTATTCACATCCGAAAAGGCAACTTTTTAGGTGAAAATTCGCAGCTAAATTTATTTCTAGGCAAGTAAATTGTATTAATTTAAAAATTATAAAAAAAAAATCGTTTGTAGTCTCCAATATTTTGAAATGTGCATGAAAAAATTAGTAAAGATTTATTTTATAAATTTATTTTGTGCGAATTTAAAAAAAAATCCAGTCAAGTAATAAGGATGTATTTCCGTTTTGATGGGATTTACCAGAAATTATTACCATCCCATTGTGGCAATTAGAGAGACACAAAGTCCTTCCGCGAACATTCCGAACTTTAATTGTCAAACTGGCGACCTCAACTTGACAGTAGTTGGACCAAAAGCACAATTACACGAAGAATGTCCGTTCCGCTCTCTGCCTTGCCACAATTAACGGCACGAAATAATGTTATATTATGACTCATTATTTCAGTAAAATTAGAATAAATTAACTTTGCTTGAAAAATATTTGTGAAAAAATAATTATTTCTTCTGTTCCAATAAAAAACATTTGTAATAATAATAAATAATTATAATTTGGCCGTGTTTAAAGTTTTTCAATTATTTATAATGTGTAATAGAAATTAAATTTGAGGTTAAGTAGTGCCTTTTTTCTCTCAGTTATTTCCTAATTGTGCTTTCATCGCGCTGAATACTGTGGGGATTCCCTTCGTCTTCCTCCGAGAGGCAAAATAATTCGCCGAGGCCGCAATCCGGCTTGACCGCCTCCTAAAAGATGAAAATAATACGCGAAGCAAATTTATTGAGAGTACAGGAAAATAAAAACCTGATTTTTGCGAATAGATAAAATTATGCTTTTAACTACTGCTGGGTAAAAGGATTTTATCTTGAACAAATTTTGTCACAAAAAATTGATAAATTATTTTGAAAATGAAATTTACAATAATTATATTCTATAATTTAAGAGTGAATTTAAAGTTTGTTTTAATAATTTCAATGTACCTGTTACTTTTCAACAAGGAAAGATTTGATTCAACCTTCATGATCCATCTGACATAATCAAACAAAATTACCAGAGGAGGAAAATGAGATGCTGTAAATCAAGATCACCCCTGCCCGGTTGTTATGCAATTCGCCATTCTTGAGGAAAAGTCGCGGCGGCAGAGATTTTTGCTGATTCACTGCACTGACATTAGTTTCGCGCATTAGTTTCACGTTTAAAAATTCAATCTCGCCACGTCTGCCTTTGTAAGTTTCTCTCAATTCTCAGAAAGCTTCTTTTTTTAAATCGTTGGCATTCCTGAGTTGAGTAAAAATTTAAAACAAACCATAAATATCAAACGCTCTTAATTCTCTACCTTTGAAACTTAATTAAAAAATTTAATAATTTTAAGACGAACACAAAACCAGTTTGGTCATTTTTCTGCGAAGAAATATTTCAATTTCTCGGTGCAGCAGGAAAAGTCTCGCTAAAATTTTACGCTAGTCATAAATTAATTCTGAAAAGCGAGGATAATAAATAAATTTCGGCAATGAGCCGCTTTTCTCCTCTTTTGTGCAAATAAGCAAAGGTGTAATTAGCAGAAAGGCCGTTGATTTTTTTTTATTTCACCTTCCGTCTTCCGCACGCTGTTCATTCATCATTCGTTCTTTTCACATGAAAAAAAAACGATTAATTGCTGCTCATGAGCCACTTGAAGATTCTATAAAAATCAAGGTCTTGGGAGAAAAGTAGTTACTCGTATTTAATTAATCGTTTAACTGAAGTTGTGCAACATTTGTATATAAATATTTATTATTTAGAGAATAAATGTGAATAGAATTATTAAATTGTACAGATTATGACGTACAATTAACTCTTTTTTTTAAATTTAAATATCTCGAAATTTATTAAAATTTTGCTCAACTTATTTGTAAAAATTTATATAATTTTTCCGAAAATTGTCTTTCAATTTAAATAAAGGATACAATTTTTAATTTGTATTTTAAAAATTGAATTGATGAATTTCGTTTTTTAATAGTTTATGTAAATGACAACTGTAAAAATTAAATCAGTAAATACTGAACAAGCGGCACTATTTTAACGGTAAACCTTTACTTTAATGCACAATCTTTCTCTTTTTATACAAATCTTTTCTTCATTTGGCTAAAATCCTTAAAAATCTACAACTTCTTTGTGCGTTTCATTCAAAAAGTCAAGGCTGTTTGAAAATGGTGTCTCTCTTTGCTTTTTTTTGCAAGCCTCATTTGTTTGCATATATTTACTTTCCCTCACGAAAGCGTCTTCTTTGGTTTTTTGCCAATTGATAATTTTGCTGTGCAAATAAACTGCGGTTAAATCATGTAACAGAGATGAAATGCGCAGCAAAATCCTCTCAATAAAGTTTGATTTTTTTTTATCCCGGCAGTGACGAAATCGCAAAAGTAGCCGGAACAAAAAGACGTCTCGGTAGAAAAAAATTAAACAAACATTGTTTAAAAGAGAGAATGAGGCAGAGGAAATTAAATTTTTACTCCGTGTAAAATAATAATAAACTATTGCGTAGTTTTCCAACGTCAATTGCAGTTGTTTATCTTCGCGGTTTTTTCCAGTTGTATAGAAAATGATGTTGTTTTAGAAACGCCACAAATTGGCAAAGGAAAAACTGCAGTGCTAATTATTTTACAAATGAGAAAAATCACATAAAAATAATTGCCGGAAAATATTAAAAATTCAAATTTCCTCTCAGAATACAAATTTAATTATTTAACAAACAGTTATTTTTTAAATAAAATCGATCAAGTTTAAGTTGATATCAGGAACTTTTAACGAAGTCGTGATCAACTCATTTTTTTTATATAGAGCGACCGTATGTTGCTGCACCAAGTGCGTAATCGTGTTGCAAAAATGTTGACTGCGATTTTTCTTTCCTAATAACAAGAAGCGTAATGAGGGAAAATTCTTGGAAGTGGCAGCGCAATTGCCTCTGTTAAAATATGGGTCGGGCCTTTCATGCTTGCGGCCTGGGAACGCAGATTCTCATCTCTCAACTTTTGCCATTTTCGATCCAGTTGCGGTCGATTGAACTCGTACTGTCACTTCGAGAAACCAAAGTCGCCGCAAAAGTGCCAAGTTTGCTTGTTAAATTTGTTTTCAAAATGATACGAATCGCACTTTAAATGTTCTGCAAAAGAAAAATTTATTTATGAATAAAATTTAAGCAAAAACATAATCTGAATTTAATAAGAAATGATAAACAAATAAAGCAAACCAAAAAATACTTTCATATGTGTCTTTTTTTCTATAATTTTCAATCAATTTAAAGAAATGCTGATGAATATTTCAAAATTGGTATGATTGACTCGTTTTATAATAAATTTTGTTACCTCTTTTCGTAACAATCAGTAGCGACAAGCACAATTCACTTGACACAAATCTGCTCCCAAGTCAGGTATCCCTATTAAGGTTCACTGAACTCCTGGCCAGTCTATCAAATTACGACTTTAATTGTTATATAATTTTATATACATTTTTTTTCTTTACATAACGAAATGCGTCTTTTTTTCATTTGAACATTTCCAAGGAAGCGAAATTTCTGGAAATGCGAGCGAATTAAAGAAGCAGAGTTGCTGTTCCTTGGGCGTAATTTTCCGGTTAATTAAGGCACAACAACAATGATAAACCACGCAGTAGAATCACCAGAATTACACCTTATCTGACAGCGGCGCAGAGCAAGAGACGTGCACAGAGACGAATAACAAAAGAGAGAACGCATTTCTCATTACTGGTTCAAGTGAAGCATTTGTTTGTTTATCACCTTCATTTCTTTCAAACAGGAATATTTAAAATAAATCATTTGAGAATATTTTTACAGTCAATTAAACTGGTTCTAAATCACTTTAAAATTGATTCTGGAAAATAAATTCTTATTAAAAATAAGCGAGATTTAAAATGAAATTTTTCCTCTTGAATATTTGAATCTTTATTTGTAATGTTCCAAGATTATTATTGGAATTTTCCTACAGTTTACAATATTTTTACTGTAAATAAAGGACTCCTTATTGACTCTTCAATTCAAGTCTCTTCAACAATGGTCTTTAAAATTTGCAATTGTTCTCCAATAATTTCCAAAATGGTTTATATTGATGAGAAGATTTGTTTACTGTTCAATAAGATTTCCCTCGTGAATTCAAAAATTAGTTTTATCAGATAAAAATTATATAATAATTATTTTGAATCTCGCAAAATTCGGAAATTTTTTAACTTCTTTTACTGTTTTTTGCTGCAGTTCGACTTTTTAATTTAAATTTGAGCCAAAAATATGCACGATTTTAGTTTAAAATAAACTTCAACATTTAAAAATCATAATAATTAATAATCATTTAAAATTAGATCATTATAACTACTTTTCACGTGAGAATGTTTAATTTTATTCCCTCTTTTCCCAACGCAATTAGCGAGTCTACACAATGAAAATTCCCGTCGTCATTCAGATTATGCAAATTTTTTCCGCAATGAACTTTTCTGCCCTTTGAATGAAAATAATGTGCACATTTGCAGCAGGAAGCTGTCGTTTCCAGCCGAAAGCACCGAGTGCGTGTTGGACGTAAAAAATATTTATAAAAAGGAAAAAAATTCATTCTATGCCGAGTCTACGTCACGACGCGAATAACCTTGGTTCGAATCCCGCGCACAGCGTGCAATAATCCTATGGTAATTTCAGTTTATTATGTTTTTATATTTCGCGCCGCCCCCGGCACCGACCACTCGTCGCACCAGAAAATCGCAAACAACACAATGAGCGAGAAAAGTGTAATAAAAAGGAGAGCGAGACTCCAATTATCTGCCGCGAAAGCATCTCTTGTCACAATTATAATAGTAGTTATATGATTAAGATGAAGCATAGAAAAAAATAATGCGGTTCTCAATTACCGCTATGACTTAAGGAGGTTTTTGCATAAATTGGCAAACTAGGCTGACCAAGAAACAAATAAACTTTAAAATTTAATAGAAAATCTCCTGAAAATAAATATTCCAGAAATATAAATTAAAATTTTCATAAATTTATTAAAAATTTATTTTTTGAAAGTTTTAAAATAATATGAGTAATTTTGACAAAATAATTCATAAATATTTATGCATAAGATAAGATGGTATTTCAATCAATCAAAGCATTTTTGAGATAAGTTTGGTGGTTGTAATCAATGCATAATTAGAAAGCTGGTTACAGATACAGAAGGAGTTGTTAATCAAAAGAGCTGTTTTAAAAGATTGACTTTAAATCCACATCTTCAAACCTCAATTTTTTATTTAAAAAAATTGGCGTCATTTTTAGTTTTTATATTTTTATTAAGGCTGAAAGTTTCGAGTAACTTTTAAATTAAATCACTTGCCGTAATTTTGGCACAGAGGATTAATTAAAATAAATTATTGTTCTCATAAAAAATGAAAAATTAATTATTAACGAACGTGTTTTGTTGAATAATAAAACAAGGTAATTATGATTGAATTTGATAAAATATTATCTCGTCAATTAGGTCAACTAACTGATTTTGTGAAATTTAAAACTAATTGATTTTTATTCATCTTCATCATAAATTTTTTATTGAATCCTTATATTATTCCAATTTATACAAAACTAAACTATTCGGTCCATCTTATATTGTTAATTCACAGAAAAATTAGTTTCACTTTTGGATTGGGAAACCGTCAATGATTTCCTCCAATTTCCAAGCCAATTAAAATAGATGAATTTTCTCTCTCTCGATATGAAAGCAATCGAGTCTCGGGAGAAAAATAATTTTATTTGTCATCAGCCCAAGGCTATATAAACGAGCAGAGTCGAGAAAGACGACAATAATCATGCTTCTTGCTGGCGTAATTACATTATTCGTGGCTCCGCGGGATGAAATTGCATGTTTTCCGAATGACGCGTCTTGGCGGCACCGGAATGCCAATAATTGTAAACTCGCAAATGGCACGTACCTGCCTCACACTCAGCTGCTGCACTGGAATCTCCTCCAACTTTCATCTCTCTCCTGATGCTCAAGTGCAAGAAATAGCTAAAAAATTCTGAAACACACCATCATGTAAAATTAAAAAAAAAACTCATATTTGATGAAATCGTCGGCTACGCGGCCAAATGACCACTATCCCCTCCACTTCATCCCATTTAGTTCCATGCAATAGACGGTAGGGGCGCCACCCCAGAATGGCCATTTGTCCGCGTAGCCGACGAAATACAAATTTTCTAAGTTTTAAATTATACAAACAAGATCATTTACAATTTAAAATTTGCATTATTTATTTAAGAATTCAAAGTTATTTATAACAAAATTTCTCTTAAAAGGAGCAAAACAGAGCAAAGACAAAACGAGTCAAAAACAAATAAAATAAAAATTATTATAACACGAATTTTTTTTCCAATTTTAGAAAATGCAATATTCATTTCTTGTTTAATTTGAATCAAAATTAAGGTTTTTTTTTATAAATTTTAATGCGTCTCTTTTTTATAATTTAAAAAGGATTTGATGGCCAGTTAGTTGCGTGACACAGTGACCTTTCTGGCCAAAGTCAAGCGCGTTTTCTGGCGGCATTCCTTGTTCCTCTTCTTCTCTGCTTCTGGTTGCGCCGCCGCGAGTGGAACAAAAAAATAAAACGTCTCGCTCGGCGGCGCCAGCCGGGCAGAAAATGAGATAATAAAATGCATTGTCTCTGGCGGAACACACGACGGATTGCTCACCGTTATACATTACAATAAATCTCGTCTTGCAGGAGAGCGAGCCGGACTCGAATCCAATAATCAGCTGTTGGCCGTCAGCAGACGCAGGAATTAAGTCGAGACTCCTTCCGCGAATCACGCGGTTATGCAAAACACTTTGCCCAGGGCGAACTTCTGCGCCACATTTCAAAATCAATAAAATATATTAAATAATAATAAGAAGTTCTGGTTACAAAAAAAAAGCATAAAAAAATTTATTTTTAAGCAGAAAAGTGTAAAATGGAGAATCCGCCTATTATTAAATTTCTGATAAATTTTAATTAAAAATTCTCATTTTCTATAATTTTAAGCTTTTTCAATATTTTGTATTAAAATTAATGAAAAAATTCTTATAATAATTGAAAATTAGTACATTCATAAATTTTTAAATTTCAATAAAAATGAATCTAGACTTTTTTTTAAAATGTTTTGTAATAATAAGCATATTATTTTAATTAAATCAAAAATTTATAAGGCAAAGTATGAAAATTATGCGCATTGTTTTTATTCCTTGCAAGTTTTAAACTTCTTATTATGAAGAAAAAAAAGTGCTAAAATGTTTAATTTTTTTCATATTTTTCCATTTTAATTTAATGAAAATAAACTAAAATTTTATTATGTTTTTAAAAAGTATTTTAATTTGCATTATCTCTGAAAATTTAATTATATTTTAACAACGCAGTAGAATAATTAATTTCGTAATTTTCAAGTGAGTGGCACTTCGCGGTTGGGGGTGAGAAACGAGCAAAGAGATGAACAAATAAATGGAGAGTTAAGAAACAATAATATTATGAGATCGGATTGCGCACTCGGAAAAGTGTGTAACAAGAAAGGTCCGATCAGGACGATAGAAAAGTGGTCTGAATTTATATTGTTGTGACAGCAGATCGAGTTGCAAAAATTATAATCCGCCGCGCATTTCCTGGAACGCGCCGCCGGCAAAACCTGAGAATCAGATTCTTTCTTTCTCTCCATCCGTCCGTCCGTCGTTCCGCGTTGGAGAAGCCGCAGAAAAAAAATTAATGAAACCAATCAGGGGAAAGAAAGATATTCAGGTCAGACGACATAAAAAGACCAAAATTAATATATAATTCCCTGGAATTTAAACGGTTAAATCTTTTCGCGCAAAGCAGAAAGTTCTTTATTTGTTTTTTGAACCATAAAAGTTTTGTCAAATATTTGCGGCGGTCGTAAAAGTCAATTACGGAGCCAAGACCGGAAGCTCGAAATTTTACTGAGGAATTTTTAGAAAGAAAACATAATTATGCGAATGACGTCACTTTTTGTCCTATTGGATCATCGCATGTGTGTTTTTGTTTCTACTTGGCCGCTCCGTGAAATTGCCGCTTGCCAAAATAAAAAAAAAAGTGCTGATGACTGACCTGAGCACATTAAATTCATAGTTGTGCTTCCCAATGAGTCAGCCAAAGGTCAAGGAACTAAGCGGAAAAAGTTGATTGTCTAGATTTGATATGAAATTAAAAATGGAAGTTTTCGTCTCAAATTTGTTTAGAAATCCGACAATGTGGAAATATTTTACAAAACACAAATTATTTAATAAATAAAATAAAAAAATTCAAGAATATAGATTATTTCAAATTATTTATCTTTTAATTCTAAGTGAAGATATTTTAATTGAAATAAATCGAAATAAATTTTAATTATTTTTTAATACTAATATTTTTGCCTTTTTTTTATCTTTCTTGATGAATGAATTGTAGATCAAAACAAAATATATACTTTTTTTCACTTGCTGACTTGCTTTGATCTAAATAAGTGAAATTCCTTTTCAAAGTGTCACCGAGAAACTTGCACTTGTTTGCTTCTTCAATTCCTCTTAAATTATCTCACATATTTTCTAGGAAAGCAAACTCAAGAATCTCCGGGTAAAATCATTTTTAGTTCAATTAAAGACGTGCAAAATTGGTTTTATTGGAATTTTATAATTAAAATATAAGTAATAAAAACACAAACAAACCTACTTGTTTCTGGCACACATTGATTGATTTGTAAAATTAAACAAAATCTAATTCCTGCCCAAAAAAATGTTTGTATTTTATTATTTTGTAAATTCGTGCTGAAAGTTGTTTAAATTTTAAATTAATTTTTTAATGGTTTCTAAAAAATATAATTTTAAATTATAATAATAAGTTAAAAAACATTTATTTAAAAAGATAAGAAGTAACAATTTCTCAAACTTTTGAAATTCTTTCTGTCCAACAATTATATTAAATTAGTCTCATATAATAATTGAAATTTCCAATTATTTGTTCAATATTTTTTATAAATTTTTCTTCCTAGAATGAATGGAAGGCAATAAATAAAAACGGAGGTGCTGACAGAGTTTTCTCGCCATCGCGCAGCTGAGTTTTCTTTCCTCGCGTCTGCCGGCCAGAATACAAATTCGTCCGAGGACGAATCAACCAAGCGATCTCTTTGCGAGAATATCAATTGCCGCGTTTGTGTGCCGAGTGTGCTTGTGAGATATTATTTTTATTCTTTCACCGCGTGCAGCCGCTCTCTGTTTAGTAATTCCAAAGACTTCTTGGCGTGCTCGAGAAAGAGAGAGAAAAAAAAATGCACAACGGCAATCACTTCGCTAATTGCATTCCGAAATAATGCGCTGACAAAAGAACGTTTGTGCGAATCTAAGGAAAACAAGCCGTGAGCAGCGTTTTAACAAATGCAATAATTATATTGAAAGCTGCAGAACTACTTGGTATATAAATAGGCGAAACCTTGCGGAAAAAAATCAAGGCTTGGATAAAGGGCAAGAAAATGGAGAAAAAACAACAATTTTAATGAAAAATAAAGAATTTTTTTGTTTACTTTTATAATTATTGGAATTTAAAAAGAAAAATACATGTTTCAATAAATGTAGCCATTAAATTTCAGAAAAAAAGTATGAAAAAATGTTTATTCGGAAAAAAACAAAACAATCTATATTTTTACAATTTTTTACGAGAATTTTCTTAATTCCATTAAAAAAATGCAATTTTTCAGACTTAAACTGAAAAAGGAATTATCTGATCGACTTCCAAAGAAGGAACAACTCTCTCAATGAAGTCAATTGAGCGGACAAACATTTCACTGCTCGCAGACTGGCTCTCCTTGTAGCAATTTTTCTGCCTCGATTGGCTTCCTACAACGGCAAAAAATTTAAACTTGCGCATTTTTATTAACCACTCCCTCATTATGAGACAAATTTTTACAATATCTTAGGGCGTATCGATTTTTGAAGAAAAATTTACAGTTTTAAGAAAGACGGAATTTTTGTAAATAGGTTCCTGCCGGAGGAGGATTATTTTGTATGGGCCCGAAAAAGAAACGATTCGGTTCGCACCGGATTTTTCATAAATGGAGACTCGCCTGAGTTCTCTGCTTCGAAAGCGAGTTGGTGCGTGAATGAATAAATGGCCGTACTTATCCATTATGTAAAACTATATATAGGTGAAGAAAGAGCAGCTCGAAGAAATTCTTTTGCTGTGAAAAAAAAACGTCACTGGTATATAACAACCAACTCGGAAAGTTGAACAACCTTTACATTTATTCCGTGTGGCGTAATTTGCCATCGATTTGTGTCAATCATCATTAAAGAAAATAAAGACAGTGATATTGATTCTAATAATACGTATAAAAATCTAATTAAATGGGTTTAGAAATTACTTCCAATATTTGACCATATTTTAAACAATTAAAATACAAAAAGGAAATAAAGTAATTTTAAAATGTTATAACCGGATTAATTGTATCTTTCAACTGCATATAAGATTCATAAAACGATTCTAATATCTATTGAGATGATTAAAAAAATTAGTGAAATATAATTTTAAGGAAAAAAATATTTTAATAAGAAATTCTCAAAAGAGTCAATATAAAAAGAAATTTTTTTCCTAAATCATCCCATTTTTTTATTTTGACGTCTCCTTGGAAATGAATGAAGTCTTAAAATTAATTGATAAAATATTCAACAAATTTTGATGGTTTTTTTCTGGCAGAAAACTCCTTCTTTTCATCATTTCAGTTCAGCGTTTAAATTCTAAAATAATAAATAAATCAGAATTCATCCATTAAAAATTATTAAAGAAAATTTGCAGAAATTATCAATGTTATATAACCATCAAGACTTTATGTGTGTAGGAAGCATTTTAATGAAAGATGATATAAATAGAATGTTTTCAATGGAATGAACCTAACCTTCCTCTACACAAACGTCCTTTAAACGCCAGCGCCGGTAATTTATATTTAACTCGTCCGACGTGGTTTTGAATAAAAAATTTATTTCCGTTCCAAAGACAATGTGTATCAATTCAGAACAAACTTCTGTTTTGTTGTAAGTAAATAAAAATAATCTAACAGGACTTAATTAAAATACTTTCACTGTGCTTATATGCATGTGTGTTTGTTGTAATTACAAGCGTTGAATAACGTGCCGAGTTAGAAATTGCCGGTGATGAAAATCATCTCTCGTCGCCGCCTCGAGACACATTAATTATCATCGGCGCGACTCGGGATCATTTCAATTTTTCATCCAGCGGCGGCGAGAAATGACATCTTCTTTCCTACGGCGCGTCGCCATTTCAAAGCAAGTCTGTACTTTCTATTTTATTTCTAGCGTTGAAAGGGAGAGAAAGAAACGCCTAATAAGTCCATTCAGTCCACAATCGTCTCGATTTATTTATAGAGAGACGCTTTCGGGGAAATTGCCAGATTTGATCGACAACAGCGAATCATTTTAATTAAACTGGGTTCAGAAAATTAGAGGTTTATGTTACTGGAATTTTCTAAGCTAAGGTAGTTTTCAAATAAAAAAAATTCTTTTTTAATGTGACAATTTTTAGAACAGGGAACATGAAAATAAGTGGATATTATTTGCATAATTTTATTTCAATGTTGATTTTGTTAATACATAACTTAATTTTTAATTATATAAAATTATTGAATAAAATAAAAATACCTCAAATATTTAAAAAACAAATTAGAGGGTATAATTATTAAAAACAGCTTATTAGCAGCTTTAATAATATAAGAAATCATAATAATTTCACTGATGAGTAAAAAAGTTAAATTATTAGGAATTGTTCTTAATAAATAAATAAACTATCAAAATTTTGCAGAATTTTTTGATTCTAAAAAGAAAATTATTAAGAAATGATGAACCCTAAAAAGGATTCGCTGTATTTTTAAATTGTTTGCCTTATTCCGAAGCAAAAACTTCAAAGTAGTTGGCATTGAGTAATTTTTTATAGCATCTCACGAGATGATGATTACGCTCCATAAGCCTAGCCAAACCGATAATTTGGCGAAACCGCCTTGAATCACTCATTACCTGCGAGTAACGAGAGAAATAATAAGCGGCTGTCGCTCCAGGATGCTGCGTGTAACTTTCGCCGTGATTGATTTGGGGTCATTCCAGCTCGACGAAACAATTTTAGTGTCTTTTCCTGTGACCTGCAAGGTTGATTTACGAAAAAAAAATCTGATTGATCTCTTCAGAAGCTTTTATGGAAATGCGATTGAACTTGACTTTGGCCAAACAAGGTGAATTATTTCGTGATTTTCTCTCCCGCGGCCTTGGCGGAATCGCGGTGATATAATATTTAGCAAAGGTCAACCTCCTCCGGTCGTTCCTAGACAAGTGTTTTGCAATTCTCTAACGCGAGAGTCTATATTTGAATCCATCTTTGTCCAATAATTAATAATATGATAAAAAAAAGTGAAAAAAAACCAAGCTACTGGAAATGAAATTTCAAAATCCATGATCCTTACATTTATCCGCAGGCATTTATAAAAGTTTTTGGTATCGGTCCAAAATGCGTTTCGAAATGTACTTAGTTGCAACAAAGTTATTAGCAATGTTGTATTATAATAACAGCAGTAACTTGGATGCAGTTAAAAAAAAATTTATTACAGAGATGCATTCTTCATTTCTTGGCCGGCGCCACTGCGAGAAAGTTTCCTTCCATTAGCAGCGGCGGAATGCAGCAAAATTATAATGATCCAGCTCGAATGGAAGGAATTTCAGAAATAAATTATATTATTTTACTTCGTGCAGAGGAAAATGTGCGAAAATAGCCATCAAGGTCGCGGACAATGGGCAGAGCAACAAAATCGAGATCACTTGAAGCGAATTTTTGCAAAGGAGGAGAGAGAAAAAGCGTTCAACCTTGAGAGGAATAACATGCTAATTTGCCAGCACTTTGACTAATAGGCTGTAAAATTTATTTATATTTACAGCTTTCAGGCCTTCCAGTATTCTTCAAACGCAAATATCATTCAAATAAAAATATTTAACGTTTGAAAATTTAAATTCCTTTTGTAAAAATGATGAACAGTTAAAATTATTTTGGTCTCTATCCTTGAACAGACCCCCTTTGTGGCTGAATAAAATCGCACTTGACTCTTACAATGAAGTAATGGCGAATTGCAAATAGCGCAATTAGCACTCGCAACAATGGCTAACATCAAAGTACCAACACGATAATTCATCCTGAATCGGATGCGAACCGCGCTCGAAACCAAGAGTGACGCAATCGTGGAATGAATAATTTTTATACTAATTTTCTTTCCATTCATGATTTAAAATTTGAATTAAAACGAGAACTTAAATCAAATGGATGCATCAAAATTAAAGTTAATTGAAAATTTTATCAATTTTGAAGCAAAATTAGCAAATATATTTGAATTGCAAAATATTTCATTTAAAATTTTAAATGTTCTACAGATTTATATTTTGTTTTTGGAAATATAATGAGTTTGGAAAATAAAAATCAAAATCTGGACTTGGAAATTGGGTCGGTTGACAATACTTTTAATTCAGATCATGCGACGACGACTCAGTTGCGTCACTGCGATCAAAAACCAAAGCCAAGCTGGCCCATATCCGTGACCCCGCCTTGTGCACTTCCGCTTCCACACTCGGCCACGCAAACTGAAAAGGCCGAACCGGGCCGATTCCTTTTTAATAAACTCGATCAAATTGCAAATTCATATATAACTGAAACTGACTTTGTAATTAATGAGATCTAGAGAAAAATTATTGCATTCGATCAGAACGGAAAAGGACAATGTTTGTTTATTTTATTATAAATTCAAATCGATTTATACGCGCGGGAAGAAAGTGATCGCAATAAATTTAATTCCGAGCGGATTAGAATAAATGTCAAGGTCGCGGGGAATAAATAATTTACCGGGTGGCGATGAATCAATCACGGCTGCTTTCTAATGACCAGGATGAGAAATGGACCAACGGACCGGGATGACGCCGCCGAGTGACAGCTCGGAAAAAAGAATATCTCTCATCGCTCATAAAATAACGCATTCCGCGGGCCGCGTGTGCAAATAATCAGTAATTACGGTGAAGCGCCGCGGGCAGTGAAAAAAGATTGAAATGTGAAAGAATCGAGCACCGGCTTTTCACTTGACACATGTTGAAATAGGAAGAAATTTCTGCATCTAATTATTTCTTTTCTGCGAATAATTTAAAGGAGGAAAGATTTTTATTATTTTGTTCTGTATTTAAAAAAAATTATGTCATAATTTTATTTTGTGTAAGTTAAATAATATTTAGATTATTTATCATTAGCAACAGAACTGATTGTTTAATGTTTGAAGAAAATCCATATTTTTTTATAGCTTTGACCATTAAATTTCAATTCAATTCAATTTGATTTTTTACTAAATTTATGTACCAAAACCAATGGTTCATTCAATTTCAATTCATTTATCTACTTTCATATTATATTTAAAACAGATTGTGAAGATTTTTTCTTTAAATGTGATAAAAATCTCTCACTGCCCTTCGCATCAACAAACACAGCTGGCTTTGCACTTTACTCTGCCCATATAAGTGGAGAAAAAGAGGAAAGCAAAAATAAATAAGACAGATTGACAGATTTAAGCCTCATTGCGATTTAAAGATTGAAAAGGCGAATCAAGTGAAAACTCTGCTGGACGCCGAAACTTGTTCCCTTATCGCATTTTGCAACTTCGATCTGAGCTTTGATTTCCAAACTGGGGCGAATTTGCATGAAAACAGCATTAATCGCCAATCCAGGCCAATCCATTATTGTTTTAACAGACTCATTTCAGGTCATATTAGACAGACGAGACGCTAAAATTTGATGTTATTTTGTTTTCAGATGGAAAGGCAGCGTTTACAAATTGATCTACAGGGAGCTCCTCGTCTACCTTAGCTTTTATTACGCCATTAATCTCGCCTATAGACATGTTATGAACACAGAACAAAAAGAGTAAGTTTGTTTTCTATAAAAATTTAACTTAAAAATGATGATTTTAGCTTCAGGATTAATATCATTTAATGTAATACTTCAAAATGTTAAATTTAAAAACAAAATTATTTCAATTCGGTTGAAGTGAATATTTTTATTTAATTGTGTTTAATTGGAAATGTTTTTTTTAAATTTAAATAAATTCTTGAATTATTTTACTCAAATTGATAATTGTTTTAATTCTTTTTAATCAAATTTTTATTTGAAATGAATTTTGTCAAATATTGAAAAAAGAACCACCGCTCTAAATTCGCTAACCTTCACGGTTTGTGAAGCAGAATGGTTCGTTCGTCTGCCTTTCCACACACAATTTTTTGCCCTGATCTCCTCTCGCGTGTGAGAGAATTCAATTCCATGGAGCTTTTCTTTCGATGTGCTTTAACGCTGCACGTTCAAGCGAGCAAAAACGTCCACCAGCTGGGGGCAAAGTCCTTTTACTTTGATGGAAAAAGATCTATTATACCATTTATCTCTTTTTTAAAAGCTGAATTATTTACAATTTGAAATTAAAATTATATTTAAATAAAAAATTAATCTTGCACTAAAATATATTGTCTTTTTTGTAATTTCATTATATTATTAATTATTTTAATTAATTTTATTCCAGAACTTTTCAAAGGGTTCGAAAGTATTTTGGCGAGCAGACGGAAAGCATCCCGATGTCATTTGTGCTCGGCTTCTACGTCACACTGATAGTCAAGCGGTGGTGGGAACAGTACAGACTGCTGCCCTGGCCGGACTCGATGGCCCTCTTCGTCAGCGCCGCCATTCCCGGACAGGTGAGACAAATTTTCAAATTATTTATTTTCGTAAATCAGATTAAAACTGGCTGGGAAAATTTCCACAAATAAATGAATATGAAGTCTATTTTTGGATTTTTGGAGGGCAATCATTTACAATTAGTCACGGGCGGTGATTTTATTTTCGAAGGCGGAGAGGTGGAAAATTCCTTTTAACACTATTTACCTCGTTAGAATGAATATTAAACCGCTGATGTAACACAAGATAATGAACAAACAGATAAATTAGTCCGAGTAATTTGCTTACAACTTAATTATACTCCTTTTTCAATTATATAGAATTTAATTTATATAATAACTAATTTTTCTAATAAAATATAATAATTTTTACCGCTTTTTCTGTTTATGAAGAATAATTGAGAATTAAAAATGGATTTGAAATAATTAAAGATTAAAAATTAAAATAACAAAATACACAAACAATTCTATGAATTTTTTAATTTTCTTTTTAATATTCCAAGTAATTATTTCTTTTAATTTTTAGACATTTTGCACCTACATTCTTATAATTTTTCCATGAAATTTTCCTTTTCCCCTAGAAATGAAATATTTTTGAATCAATGATCCCAATTTTTGCTTAATTATTGAAGCCAATATATGTTTATTAATTTAAAAAAAATACTTCTTTAACCAGCATCTGCAAAGAGTTTAAAATCTTCCTTGTTTTTTTACCCTCAATAAATGTTGAATGATTTAATTCTTTTTGCAGGAAGAGCGCGGGCGGCTGATGCGCCGAAACATTGTTCGCTACTCGATGCTCAGCTACGTCATCACCCTTCAACACGTCAGCCTCAGGGTGAAGCAACGCTTCCCCACCTGGCAGCACATGGTGGACGCAGGTCAGTCGCTCATTCGACCTTTCCTCAGGGTCAATCGATTAAAAATCGGAAATTTTTTAATATATGGAAAATTTGGCTTTCTTGATTTGTATATTGACGGATTTCAACACAAAGTATACAAGTTTGTTTTTACACTTTAATTGATCGACGATTTAATAGCGATAATTAAAATTCAGCCTCGTCGTGAATCAATAATTACACGTTTTACTTTTGCCGCGCGATAATTATTTGCTGGCCGACCGGACTGACCTTTCTCAATCTTCCCTCGTTCCCGTCGGTTGACAGGTCCTCGATCTGATATAATTAAATACTTTGGTACGTTTGAGTCGCGGCCGAGCGTGAAATTTGATTATTTACGAGCCGATTGCATCATGAAAACGATTTAATTACACCGTCGTTAAATAGGATGTAACAAGCGCGGTGATCCAGTTTGCGGTTGAAATTTAATAAAATAAAATCAATACTGAATTTATAAATAAAATTAAATATATGATGTGTGTAAAATGTGATACGTTTGCCCTCAGTTCAGTTGCCTTTACGAGCAGTAATATCATTTAATAATTTAATTTAATAGATAATTGAAATTTTCTTATAAGAAAGAGCAATAGGGGTAATTACTCGACATAATTATACTTATTCATAGTTCAAAATGATCAATTTCAATATTTAAATATATTAAAACTATTAAAACTTGTTAGATTGAAATTAAATTTCTTATTATTAACAAAGATTACTTTGACGATATAACAAGACAAATTTATTGCATGAAATAATTACAAACGAAAAGTTTAAGTTGCATAAATTATTGATTATTTTCAAATCTTTTTGGAATAGCAAGAATTAGTTTTATATTTTTATCATTATTTTGTTATCTGAAATGTTGAATTTTATATCAATTAAACTGTTTAAGGAAAAAATAAAATAAAAATTCAGTTTTAATTTAGGTAATTGCGTTTCAATCCATGAATAAGAGAATAATTAAAATTAAATCCAATGTGGACCTTTCACGCCAATCCATCAATTTGTATGTCACCCTGGGGTGCTTTGAACCGGATTTCAGTTGCTGTACGTTTTGTTGAAATGAAAAGGGACGAGTGGCGCCTGCAATCGCGGCGAACAAACTCTCTCGTGCAATTTGACGCGTCGATCTCGAGCCGCTCGTTAAAAAGCGACAACAAAAGCGATCTCAAATTCTTTACAGCTAATAAAAAAAATTAATGACCAGCAACTCTCGCAGCCCGGTGAGAGTAATTAGAATTGTTTTGGACACCGTTAGCCCCAAATTAAATCGCACATTCCTCTCGGCTCCGAGATGGAGTAAAAAATCTATTTCTTACCCTTGGCCTCGAAAAAGGTGCTCAATTTTGCGCCAGGTTTGCATCGCAATATCAAACTCCACTTTGACAGGGAACAGGGAAGTGAAAATAATTTAAAAAGTAAAGAAAACAAGCAGAAAATAAAAAAATTGTTACTTACAAAAATTAAAATTCTAAAAGTTTCATCAAAAAATTTATTTTCATTGAAATTTCTAATACATTTCAAAAAGTTTTTTGAGTCGAGACTGACAGTCGTTTTTTTTAGTGATTAAAACTTTATTAAAAAAAGTAACAAATAAACTGTATTTATCAAAAATTTTTGAATTGACGGCTAAAAATTAGCAGCAGGCTGATGTGAAACGAATTTTAGCAATTAATTTTCATCCGACGTTGTATTTCAACTCTCAAGACAAACATCTGAAGTCCTTTCACATTTTTCCTGCTCCTAATTTTGAATATTTCTGCGCTTTAGTTATCGCACTGCCCTTGGCTTTTGGTCTAACCGATTCCGCGAACAAATTAAGCCCGAAAATTATATAGAGAGGCTCGTTAGAATTTTAGTGCAACTCTCTCAGCACTTCCTGTCGCCTGCTGACCTTTTTATCGTCTCAACGAAGGGCGGCTCCGTACTTTGATTAATATCTCTTGCGGATAATTAAAGTAAGTCACATCGCAAGAGATTGCGGAATCTTTCAAATGGCTACCGATTCGCCTTGCGCGACGAGTAAAAAAAAAACTCAATGAGAGAAAGAGAAGGAAAATTGCGAGACTTATAAACAAGAAGTGCCGCGCGATTATGCAAATGTTTCACCGTTACCTGACGCTGGTAATCTTCAGTGCCTTAGAATATTTTAACCTAAAAAGCATAGCGTTAAAATAATAATAAAGTATTGAAAAAGAATTGGCAGGAAGCTTTCAAGGAAGTTAAATTAGAGAAGAGGAGAATCAGGTTTTGGGAAAAAGTTTGCCTACAGATCCATTTCTCTTCCTTTTTGATTTGACCAGAAATATAACTTTCGAATTAAATTTATAAAATAAAATGATGGAAAACTATTTAAAATTCTAGTAAAATACTCTGATTGTGAAAAATGTTAAATTTTAAGTATTAAGTGGCAAAACAAAAGTCACAAAATCAGGTGAGGTTAAAATTTTGAGATAAAATGATTTTTTTCTTTTATAAATATAATTTTTAGTCCTGAAATGTTAAGAAAGGAATCAAAGTAATTAAAAATCTTATAGAATTCCTTCTTCTTCCTGCAAAAAATATTTAAAAATTTCATTTTTCGTCTTACAGATTTTGAATCAGAATTCATTGGAAGCGAATTCAAATAAAATCTACATTTATTACAAAAATTAATAAATAAATCTCGTTTTTAAATAATAAACTTATTTTAAATTAATCAACTATTTAAAAAGGTTCCAAAAAAACTACTAATAATCTTGTAATTAATTAAATCAGTTGTTTTTTAAAAAAAGACTGTCTAATAACTTGTTCTTTTAGTTCAGAAATTCCTAATTATCAATAAAATTATAGAAAAAATTATTTTTCAGCTCTTGAAATTAAAATCAGTTTGAAGAAAAATTTTCAATGCTAAAGAATTTAAATAAAAATTAATGTTTTTACAAACTTTTTCATCAAATTTATAAATTTTGACTAGGTTAATTTCCATTCAAATTCGTGGCGAAATATTAGACATTTGTAAAGAAAATTGCCGTCTTATTGAATAAGAACCACTTCCTCGTCAATTTGCTGAAAATGAGCCACGACACTGGCGTCTAATTAATAAATTACGGTATTATGATAATTAGCTCGGCAACTCTTCCGAGAAAATACACAACAACAGTTTAATTAATGACTTTCACGCCTCAGTCAAAACAAATACAAAGTCGGAGCAAAAGAAATATATAATTTTTCAGTCGATTTTGCTCGAGATATTGTAAAATAGCGCAAGTGAAAGTGTGTGTGTCGTCGTCGTGTTGCTTTTGCTAATCAATTTGCTCGCTTAAGAGCAGCGGCTCAGGGAGGAATGAACCCACAAATAATAAATTACCAGCAGCCAACTCTCGGCTGGCGCCAATGTTTATGCCTTTGAAGCAGAGCGGGCGCTGCAAAAAATGAAAATAACATACACGATATAATAACGCAGCGGCAGCGCAAACTAGAGCTCGCATTTCTTTCTTTCTTCTTTTTTTTATTCACAGTGCACCACTTTTTCCCCGCAATCAGCTGCACCCGCGGCGGCCGTGCAGACCGGAATAATTATTATTCATTGCGCCTCATTTCTTTTCTTTCGAGAGAATAACAATGCGCGGCTTTCAAAGTAAATAATAAAGTCCGACTTGTGTAAAAGCAACAATAATTGAACTTTTGCGCGCTCTCAACAACAAACTGGTTTTTGCGAGTCGCGACTTTTCTTTTTCAGCCGGCGACGCCTCTTCAGTTTTTAAACATGACACATTTTTGCTGCGTCAAATTTCGAGGGGATTAAATTTTCATAACTGTTAACAATACAAAGCAGGATGATTTGCTTTTATTAAGAGAAAAAAAATTATGAGGAAAGGAATATTTAAAAATTTAAATTAGGGTTTAAAAGTGGATTAACAATAATAGAAGGGATAATTATTATTAGGTTTTACAGTGCATTTGATTTTTTGAAAAATGTATTTTTATTTAGTTTGTAAATTTTAAAGTCAATTTTTATAAAAATTAAAATTATTTTCTTAAGTTTGTTATGAAATTTGTGCTAAACAGATAGATTAGTAATTGAAACACAAAATTTTTCAAAAAAGTAAATAAAAATTTTAAAGATTATATTCCATCGGCGAAAAAGATCAAGATATTCATTTCAGTCTTTTATATTTTAAAATCAAAATGACGTAAATTACAAAAATTCGTTGTCAGAATTCATTTGGGAGCGGATAAATTAATCGAAACAGTTTTTTCACCGGTCCAATAGTTAACTTATTTTGCTTTGAAAATGAATTAAAGACAGCAGCAAAAATAAATATACAACCAAATTTTTCTTCAATTTTTGCATAATTTTAAAAAAATCCACAGAAAATATATTTATTAAAACCAAATTTATTTTCCTTCGCGCACCATAAAACGTACCATTGACATTATTATAATCTTAAGGTCCGGGCCGCGAGTGACACAACAATAAACAGGCAAAAATCCACTCCATATTGGGCAATCGCCGGTGGCAATACGAATTTTCGCTTGCAAATTTGCACGCAAAAAATTTTGGCCGCGAGCTGCAATAATTGAAGTGCGAGGCTGAAAATCAGCCGCTTTCTGCTTAAATTAGGCACGCAGAAAACGAAATTGTATTAGGGCTGAGGTTTGTAATAATAATAATGCTCGCACAGGTACTAATTTGTTTTTGAGTGACGAGAGAAAGAAAGAAAGAAACACAAACGCGTGCGCCTTTTTAATATCAAGGGCAGGCCGTGAAAAGTTTCCTCCAGCGATCAAACCAAAATTCCTACCGTAGTCAAGGGAATGAATGTAAGTATTTTTTGTGGTGATCAAAATTAGAAAGAAGGTTATTTGGAGAAAAAAATTGCTAGACTCGAAGAGTTAAATAAATTCCTTTAAATTCATTTCAAGTTGGCTAACCTGAATTAAAGGTAAAGGGGAGGGGGTAATTCCAGCCAATCCGGATTGTTTCATTCTGATATTATTCATTGTAATTTTATTTACTTTAAATTGATCAAGTTTTGGTCATGAATCAATTCTATAATAATTCATTATTTAAAAAAATCAAAGAGAATTACATTTGAAGGGTAAATTTTCAAATGTTTCTCACAATATTTACCATTTTAACATTTTTGGAAGTAATTGAGTAAGTCCCTGACTAATTTCATTAACAAGGAAAAATTATTTCCAAAAGCAATTGTAAATTCCATGACTTTCGCTAGAGAAAAACATTAATGGTCATTTTCATTTGAAACTTTAAATAAATAAAAATTAAAAAATGTGTTGCCGCTTTTTTCCAAAAGTTTTTATTTTTACCCCAGCGTGACGGTAATGATCTCCAGACACATTATTTGCTGACAAATTTATTTCTCAATCGGCGGCTCATTAACGGTTTAAATTGACCTGGGCGGCTCCAAATGCAAATCACGTGTGCGTCTATTTGGAACAATGATTTCACTTTTTCACAGACACATAATTAATTTAACCTGCCGTTTGGAAAGATTTGATCGATTGCTTATTTTGCAGATTTCGAAATTGCAAAGAAATCAATCAATCAATCTCCTGCTTATTAATTAATTCACAATGGGTATTATATTTGAAAGGTCGTTGACACCTGATACACTCAGGAATGCGATTTTTTTTATCATATTCATCAAATCAACAATGATTGAAAAATCAAACAAAGGCAAATTTTTACAATAAAACGGTAGAGTCAGGTGTTGGCTGGAGGTCGACATTGAAGACATTTGAAATTTTATTTACATTCAAACGATAACGCGCGCAGAGGTACTTAAATAAAGCAATTACGGCCGGTTGCGTCATCCCAATAATAACAGCTTTTAAGCGCTCAATTATACGCGCGAGTGCACATTAGCATTGTTCCAGTTTTGCAATTCGCGTGCTGCTGACACCTTGTGTGAGTGGACCTGCTGACATTGATTGTCAAAAGGGCGCACCTCTAATTATAGCCATCTTGAAATCGTATGCGGCGTTAGTTTCATTTGCAATTCAAACGCTCATTTTAAATTAAAGTATCTGATAAAGATACAAAATTATAAATTGCAATTAAATAAAATTGTATTGTTTATTTAAAAGGTGCAAAAAAACGTGTCAACAATTTAATAAAAAATTGAGACTTTTCAAGCGTTTATAATATTCAGTTTTTAAAGCATGATTTAGAAAAAATTGTTAAACTATGTTGAAAAATTCACTCCACAGATAATTCTTAGCAAATTATTCCATTTTTATTAAAATTATGTCTGAATAAAAATCACTTTTTAATAAACAAGACTTTTTTGAGACCATTTTGAAACTTTTAAACATTTTTTGTGGACTTTTTTACAACCTTTGGTCACATATTTTAATCTTAAAATCCATTGAAATAATATTTCATTAAAATATTTACTGTTTTAAATTTGAGTGCTTCTGTTTAATTTGATATTAAAACGAAATAATTCTCCAATTGTCCAATTTTGCTAATTTAAAATTTACTTCCTTTTTACTTGCAGGTTTGATGATGGAAAGCGAGAAGAAGATCTTTGACCTGATGGACGAAAAGACGACGATGGCCAAGTACTGGATGCCGCTGGTGTGGGCGACCAACATCATCAACCGGGCGCGCAAGGAGAACATGATCCAGAGCGACCACGTCGTGCAGACCATGCTGCAAGAACTGTCCGACATCAGACGGAGGCTCGGCTCTCTCATCGGCTACGACACGGTCTGCGTCCCGCTCGTTTACACGCAGGTCAGCAAAAGTTGAATTTTTAAAGAAAGGAAAAGACAACTTATTTTGTCAGACACACACATGAGGTATAAAAGTGAAAGGGAAAATTCTCTTCACACTTTAAATATATCTGATCGTTGGTTCAAGAAAATTCTCCTAAATTTCAATAAAAAAAATATAAATCTTTAATTAGCAAATAATAGAAATAATTTTATTTTTTATGTTCCAAATTTTACAATATATTATAAATTTTTCTTGCTAAAAATATTAAAGAATTGTCTTTTATAGAGAGAGGGGAAACTAAGTGACCCTCTTTTTTTGTCAACATTTATTCTACATTTTAGCCAAAATGTACTTTAAATAGTGCCCAAATAATATAAATTAATTCAATTCATACATTCTCTAGCAACAAGTCATAACAAGAATTGGAATTTGAGGTTGTAGAATCATCGGAAAACAACCTATTTTTAGATTTTATCACCTGAAAATCCATCTTGAATCACCAATTTTCATAAAAATAGCCTCTATTTTTTTTTAAACATTTGCCTAAAAACTGCCAAAAACGCAATATTTTTATGTCAGATGATCATAATTTTCAAATTTGCCACTTATTTGCAAAAAAGTCCCCTTCTATAATCTTCCTATGTGTAGCCAATTTTAAAATAATTTTTCTCCTTCTTACAATTAGTCGGAGGAATTCTGTTATTTTCCCTCATCATTACGGATTTAAATTATTGAAATTAACCATTTCTTCACCATTTTATTTGTTTTTGCAGGTAGTGACGCTGTCCCTGTACACTTACTTCCTATCAGCCCTGTTGGGCCGTCAGTGTTTAGACAGCGACATAATCGACCTCTACTTTCCAATCTTCCTAATGTTCCAAGTAAGTCTTTTTCTGGAATAACCAATTTTTTTATTTCTTTTTCTGAAAGTTAGTATACAAAATTTTAACATATAGAGCGTTGAAATTCATTAAAGATTCAAAATTATTTTGTGGGAAAAGCAGTTCAACCCCTGATGAACCACTTAAGGGTGTCAATTTCGTTTGAGAATTTCAAAGTCAGTCATGAAATTTTGTTTACTTTCAGGATAAGAAATAAAAATAAATTACCGATTTGATCCTTTAAACTAATTTTGGCAAGTGTAGTTTTGCTTCTACATCGGGTGGCTGAAAGTGGCCGAGGTGCTGATCAACCCCTTTGGAGAGGACGACGACGACATCGAACTCAACTGGCTCATTGACCGACACATCAAGGTAAAAATTTGCGATTTTAAGAATTGGGCAAGGTGTGACCTTTTTCCTAGGCCGGGTACATGATCGTGGACGAGATGCATGAGGAGCACCCTGAGCTGCTGAAGGACCAGTACTGGGAGGAGGTGGTGCCGCGCGACCTGCCCTACACGGTGGCCTCCGAGCACTACCGCCGAGACGAGCCCAAGGGCAGCGCCCAACTCTACAGGGTCAAGGAGAGCGACGCCGTCTATGCCAACATGCTGCCCTCCAGCACCAAAGCAAACCACGAGGACGTCTATGCAGACTATGTGAGTAGCTGTTCGCTTTTTTTTATTTAAATCAGATGCAAATTAATTTTAATTCATATTAAATTTACATATTTATTTAAATAAAATATATTTTTTGCTTATTGATAGAATTTTTACATGAATAATTACACAATTTTGAAACAGTTGGATAAGAATTTCAAATTTGTTTACTTGTTTGTTTAAAAGACAAGAAATGTAATTGCAATATTTTTTTATGTAGTTGATTTAGCAATAAATTTTGGTTCAAATTTAATGATCAAGCAGTTTTAGGATAAAAGATTTGGAAATTTAATTATTTTAAACAATTGGAAGACTTTAATTTACCTTATTAAAAAAGCGCAAAAGTTTATGGAAATTTTTAGAGTTCAAATATTGTAAATAAAGAAAAAACAAATAGAGAAACTATTAATATTTTCTCCACTGAATTTAAGAATAGCTTTTTGGCATTAAATCAAGTTTTAACAAAAATATGAGCCATTTCTGGCAATTATTGAAAAACAATTGGAAATTTTAAGCATCAGTGTTGAAAATTTCCCCGTTTTTTATTTTTATAAAAAAAATTATTACCTAATTATTCATATTTTTGTTTAATTCTATCAATTTTTAAAACATTTGCATTTAAATTAATTGAGGTAAATTTGAATCTAAATTTTCAATTGATTTTGTGAAAAATTTGCAGGAAAGCGTGGACACGCCGTTGGTGGAGCGTCGGAAGAATTGGTTCCAGCGGCAGTTGCACCGCATGGGCAGTTCGCGCTCGTCGAGCACCGCCTACTCGTCGGGGTTGTTCCGCGGGGGCGGCGGCGGCAGGGTGCGCAACACGTCCATCTCCACCAACATCTACTCGACGACCAACGAGACGGGCCCGACGCACCTCGCCGTGCCCTCGGCCATGCCCAGCCAGGCGCACAAACTCTCCTTCTACGACCGCATCCTCAACCGCAAATCCGGACGCGGACAAATCAACAGAGCCATCGGCAGACAAGGTATGAATAAGAACAAATTTCAAATTGAAAGTTGACCAATCTTAATTTCATCTTAAAATATAATAGTTTAACAATTAATAGTTAAAATTTTAAATTATAATTCAAAGTTGTTTTATTTTCAGAAGAAAAATTTAATTGAATGATTTGAAAGTTTTGATATTATGTATTAAGTTTTTAAAATTTGTTATAAATATAAACTAATTGATTTTAATTATTTTAAGTCTAAATAAGTGACTGGTAATCAACAAAATAATCTTAGCTGTTCAAATAAGAAGAATATTTTTGAAAATTTTACTATCAAAATACAATCAGAATTATTAATTTAATTAGCATTCAGAAAGTTTTGGAATTATTTTTACAAAAATAATATTTTATCGACCAATTTATAAAAAACCATTGGATTATTTTAATTAAGCCTGCTCTAGTTTCTCTTCCCGATTCCGAGTGAGCATGAATAATAAAGTTTCTTGACCTCCACTCACTCTCGACGCCGAGTTCGTGAGTGAAAAACCGTATTCGTTCGATTTATAAATTAATCCATTTGATTTGCGACCACCCCGGAGCATTAATTTATTTTTATACCGCCGGTTTTTTTCGCGGATTCGTTTCCTGATCGTGCTGGCCGGCCGAGCCAGGCCCGGCGCTCATTGACATTGACTCGGAGTAACATTGACCTAAAAATGAATGTGCAGACCTACGCGGGCGGGCGGGCAAAGAAGAAGGAAAGGCGCGTGCGATTTGAGAGTGCTCGCGCGACACACCTTGCATCATTCATCATCGATTTCAAAAACGCCTGCTGGCAAGTGGCCCGCAAGGCTGCACGCTTTTCAGGAAATTTTCATCGCGTGTAAAAAAGTGACACGGTTGTTCCTCTTCCACAGCAATGACCTTTTTTGAACAGACCAAAATGATATTCCTCTATAGGAAAAAAATGAATTTTGAGAAATATATTCACCAATAATTAATTAAATTTTTATAACTCGTTTTTACATTATTTAGAATTGAATTCAACTTGTTTGATTTCACCAAATTATTTTCCAATTTTAATTATATCTGAGCAAGTCTCTAAGAACTATTTTCAGTTCTTGGAAGATTTTTTAAAATTAATTTTTAATTAATCCCAAACTGCTGAATAAAAAAATTTGTAAACCAAATCAAAATTAAATGCTGCATCTTTTGAGTATTTTGAATTTTTTCAGGTTGCAAAAATAAAGGGGCAGATAATTTCCCTTTTTTTACCTTTGGCCAGGGTCAATGGCGTTTGACCTGGAGAGTTGGTCACAATTTAGAAAAGATACCCTATTTCTTTAGCTACAAACACATACCTTTTGGATTGTAAATTTTTTTTAATTTTGGCAGCAGTTTTAGCAAATCCTTGTGAATGAATAATAGGAATAATATTTTGAATACACGCAAAATAAGTGAAATTTTCCAAATTTTGGTGCCTTTTTAAAACCAAAAGAATCATAAATCATTAAATTTTCACAAATTGAATAATTTTTTTACTACAATTCCTTCAAATAGTCGATTAATATCGAAATTTCCTTGATTTTTTTCACCTCAAATATTCTTGGTTTATTTCTTACAAATTCAATTTTTTATTAATCTTATATTTCATTTTAAATTTCCAATTTCTGCAGCCAAGCAGTTTCCTCTTTAAGCGCAAAACTCGTTTCAATTGTGTTAAATCTCAAATATCACATGGCGGATGTTGAAATTTCAAGTCATCGCCGCTTTATCTTGCCTCACCGTCGCTAGCTCGGCGCCCTTTTTTTACTTTCAACTCCTTTCGTTTTTCGTTCGCCGTGGCATTTTATTTTTGCGCTGCTCGGCGGCGGCTCGAGCGAACAATGACGATAATATTGCACAAAGCACCTTCTCTGCAGCGATCCAGCTTCAATAATTTTATGCTCACGTGTGTAGTCGTAAATACATCGGCGAGAGGCACAGAGAGAGACTGCAGCATGTATCTTATCTGCGCTTTCTCGCGTCGCCTTTTTAAATAAACGGCCTTCGCTCGCTCTGATATCATCGATTCAAATCTCAATTCAGCTCCATTTTCAAAAGCACAGGCGGAAAATATTAAAAATAAAATATCAAATAAATAGAAGGGAAAAATAGAAAATAAATAATAATAAAAAAACTATGGAAAAGATAAAAAAAATTATAGAATCATGGTTTCAAATTATCCTGAAAACCTAAATTTTTTTTTGTCTTTAAAAAACAGTTTTCATTTTGAATAAAAATAACACGGTTCACAATGATTCAGTTAGATCATTTATTTTTGTGCAAATTAATTCCATGAAATAGATTTTTTTAATTGCATAAAAAATATTTGAATAAAAATTATAATTATGTGTGGTCTCTTTTTTTGAAAGTTTGGAAAGTTTGTTATTTTAAACTTCCAATATCGATAGATTACGCCAGTATTTTTTAGAGAATTTAAATTGAGCTTCATTTATTTCAGTCAGTCTGTTGTACGAGTTCTTAAAACTACAATTTTCATTCATGCCGGTCGTTTTCTTTCAACACCAGGAAGCGGCAGTCGCGCCGAATAACAAGCAGGGCGTGTTTAAACTTTTCAAACCTTCGCATTGCATTATGTGGCTGGTTGAAAAGGGCCTGAATGTGGAGCAGAGAAGCGACTTTTCATTCACCCAACGCCGCGTCGCCTACGTGCGAATTCGCGTTGAAAATCACCACCGATCGCTGGCACTAAAAATTCCGATATAATTTCATACATAAATCGAGTTAATTTCACTTTTCCCAGGACAATCGGTGCCAATTCTGCGAAGAAAAATGGCTAAAAACGCGGCTGAAATCTCGCTTTTGGCTAGACAGAGCACAGACACGCTTTCTCGCATAAACAAAACCGCGCGCGACTCTTGAATTCAAATTTGCTCATTAACGAGCCGACATGTGGAGAAGAGAAAGAAGGAATTTTAACGCTTTTCTTATTTATTTGATTTAAAGTTTAAACTAAAATCAAAATAACATTACTGCCTGAATTTTTTCTTTAAAAATAATTGTAGTTTTTAAGTTAAAATAATGAGGATAAGTAAAGTGGAATATTAAAAAATGTCTTGCAATTTGATCAGGAATGGGATAAAAATTTTATCTAAGACATTTTATATTTTCATTTAATAACAAAAAAATTAAAATGTATATTTCAATTTTAATTCATATTACAGCTGATCTTTATTTTAATTAAATTTGTAATTTTCAGGAACAACCAAATTGAACGGTTCAGCGATTCCGCCCTCGCTGAAGAACAGGCCGCGCATTCCGACGCCGGACGTGACTCGGGAAATGATCGACGGTCACCGCAACAGCATTTACCCGACGGCGCCGCCGATTTCGCCGCCAATCTCGCCCACGCCTCTTGACAAAGATTATCTTCAAGAATCGGCGTCTCAAGAAGTTGACCACAATAACATTACCAGCAGACCATTCACGCCAACGTCAGAAATGCCAGCAGTTGTCCAGGTAAATTAATACAATTATGAAAATTTGGTAAATTTTGAGGTTTAAATTGTAAATTCTGCGCAGATTCATGCCATTTTTAATTTACTGTGGATTTCTGACTTTTATTATCTTTTTTATCAACAAATTCATTTCATTATTTTTAATTTAAAAAATTTAATTGCAGATTTTGAGCAAAATTTATTCGAGAAACTTCTCTCAAAGCGCCTTACTAATTTTAAATAAATTTTCAATAATAAATGATCATTAAATGAAATAAATTGTCATTAAATCCTAGAGCCAATTTGAGATTGTAATAAAAAACGCTAAAATTTTAAGTTTTGTAATTAAATTGAAAATATTTTGAACCTTAAAATAATTTAGCATTTAAATTAATGTAAATGTTTCCAACCTTCAGGTTCTTCTGCCGATCAAAGAGCAGGACGTGCCGGTGGTGGTGGCGACCTCGGCCAAGGGGGTCAACACGCAGCAGCTGGCCAAGGCGGTCTTCAACAACGTGTCCCTGCCCGTCCAGCTGAACCACCTGACCCTGTCGCCCGCCCAGCTGGCCGTGATGGCCTCCCTGCCCGCCAACATGTCCTGCGAACCGGACCTCAAGGAGGGCGTCCGGATCACGGAGCTCGACCCGTCCGGCGAAATCACAGACCGAAAGTCGAGCGTCTCCTCCACCTCCAGCGGCAACAACAACTCAAACCACACCAAGAGAGGCGAGGTCTACGTCTGAACAAGAGAAGAAAATTCAACAATTAATTGTGTGCCTTTTTGTATTTCATAAGGAGAACCCCCGTGAATTGCTCATATTTAGTAAATAAGGTTTGATTATTTTATTCTCATTATTTTTTTTAATTAAATGTACATGAATCTTGTGTATAGTCATATATTTTAATAAATTAAAACGCTTTTTGAAGCCCATACTTGTCTACTTGTCGGTCTTTGATCATTTTAATTTAAGTCTATTTTTTTTCATCAAAACAATTTAGACCGCACTGTGAATGCTTTGTATAAGTGATACATTATTATTCATGTACAGATTTACAAAATAATTGCTTAAGCTGTATTGTGATAGACGAGCGCGAATGATATTTTGGTGATACATTTACTGTGTATTTATATAATGAGCATTGAATTTTTTTAAATGTAGAACGCTTTGAAGATTAATGTAATTTCTTGTGATTCACAATAATCATATTGATTTTATTATATTAAACAGAGAAAAATTACTGCTCTTTGTTTATTTCCTTTTACCCAAGGAGTGTATTTTCTAATTTAATTGTAGATAAAATATTATGACTGGCTTACAAGGTCAGTAATCTTCATAAATAATTATATTTTCCCGAAACAATTACAACCACTCATGGTAAATTTCATAAAATGGGAATTCACTAAGAACTGACGCTTGTATAACTCTAGACTATGATATTAATAATAAATAGAAAAGAAAATAAATGAAAACTAGGCTTAAAAAAAGAATGCAACCTGCGAAGCACGTTCGATTTGCAGGTTGCATAAACCTTATTGAATAAGTTAACTCTTAACTTTGTGGCAAATAATTATTTTATGAAGTGAATTTGGTATTTTTCATCCTTTTATTGGTCGCCATTTTTATCAACATTTAAACCTTATTCTGAATATAGCGGAAATTTTAAAGTGATTTAGGAAGAACTATATCGTCTAAATGTGGAATGAACAGATTGGGCTTTTCCTGGAGTATCAATTTCTTCAAACAAACAGTCTATAAATGTGTTAATTTATTTTTAGATTTTTTTCCAAAAACATGAATGCATATTAACTTTTTTTGCGTCAAGACCCAGGCGTCATTAATGTCAAACTGTTGTTTATTAGCAAAGCGGGAGATTGGGTTTTTGAAAGGAAGAGGAATAATTTTCAGGCGCGACTTTGGTATTCCCGCAGTTGTTTAAATTTCATTAGTTGAACTTTGAGCTTCGACCAACGCACGAAAATGCTACAAATTCGCTACCGTTATTTTCTATTGACTGCTCTTTTTTATGTAGAAAAAAATATAAATTTCTTTTGGGGATACATTCAAATTATAATTTTTCAATCAACAGATCATCAGTGAGTCACAATCCGAGGCTGCAACTCCACATAGAAAAGGATTATCACTACAAATGGCAATAAGTACTTTGATTTTACATCAATAATTTTTTTAATTTACATTATATCAGAGTTAAAAAGCCAATCAAGGAGAAACGTCATCAAGTGCTGCGGTGGTTCAACATGCTTAGGTGTATCAACCCTTGTGCAAACCATTGCGAATCAAAGTGTTGAAACAACTCGATTATTTCCAGTAAGGATCGAGTTTTAATTTTCATGAATTCAATTTGAATTTAAAAACCAAATGAATATTATAAGTTTTCCTAAACGAAAGTTTTTCCCAAAGTCTGTTACATCTACCACTACGACAGAAGTTATGGTATCAGAAAGTGACGCGACCGAAACGGCTTTAATTGATACAGGAGGAACAAATTCAGGTTTGCCTTCTTCGTCAGAAACTAGGCAAGATGATTTTTAATAAAAGTCATAACGAATATTCAAATTTTTTCTTAAAGTAGCTCAACTGCGGAAGTTTCCATTTCTGAATCGACTACGTCGCCAATCCCATCAACCACTTCTTTAGCGGAATCTTCTACCCAAAGTAGTGGAAACTCAAAAGAGACGAGCACTATCAGCGCCACAACATCATCAATATTAAGTACATCATCAACAATCACCTCAACAATTACTTCAACCACCACTTCAACAACAACTAAGCCTCCAACAAAAGAGGCAAAACTTTTCAATACAAAATATATCACGCTGAAATTTAATTCTTAGGAACTCATTTTGGGCACTTGTGACATACCATATCAAATTGACGTAATATTTCTATCTTGAATAAGAAAATAAAGATTTACTTTATGCAAAAATGTGTTTTAAAGGTCAACGCTTTTAATACGGACGGAACCTTAAAAGGTAGTTTGAAATTTTAATTTAAAACATTTGAGGGTCACCTTGACTTTTTTCAGAGCCAGATAATCTTGGATTTTGGGTCGAGTCCTGCGGAAAAACGTTTTTATTTGGAAAAACCATAGTTTGTATTCCATCAGAATTGTTTTCTAAAATTTGAAAAATAATTAGGTAACGTGGAGGGAAAACTTGATTGGTTGCAGCAAAATCGGAATGGAGCCGATTGCTTTTGAGAACGCAACAAAAATTGAATGTTTCAAGAAATTGGGTAGGAAAAATAATGAGTGAATTTTAAATGATTTGAATTTCTTGAAAACGCAGTTCAAAACTGGAAGTTCAACTCAAATTACTGGACGGCCGGTTTGCGCACGAATGCGACCGAGTTTTCGTGGTGCAAGAAAAACGGTTCGTTGTTGGCAAACAATTCGCAACTGCTTTGGGCAATCGGCGAACCAAACAACGTCAACAAAAGCGAAAACTGTTTGCACCTCAACGTGAGCAGATCGAACGCAACTTTCCAGATCTCGGACAAAATTTGCACCGACTCGCAAGTGTTCGCCTGCCAGGTTTGTTGATAGATAAATCAAAATCATAAATTCTTTACCTTTTTATAAATAGGGTCCTCCGACTCCGGCACCTTCTTGTTCATCTCCAACTTGTCCGAACATCACCTGCGACAAAAATGTGAAAATCGTGTCAAGTTTTATAGGAAAATTAAACTTCCTTTTAAACCACAGCAAGCTTTGTACACCCTTTACGGCAATTCGCAAATGCTGAAAGGTGAAAGTTTCAAATATTTATTTTTCTTATTTTAATCCTTACATTTGTTCAGATCCAAATATACATGGGACGTGGTTTAAATATAATGGAAGATCCTATTTATTCAGTTTCCCTAACAAAACTTTAGGGGTAAAATATCATTTTGTTTTTAAAATTTAATTACTCTTATTTTGCATTTCCACTTAATTTTTTACTTTCAATTTATAGCACATGTTATTTTAAATGACTGTAAAGAAAGAAAAAACAAACCATTGCAACCTTTTTTCAAATGTTCACTACTTTCGTGTCATTTGTTTTCTTTCTTATCTTTGATAGAAAGAAGGAAAGCCCCCAAAATTTAAAGAATAAATAATTAATTAATAATTAATTAAATTAATTATTGTTTACACTTCAAAAAAATTCCTTACATATTTTCTAACTAAATTCTTTTTTTAATTGAAAAGTATTAAATAAAAAATATTTCACAATGAAAAATATTGGATTCATATTTCACACTCATTTAGTTTACTGGTGCGATGAGAGTTTGCTGTGAAATTGGAATGACTTTGTTAAGTCTGGAGTACGATTACAAGTACCAATCAGTCATCCAAGCCATAAAAAGTATTTTTTTTTCGGGGGACGAGACAGCACTTCCGACCGATTATATACAGTACGAACAACTGCGGTCAAGTGTCCCCTGGAGCTGGACAAAGGAGTCGTCCAGTACCAACGCTGTCTACCACGCCACTAGCGATCCACAATGGCTCACAAACCTGCCCAAACCGGCCCTTCTCAGGGCCAACCATCAATTCTATACTGGAACGCAGGAGGATGTTCCAAGACAAAATTTGCTGAGCTCTCTAAAATTATTTTTCAAGAAAAAATTGATGTCTTCTGTGTCTCAGAGGCGGGAAAAGTAGCAGAAGAGACCACACAAAACAGACAAGATCTAAACCTTCCTGGATATACGATTCACATCCTCGAAAGAGGCAGGCAAGTCGCCTCAGGCCTCGTCGTTGGTGTAAAGAGCAGTCTGGTCTCTACCTTCACTGTGATACATCAGATGAGAAACAATGACCCTGACAAAATCGAAGTTGCCTCTCTGGAAGTATGGAAGGAAAATGTCAAGTCAACGATTTATATGCTCTATAACCCACCAAATAACATTCCAACTGCTCTAAACAATATCAATTTTGATAAGCACTCCCTCTTTGTAGGAGACTTCAACGCTCCCCACAGAGACTGGGGTTACACTACAACAAGCAATGTCGGACGACACATAGAGGAATTTGTCTTGTCAAACACCCTCACCATCCTGGACCCTGAGGACGATGATGCATCTACGTTTCTGTCCTCGGATGGTTCCCGCACGTCCAGACCAGACCTTGTCATCGCGCACATCAACCTTGCAGATCAACTCCGCCAACACAACTTAATCTGCCCCTCAGGCCACGGCCACAGAATAATAAAAATCACCTCAAACTCTCCTGCTACTACGACTCGTAAAATAAATCAGAGGCGATGGAATTTCAAAAAAGCTGATTGGGAACTGTTCACTAAAACCCTGGAAGAGAAAATTTCGGACACGGTGTGGACGGGAAAAGTCAACCAGGATGAACCCCTACTTGCGAAAGCCATGCATGACGCTGCAACATCATCAATCCCCAGAGGCAGCTCCAGGGAGTTCAAACCGTTCTGGAATACTAATCTGGAAAACCTAGCCAATGAAAGGAATAATCTTCGAGACAGGACCGACAAGACTTACTCCCCAGAAGATGCTGAACTACTTAAAGAAGCACAAAAGCGACTCACAGAGGAGATTGCGGCGGCGAAGGCAGCAAAATTCAGAGACTTCCTAAATAAAATGGACTACAGAGAAGATGCAGTCAAAGCGCATCGCTTCTTCTCCAGTCTCTGTGGCAAAACCGCCGCCGACAAAAAGACAAACTCACCTCTACAGTACAAAGACACACTAAAAACGACGCCTCAGGAAAAAGCTGAAGCTCTGGCCAACTACTTCAAGTCCACTTGCTCCTCATCGGGCAGAACAAAAAGGCCAAAAAATTTACACTACAGCAACAAGACTGACTTGTACAACAGACCCTTTAGCCTAACTGAACTGGACTTAGCGATCAAGCTACTTGACACTGGCAAGTCCCCAGGTGAAGATAACATTCACCCTGAATTTCTCAAGCACATGGGATCAAATGCAAAAGCTGCTCTGCTTGTACACATTAATAATACCTGGACAAGCACAGATATACCAAAAAACTGGAAGACAGCTAACATTGCACCCATCCTCAAGAAGGACAAAGACCCAAGCAAACCCTCCAGTTACCGCCCGGTAGCACTAACCAGTGTCATAGCCAAAGTAGCTGAAAGAATGGTCTGCACAAGGCTTGAGAGTTTCTGCCAGGAGAAAAATATCATTGTCCCTGAGCAAGCGAGCTATCAGAAGAATAAAAGCACCATGGACCAAGCTGCCTATTTCTGCCAAAGCGTTAAAGAAGGATTTGGAAAACACGAGAGCACGGTAGCAACCTCAATCGACCTGACTGGAGCGTTTGACAGCGTAAACAGAAGTCTGCTAATTAAGCAACTGAGAAGGCTAGGAGTGCCAAACAACATCACGAGATGGATTAAAAATTTTATCATGGAGAGGGAGATCCGAGTGGTGTTTGATGGAGCTCGCAGTGGAGTAAAAAAGACCACAGCAGGAGTTGCCCAAGGCACAATTCTTGCCCCCCTGCTTTTTATTCTAGCTACAAATAATCTTGCAAAACTGCTCAGGAAAATGTATAGCCTCAACTTTGCAGTCTATGCAGACGACTATCTCCTGTGGATAACTGGCACCAACCTACCAGTCATGGAGCTCAAGATGAATCTGGCCCTCAAAATTGCCCACTCATGGCTAACAAAACATCACTTCAGACCAAACCCCAGCAAAACTCATTACTGCTATTTCACCAGATCTAGAGCTAATTTTCCTTTTGACCTCAGGATGGACGGAGTAAGGATTCAGGAGGAGCCCCTTCTGAAGTACCTTGGAATACTCCTAGATAAAACCCTGACGGGAAAAGATCATCTCGAAGCTGCAGCAGAGAAGGGAAAGAAACGTCTCAGACTTCTGCAAAGAGCAGCAGGAGTGAGCTGGGGAGCCTCAGTTTCCACTCTGACACTCACCTACAAAACTTACATCCGCCCTGTGCTTGAATACGGCACAGAAATCTTCATTACGGCCGCTGAAAAGGATTTCTCCCTGATCAGTAAAATCCAGAACCAAGCTCTCCGAATATGTTCCGGCGCCATCAAGACGACGCCAATCGAAGCCATGGAGGCTTGGTGTAAGGTCGAACCACTTCAACAGAGGAGGGACATGCGCGCCATAATCCTGCATGAAAAGTTGATTCGATTAAATCACAGGTATTGGAGCACATGTCCTGCCAAAGCTACCAAAGCGCACGTCTCTTTCATCCAGCAGGTAACTGACCTGAAAGGAGTCTATTGTGCAGATCTCAATTTTATCAGTCGGACGGACTTTGACAAGAACTGCGCAAAAAGACTGCTGGAAGTTGACCTCTCTGCTGTCCTGCCTCCTCGTCTACATATAGATGGACTATCCAAAATCGAGGGCACTCATCAGGACATAAAGAAAAGACAAGCACTCTCACACATTCAGAAACACTTTCCCATGTCCAATTGGACTCACATTTACACCGATGGGTCGAGTAACAACATCAAGAAGAAGGCAGGCTGCGGAATCTACAGCCTTCTCTTCGAGGAGTCTCACCCGCTGGACCCAAATGCCACTCACTTCGAGGCTGAGGCGGCGGCCATAACTTTGGCTACTGAAAAAGTGGCGTCCAACAAACCCCTTGGCTTGAAGAACAACATCGTCATCCTCAGCGACAGCCAATCTGCAATAAATTTCGTCTCCAACTTCTCCAACACCAGCAATATCTCTCTTCGATTCAAAAGGGCCATCGAAACACTATCAAGAAAAAATCTTCTAGTCACCTTACAGTGGATTCCCAGCCACTGCAACATTCTGGGAAATGAAAAGGCTGACTACCTTGCCAAGCTAGGCGCCAATAAAAGCCCTCCTCTTTCAGAGGGCCTGACGTTTAAAAACACCAAAATAATGGTTAAAAGTGGCGTCAGCGAGGTGTGGAAGGAAAAAGCAGCCACAACATCTAGTCAAAAAACCTGGTGGAATGCTGCCCAAAAAGGACCAGACAGAAAATGGAGCAGAAAAGTCTCGACAGCAAACTTCAGACTAAATACTGGACATGATGTCCTGCAGCACCACCTAAATCGTTTTAACATCGTAAAAGAGCCAGCAACATGCAAACTTTGTAGATTAGAAAAGCAAGACAAGGAGCACCTCTTTAGGTGCCCTAAACTCAAAGAAGATCTAGACGCGATACCTGACCATTGGAGCAGGATAGAAAAAGAAGCCCACTTGTATTGGATAGCTAGAAAGAAGAATGACTTAACAATCACCACTTCGGCATAAGAAGAAAAAAATAAAAAGTATTAATCATTTTTTTAAATTAAAAAGCTTCCTAAAATGTTGAACAATTTTTACAGATAACAAGTCGATGCCGGATTATTTCTGGACCTCGGGTAGCGACAAAGGTTGCAAGGCGAGTTTCGGTTTTTGCGCGGCAAAGAGACTTTTGCGAAATGAAGCGATTTGGGCTCCGGGACAGCCGGACAACGCGGACGCCAACGAGACCGCCGTCGCCGTGGCCATCAACGCCACCCACGCACACTTGTTTGATTTCAATGAAGAGGCGAAATTCAGATACATCTGCGAGGTTGCAAAAAAAATTATCTAATTCGCAAGAAAAAAAATAAAATTTTATTATAAAAGGCCCGGGATTCTTCTCAATCAAGTTCGGGAGGAAGT